GATAGAAAAGAAAAACGGTTGCCCTTGTTCACGTTTAATTTATACTGGCAGTACTCATCCGTAGTTAAATTGGCTATACTCAAAGCATTCAGTTGAGTGAACGTCTAATGCCATCGACCAGATTTTTATGACATCGATAAAAAAATGAACTGACATCGTTCGAAATTTTAGTTTATTTTTCCGAGCAAGTCTGATAATTATAGAATAAACAGCTGCCATATAGGAAAATATTATGGCTTTTATTTTTATTTTTCAAGGACTTATTCAGCGAAGAGAAATACAGGATGAACAATAACGATAATGAAGTTCGGATCATTTTTATTCGATTATAGCGCAGAATTGAATCTATCTTCATGGCATACTAAATTGACAGTTAGTAATTGATAAAAACTAGTAATAATATGAACATTCACTTAACAGAAATCGCGTGACTTTATATAATATTTCGAGTGCCCAAGACCTCACCAAAAATATTTCATTGTATTGTAATCTGAATCTTTCCCATTTGATAAGTATCATAATGAAATTCCCGCTACCCTTAGCTAATGTATTAATGGATAAAACTTGTAAAGCACTATAAAAGAAAACAGTAATTATATCACATAATAAAAATTTATCATCTATGATTCATTGGACTCAATTATTTTCTGATATTTTATGGCCTTTCCAGTCTCATAGTACTATTGTTATTGCAAACATATACGGGAAAAAGCTTTAGGGAAAGAAATTTAATCAATAAAAATACTTAATTATTTAGCCACGTCTTTTTGTCTTCAAATAACATTTTTCAAGCTTATAGTTTACTCTTGAGTAGTATGTGGAGTTTCTAATTAAATTTATTTTCCCATGAATTCGTCATGCATAAGAATTGTTTACAATAAAACGGGTGCCATTCAACTTAACGCCTATCAAATATCGGTGGAGAAATGAGTCTGATGAATAATAGACTATAGATTTTCATTGTACGATCCACTTCTTTTATATTTTTTTCGAAGCCCTGCCGATGCAAGAGGCAACCTAATATCGAGGGAGTTTTATTAGGACGATTATTCAATGGCAAATGAAATGCACAGACACGAATATTATAGAATCCGATGACAGACAATGAAAAAGTTCATATAGTTTAGAAAATTTTACACTTTTAGTTCAATGTTACATATTATACGTTTGTTTCGTTGACTAAGTGTTAATTTAATATGTCGGCAACATAGACTTTGCTAGTCATAATAGTCGAACTAAAACGATCAAAAGCTCATTATTATGCGTTCTAGATTTGTCCTGGCCTACGATTGCATTTTTTTTAAATATAGGAATCCTTAGAGGATCAAGGATACCAAAAATATAGGATTTTCGATAAAAAAAAATGACAAAAAGAGAGGACATTTTATACACCGCTTCTGTTCAATTGTTTTGGTGTTTTTTAACTGCTCTGCTCGAAAATCGTTTTAACGAAGCTGTTATCAACAGTTCAACCGTAGCCAAGATCCTTATGTAATTTTTCCTACTGAAATAAGTCGTTAATTCGAGGATCATTATAAAAGTTTTTCACAAATCGATAAATAACAATAAAGTAGATCATAAGCTTTGAAAAAGACAAATACTATTTCTCATAATGAAAGGAGACGTTGCAGATTACGGACATGACTTCCCAAAAAGTCTCAACCTAATTTTATTGTTCTGATAGTCAGCATTCATCGCTTATTATTTTCCACAAGTTTATTTTGTATGTTATCATAGCTCAATTTTTTTCTGGTAATAAATAGGTGTTAATGAAAATGCATATACACAGGATGGCGTAAAATTTCACGGGCTTTCAGAATATGTCGTTCCTTGTTAAAAAATATGTTCTTTTGGCAACAATATCCTCAAAATACAGAGTGAAACTTATTTTTTCCAGGGGTATATATATACAGCTTTTATATCTAACTAAAACTTCACTAAAAACCCGAAACTAGTACATGATCACTTTGTGGATATTTTTTTCTTTTGAACCGTTTTGTATTTTGTACTTAATATTAAGCAATTTCTCAGTCAGTCCACTAAATAGGCGAAAGGAAAAATATTGTTTAAAACAAATGTCACTATAATACAACAATTTGCCCAAAACACATGATTATACACATTAAAAGTTTTTTTTCCGCCTAAACACAATAGCAAAATTGAGAGGTTTTCGGAAATTTTCTACTTTTTTCGATAAAATATAGGAAAATAAAGGACAAAAATAGGACTTTTTTATTGAAAATATAGGAATTATAGGAAATATAGGTCGAATCGCAGTCCAGCAATTTGCCCTAAGCCGATAGAAACATTGAAACTGAATGAAATACGAATTTAATCTTTCTAGCATGATAAAATGATTTACAATGTTTGCTTGACACACACCTCTCAAATGATAGGAATTCATTGTAATTAGCCACAGGGAAATTTAATTTAGTTCCTAATAACTACGTAGCTTCTTATTACATAATCAATCGATTATTTATCTCCTTTGATTTATTTTCCGTTTAGTTGAACAATAACTTTGATATAAATATTTGATCGATGTTAATTTGAATCTCTTCGTCTATCAAAGAAGCATTCTTTTCTATTGTGACCCACACCACTTCAAAGAATTGTCCCCTTGAAAAATGTTCACAATTAGAATATTCTCTCAGAAGATAATTAAACCATAAGCATCGTTTTATTTGTATCTATAGACTGTTTATTGTAAAAAAAAATTTTTCCAAGAAACATCATTGTCAATGAAAATACAAACGAGAAAAACAATACTTTATAGTCACTAGAGAAATCATTTTTCAATCTCAAACAAATATAAATCATTACAATCCGATATTTTATACTATGTCTACATATTCTACATCAATGTTACATCAAAAAATTGTGGTAACCTCAGATTTAAATCCGAGTGTTATGTGTACTGCAAAAAGGAAAAAAATTATGGACGACGGATTGGTTTTGACCAAACTGTCTACAAAATCATCTTGGCGAGTAGTAAGGAATAGGGGTCAACCGGCTCACGTTGACGAGCTTCATTCAAATGAGCCTATCTTGAAGTTATTCTAGATGTTATAATATGGGTGGATCCATAGGTCCTCAAGGCCTACTATATAGTAATACGCATAGGATAGTCATTAAGGACCTCTTGGCGCTCTTATATAATTGAACTTGAGGAACTACTGGTACCCATATATTAAAGAACTTGTGAACCTATGGGTATCACATAGAATAGGCCTTGATGACTTGTGAGTCCCGCATAGCACATTAAAGGAGCCATAGATATCGAGTCTGGGAATTTCCTAACCAATCCTGGTGATGATATGTATAACTTTTCATGATGATCAAATCATAGAGTCGAAATATTTCGAAAGCTTAAGTTCGTTGAAAAGAGCTGTTCAAATAGTTCAGTTTATGGTAGTGAAAGTTTTGAACAGCTCATCGGTTCTGAACTAGAGCTGAGCTTCTCTAGACGGGTGAGTCATCATAGTATGTATAGATATCAAAATTATCCTAGCAAGTCCTTCCTATTAAAACTTGATTTCCACTGTTTACTGCTCACCCAATAGGACTTTGGGGCAAATATGGCTTAGATTTGAACTCTTCGCCTTGCATTACCATAAGAAAGGCATTTTCCCTAAAATTTGATTTCTATTGGTTAGTGCTCAATTAATAGGATTTTTCGAAGTAATTAGAGTTTGGATTCGAGTTCTCCGCCCCAGAAAGCTTCGAACTACCATCATTTTGATTGGAAGATGGTGCTTTAATTTCCGATCGCTTAGAACGTGTACAAAAACAGAACCAATTTTCGTTTAAATGTCTTTTTAATAGGTGACTTAGACGTCTTGTTTCCTAATGTTTCATATACCATTTTGTAGCTCGTGAGATTCTCTATTAAATGATATATAATAGTGCGGGGTTTTGTTTGATTATGCGAGGAAAAGTTCTGTTACGAAAACCGACATAGGTCGATAATCACATAGAAAAATCACTATTTTTGTTATAACTCAGCAATGGCTCAACGAATCATGCTCATCTTCGAGCTCGACCGAGACATTGTTGAAACAATACTGTGTAGAAAATGTCATCAAGATCGCATTCTCCTTTCAAAAGTTATTGTGTAAATGACCGGCCGACCGGACACTGACCGATTTTATAGTGTACTCACTTTTATTTTTGAGTACACAAAAATTATTCCCCATAGTACATTATAGCTTCATGAAACTTCATAGAAAATAATTCCATTATCGATGAATAACGAATATAAACAACATTCATGTCATTATTATTATTATCTATTGACGTACTTGTGTCTTCATACAAAAGACATTGTTAAGAAATAACTTGTTATTGTATTCAGAAGATAAGTATATATCATCATGTATTGTGATGAAAACAAAACCTATTGAATGGATTGCTTTCAAGATCTATATGCGTACTGTGACATAATGCAAGACAATTGAATCCGCCTATAGAATTATTTTAAGGACTTTTATCAAACATCATTTTGCAATTATTGTTTGTTAGTTTGGTTAAGAGAAGCTCACTGGTTCATGGTTTTTCTCGTTCTTGTCTATGTGAATACCATTTGTCATTGAAAATCATTCTGAAAATTTCCAATAGTCGAACAGTTATTATTCCAGACTAAAAATAGCCATCATGAGTTTTTCTCTATTTTTTTTGTTTTTAATTAACTAAGGACTTTGATGTATCGCTGTTCTTATTTTTTTTGACGAAAAAAAAGATCCACCAAATGTATTGCGTGAATACTCGCTCGACATACTTTATGCGGAAATTCAAAGTGCCAGATAGATTGTGACTTTGCTAGAAATAAGGAAAGGAGCTCATAGAAATAACAAGATTATGCCTCCTATTCTTTTTTTCTGTCTAGTTCTAATAGCAAATAGGAGAGATCGTTTCCACCAACGAGAAAAATGTTGGCAAGAAGAGGAATAGATATAATATATATATAATGTAGCGCACAATGTATTTTTCTTTCTACTAGTATGACTGAACACATCGACGGCAATCAAATTAACAGCAATCTACGTTCACGTTTTGATTACTTATCAAAGTTTCTTAACTTCACCTCCGATGACATAGCAATGCTTAATAAATTTGCAGGTATTATACTACAACGTGTTCCAGTTGTTGTTGATGCTGTTTACAGAAAATTACTCGCATTCGATATAACAAAACAATATTTTCTTATACGTAATGATGGTTTTGAAGGTCATTTAACAAAAAAAAGTTCCAATTTAACTGTTGATTCAGCACAAATGAAATTTCGAAAAGATATGTTAAGTATTTATCTAAAACGTATATTAACTCAAACGGAATGGGATGATACATTTCTCCAATATTTATCTCGCATTGGAAAAATGCACACAGACAAAGCTGGTTCATCGTCAATTAACATTGATTATATACATATAAGTGGATTATTTGGTTTTCTTGAACATCTACTTATAGATGCTTTATGGACAGCTGAAAATATTGATAGTAAAACTAAATATGCAATGTTTGCGGCTCTAAATAAATTATTTTGGATTCAAAATGACTTTTTTTCGATGCATTATTTATCATCATGGGATGACAGCGCAGCTACAAATGAAGCAGAAATTAAAAAGCCCAAACATTGCTGCTTTTAAAGACCGCCTTCACTATTCTGTTTTTTCTTTTTCTTTGCTTGAGAAAAAGAGAAACGAGAACATGTTTAAATAAAGAATCAGTGTAATTGTTGTCTGAAATTGAGACTTTTTTCTTCTCTTCTTTGATCAAGAAAAAAAAGAAATAAGATTTTTCTTTTGACAGGTGAACATAGAAATAATATAATGGCAATATAGTTATTATTCAATCAATCATACAACCGTTGGAATACTTAGTAATTCTCACTGTCTATATTAGTGACTTCAATTTCAATTACATATTCAGTACTTGTCACCTACGGGTTGCATAGAATAATTGCGCGCTTTTAGATAATCTATCTCGATTTAAATTATGTCTATAAATAAAAGCAGCCATTGATTGCGAACAAAAAATAGCCTACGCCTAGTCTGAAAATAAATAATTCAATAATGAATTTCAATCTATTTCAAACAAATCCATTCATCAAAATCAAACAGAAAGAAATCACGACACTATCTTTCTTCGTATTTTCAAATGTTTTACTTGTATTATTTTGGCTTCAATTTGCACAGCACATATGCGCCTACATCTTGTAACAATAATATATAGAAATGAGCGTTAGTTTTTAATTTCATTCACAACTTTTTTTTCATTAGAATCAAAAAACACTATTGGCAGACAAGTACGATGGATCAAGAAATCAACGAAAATGAAGGTATGTATCTAACATATGTATTTGATTTACGTATACATACGAAATAGAATAGCTGTAACATATTTAAATCGTTGAATAAAGGAGAAAAAATCTCTTGTTTTTTTACTTTAAACTATCAATCAATTCTTGAAATTCGACTGTCAATCTTTTATTAAAAAACAACATAAAAATGAAAAATTTAGTTAAATATTTTTCGTTTCAAGTCAATGAATCTATCGATTAAAAGACTTTTTTCTCTTTTTGAGCTCTATCAGACAATCAATCAATTTCAACAACGCGCCCGTCTAGTTCAGCTAGTTCGGATATGCCTAAAACCAATACTCCATCACGATCTAATAGTTTCATTAAACGTCGATCGTCAACTATTGATGTTAATGATTTGTCTCCATCTGTAAATCAACAAATAAATGATCAAACACCAATAAAAATCTTAGTATTTAATGGAAAATGTTCGAAAATATTCAAGTCAGCATTAGAAGATTGCGTTGAAGATTGTATTTTGGAATTTCCAGGTGACAAAAATTCAATTTATGTTCCAAAAATAGGACAAGCCGTACAAATACCACCGGGTAGTTCTCCTAATGCTATTCTTTCATTGAGAGAACAAAGTCCAAATGCACGGCAATCAGCTCGTTCAAATCGACGAAGAGGCTCGAATAGTCAATATAATGCTCTACCGCAGATCAATAGTATGCGTAGTGTTTTACCGAACAATTTATCATTGCCGTCAACAGTTCTCGCGGCAACAACGGCCGCTCGTATACGTCATCAACTTGCTCAACAGAAATTTTCTATTGCAGACGATATTTCTGAGGAAGCCACCGATCAACTATCTAATGTTTTACAAGCGCCAATAACAGATGCCGTTGAACCGACTGAGACACCTCCTATTGTAAGAGAAGAAACAATATCTCCTATTATTAAACATGACACGATATCTCTATCATTGCCGGTTTTTCCTAATTGTGTTCCATCAGCTAAAACGCACAAGTGTTATCGAGATCGTCAAAAAGATTATCGCCTTTCTGATCTTGTCATGCTCGGGCCGGAACATTTTCGACACGTATTTAATCTGCCACGTCCACGTGCTCAATCGGTTCAACGAAAAAATAAAGCAGCTGAGAAACTTTCTGATATCGATTGTATCAAAAAAGATCTATTTCATCGATATCTTTGGACACAAAAACCTCAAGTATCATGTCGTATACGTCCTTTATCGACTTATACGCGTGACACAACATTTGCTAATTAATTGTAAATAATAATAATAATAAATAAATAAATCAATGAAATCTAATACAATTAGTTCTGCTCCTAGATCATGTATTCGTATGATTTTCTAATGAGAGCGGCTTGTATATACATCATATAGAATAAAATCAAAATGTCTGTGACGCCCTGCCGGTAAACGACAAATGAGCTCGTTAAAACAGCTCAGCAGGGCAGTGTGAAACATTATCGGCATGCTTCAATGAAGTGAGTGAGTGAAGAGCAAATGATTATGCATGAGAGAAAAGACGAGTTAAAGAAAAGGAAGAACACAATCGTGTTCATTCATTTCATTCTTTTTAAATTTCTGTTCAATCGATGTTACTCATATAGAAAATAGAAAAGCATACGTACACATATACACACACACATTCATTCATTCATTCGTTCATAGAATGCAAGAGGAAATCGAATCGAACAATACGTAAGTTATTGAACTTTACACATGTTTGTTTTCAACAAAAGGGGTTCTTCTCGTTCAGGTTTCTATTACCAATTGACAGTCAAGATCACTTCGATTTATTTGTTGAAATAACTTCAACGCCGAAAACAAAATTCATTCAACCAACTGCATCAACGCCGATAAAAAAAGCATGTTCATCATCATCATCTCATAGTAATAATAATAATAAGCATCATAATATGAACAATAATACTCGTACGTCTATAAGACCTCGGCTGACTTTGAAGCGCACTTATTGTAAGAGCGCCATTTTTTTCCGACAATTAAAACGAACATTTTTATAAATAGCTACTGCAAAGGAAAAAAGGACCCTGACTTACTACATCCATATATATTTTTTTTGTTTCATAATATTAATGCAGTGCGTATTTTCTTTTTTTGTAATTAAAAATAAATCATGATTGGAAATTTAAAGATCAGAAAAAGATTGATGAGTCTAACGTGCGATTCCCAATAGAAGTAGACGATTGATAGATCATCCCTTAGGAGAATACTATCGTAGTTTCTATTTAAATTTTAAGTTATTGCTATTGGCATTCACATAAATAAATAATTAAGCTGCCTGATCTTAGTAAATGATTGGCATCTTATTGTGAAAAAAGAAACTTCAAAGAGAAGAAAGAAAAAATGATCAGTATTTAAATAATACACAATAATTTAAATGGAAAGGAAGTGCCTAGATATATATTGCGAAAGGCACATAGTTAAATATTGACGCTTCCTTTTCCGGTGAGACATGTGATAAGAAATATTTTGTTTTAAACTTATTTATTTTGTACAGAAATAATAGTGTATAAATTAATGCTAACAGAGTTTTGGCGTTATTGTTCCGGAATAATTTCTCACGTCACAATGATTAACCAACAGTATGTTTTGATGTATAAGGAATTTCGCACTACACGCCTCTTATTTTTCACCGAAGACATCTTTTCCTTAAATGTCAGACTACAATTTTTTTCCTGCCACACTCAATAAATTAACCATTAAAGAAAAGAAGCATAAATATTTTATTTCATAATTCACAATCTGTGATTACTTTTATGATATTACCATATAATGTTGATGTTGCCAATAGCAATGCCTCAATTACATCATCAATATTTAAGCTAACTAAAAACATTGATTCTAACCAAAAATTAATTTTTTGGTAATTTTACTTTTAGCCATAAAAATTGATTACAAACATGATAAATTCTATGCATTGTAAAAAAGTTCGATATAGTCTTGAATTTCACACGATAATATACATGCTCTTTTGGTATCCCCATTATTTTCATGAATAATTAGAAAATTCAGATTGTTAGAAAGCGACGCTTTGATTTCCCGAATCTCGTCTATCCTTTTGAGAATTCTAATTATCGATGAAAATTGATATTTAGAATACACTTATCGTTCGATAATTTTCGAATTCTACAATTACAAAATTCTCACAGGGGCCACAGAAAAGCAAATCTATTTTTTTTAACCTTGTTACATGTACATCAAGGATAAATTGTGAATATTCAGCTTGAATAAATCTCGTAAAAAGATCATGTTGAAAAATTGAAGAGAAAAAATTAAGTTTTGATCGCATAAATCAAACTAATTAATGGCAAAATTTTTATTATTTAATAAAAAGAAAAGAAAAGCTCACACACAAATAATCACAATTGTGTTAACATATCATTGCACGGGAAAAAGGAATGCATCATTTAAGTTTTTCGTCAAAATCTTATTTAACTATCTATAGCATCATAAGAGCTTGCCGCCTGTTGTGAAACTCTTCGTTTTACAATAAATATCACTGCAATTATTGCAACTATACCTGGCAAAGCAAGACTCGCAATTAATGCTACAGAGACGAATTTTGTTGTTGAATCAGGTTGAAGCACATCAAGACCAGCGGCAAATTGAATAAATGTATAATTTGTTTTAGTAAAGAAACCTATGATATTCAAACGAAATAATATTAAAAGATTAAACAAATAATTTGTTCATACCGTCGTTTGCTTGACCCAGTGAAATATTAAAAGCCGACACCGTCGGATGAGGAAGAATCGAATAATATATACCGCGATCAATGTGTGAATCAAGTGCAACATCATTTTTTATTTTATATATTTCCATTAGTGTATTTTGTTCGATCGATCGTTCTGCACTTTGATATACAACAGGCTTCCATAACATAGAGCCCGGGTACAAAGAGCTAAGAGTTCGCAATTTCCAAACAGTGAAAATTCCTATAGAAATGAGTTTTATGAGACATTCGGAGTACAGATGCGGATTAAGAAAAAGCAAAGATTATTCCTATTGTTTAATACTTATAGAAAGATTAGAGAAATTCGAGTTAAATGGATTTATAGGAATTGAATAATTCTTTTTCTGTGAGGTCAATTTTTGCATAGTACGTGTTACGCTATTGTCGAAATGTCATTTTCTTCAAAAAAAAAAGATATATACATAATTTTATTTAGTACACATTGACCTTGGCTTCAAATTTAATTGTTAGTTAATATTGTCTGCCATCGTGGCGAGTTATTTAACTTCGAATTTAGCAATGATTGAAACAATCTAGCTTCACATTCTTGAATCAAACCACATATAACTAAATTATATTGTTTTTCTAGCGGCTCAGATCTTGCAATCAGGAAAATACCATTAAAGAAAAAGTCACGGCATTGTAAGACTTGTTGTGACATTACTGACAAGGATTAAATTAGCATGATGGTTACATATACGATGAATGTTGCTCGAAAGAACGTTAATGTGGATTTAATTTTAATGCATTCTTCTAATCCTGTTATGATTCTTTCTTCGTATATATGATCGTGCTATCAGTATTCTTTTCCGAAAAATATGCTGCTTCAAATAGATATTTTCATGAGCTTCTCGTTTTTTTCCCGTAGACATATAAGGCAAATAGAAGCAAATTAAAAAACAAGAAATTTGATGACCCGATTCGAGTGCGTCATTCATTCTAATATGATATCGATCGATTGATAATTCGATTTGAAGAATAGAAGTCTCTCTTCAATCGAATTATTCTATTTCCTAAATCCCAATTTAATCTCAAGTGATCGTCTCAAATATGTCTCATTATATTAATCAATAGAATACACTTTTTGAATATAGTTTTCTAATTGAATTTAAATGTTTACCTGGCGTATATTGATCGTCGATAAATTTCGATGAGGATATTTTTGAACCATCAATACCAGGCAAAATTAAATAAAATTCAAAAGCAAAACGTGTCTTCGGTAATGAAAATTTGTTGGCTTGTAAAGCAATATTGAGAAAATAACTTTTTGGTGTAGTTCGTAATTTTGGAAATTTCGATTCACGCACTGTTTCACCAGGATACATAATTTCAACGGTTAAAGAGCCATTCAACTGCAAAGCAAAGAACAGAAAAGTTTTTATTTTCCGTAAATAGTATCAATGGCTAACCGATTGTAATGGTAATTGAAATGATGGTTGATTTGTATTATTGTTTCGGAATGTTACATTAGTCGCTGTGATGTTATTTAAAAAATAAGATGTTATTGTTTTATCTTTCGGATTGATAAAGCCATCATCATTTTCGTCATCAAATTGAATTAAACGTCGTAGAACTAATGAAAATGAATTGCTCGGCTTTGTATCAGGAAATTGAATGGCACCGGCATAGTTACGTAAAAACAATGCTGAATAGTTAAATATTGGAACGCAAGTTTTGACTGTTTGAAAAATGCTGATTGTTAATTCATCTAATGTTGAATAAATCATATGAACTCTATCGTCGCCAATAACATGATTTGCATAATAGAGTGCTGGATTATTAGGCTCTTGACATTCAACTAAATCACAGCCGGGATTTAGAATAAATGGTACCGAAGTATAGATAGGATTTGGCAAAAAGCAAAGACATAATATTAAAGGAAGAAAAATCATGATGAAATATATCTACAAAAAATGAAATAAATAATATTGGAGGAAAACAAGAAGTCATCGTATTTTAATTTATTGCTCTTTAAAATTATCGTTAAGTTTTGTCATTTGTTCACTAAGTAGCCAAAAACGTTGGTTATCTTCTTCATTAAATGTTAATGGCGATGGTTGTACTTCGAGGCAATCACTGTATAAAATAAAAAAAATAAAAAGTCTTCATGATAATTGAGAAATTGATAGAAGAACAAAAAACAACCTGAAATATTTTCCAGTAACATTATCAAGATGAATATCACTCGCTAAATAGATTGTTGTTTGTGCACCTTCTTCTGAACTCTTTAAAAAGAACCACAGCAGAGGCGATAGCAATTGGTGGAACAACTCGAAAATAATCTGATAACGACCACCGTAGTATCGACCGAATTCTGTATGGACAATACCTATTTGATTGGTTCGAAAAATATTTTCTTATAGATCTATGTGAAATCTATTCGAGTCAAATATGGAGATATATAGAAACTGTTTCAATGAAAGTTAAAGATCTCTTATGTCTGATGAAAGTTGAAGCTAAAATAGAATTAACTAGAACTCTAATCTTTCAGAAGTAAAAATTGGCACCTCGTTTTCTACTCGCCGGAAAAGCTTTCTATCAGGATGAATGTGAAGTCTCTTCCGTTTTCTCGTTTCTAATCCTAAGAGTCTTCATTGTATTCTATTGGTGTTCTTTTGTTTGGAAAATTCAATGAAGCCTTAGTACTTATTAGAACGAGTCTTTTAATTGAATTTTTTTAATTGCATGATTAAGGTAAACAACAACATGCTGCCAAAAGAGCTATTTTCGATCGGATTTTGTTGAATGCCTCCGGAGAAAGTTATAACGCAAAGCTTTCGTTCGGGCGACTTCTAATGTTTATATATTATTTCCTTTACTTTTTTTTGTGACTTATGTATCAAACGAAACCCGAGGTGTTCCTTTGAATTTTATTGAAAAAGAAAATAACCAAAATCGGGAATAAATTTCCTATGGTACCATTCTGTGAACAAAAGAAAATATCGTCTAATACACATTTTTAAAAATTCCGTTCCTTCCGAAAAAAAAAGAAAATTCTTTTCAAGTGAAATAATCATTGATTGCAGTGTACTATATATCCCCATAAGTAAGTTCTTACCTGGGTGAAGGCTGTTAGTCGTAATACGGGTTCCTATAGCAAAACTATTCGATGTTCATTTCATTCTTTAACAAAGCCCATTTCTTTTTACCCTTCAATCGCTTAGCTAATTCGTTTGTAAACATAACGTTAGCAAATTTGCTGCATGAATATGCGTAGAATGCTGAACAAGGTGTTTTCTCCAAATTAATATCATCCCAATGTATATGACAATTGAAGACTTGAAAGCGCCGAAATGAATATGAAATCATTGAAATGAATCAAATTTACATGCATGTGCTAAAGCCGACACGTTTATGACTCGAGCTGATGGTGCCTTTTTCAATAGATCAAGTAGAAGATTTGTAAAAAGAAAATGGCCAAGATGATTCGTAGCTAAATGTATTTCATAGCCATCGACTGATTTTTCCTTAGATTGTGTAAGCATACCTAAATGTGCGATAATGAATGGGGTAGGAAATGCAATCAAGATTTTTAAAGTGTACCAGCATTATTTATCAAAACATCGATTCTAGGTAGACTTTTTCGTAGACGTGCAGCACATTCGCGTACAGATTGTAGCGAGGATGTATCAATAATTTCGATATCAATTTGATTATTATTCGATTTACTTATTATCTCTTGCCGTGCTTCCTCAGCTCGTTGTCGACTACGACAAGCTAGAATAATTCGTGCACCTGAATAAAAAAGAAAACGCAAGTTTTGTTTCGAGAATAATTTATTGGCAACCTCGCTTAGCTAATTCAATAGCTGTATGTTTTCCGATGCCAGTATTACTTCCAGTGATAACAACGATTTTATCATCCATACGATCTTGCGATGGACAGTGAGTTCCTGACCAATAGAACTTTTTTGAAGCATAGAGAAATATTACTGCAAAGATAAAAAGGAACAAATATCACAATCACCATACAAAAACACAATAGTCCAACAACATACAAACAAGAACAAATCCAATAACAAATGTAAACATTATCTAAAATGTATAACAAAAATAAAGCTCTATTCGTTATTAAGTTCAACAATAACAGGTTTTTCATCTTCTGGTTCATCATCAAATGCCCAATTATATGTTTCATTTAAAAATTGCTTCATTTTAGCACAACGTTCGATTAATTTTTCCGAATCATTTCCTTCCATTTGTTGATTATCATTGAACGCTGATACGTTAGCAAATAAATTTTCCAATGATTTATAAATAGCATTTGCTTGTTGATCAACATCCACAAATAAACTTTCATCGCCTAGAGAATCATTGGAAAACTCTTTTAATTGGAAATACATCGTTTGTAAAAAATCAACATAAAACATTGGCCAACGGCAGAATGCTTTTTGGCATGAACAAATCAATTGAAGTAAACATTTCCATTGTTCGAGACCATCATAATAATGCCCGAGAAAGAATACGATAAAACTCAATTGTAATTCACATAAAATTCCGTAAATATTCGTATCAAAACGTTCCGATATGATTTTTTCCAATTCATTTGTACGATCTAATTTCGATTGTGTTAAATCTGATCCAGAGCAGAGATTCATTTTCTTTTCGATAACCGTAAAACGAAAAGCAAATTCAGCATTTAATGTCATTTTTGGCAGTCGAGATTCAGCTTCCGATAAACTTGTTGGCTCAGAAAATTCTTCAGTGCGTTTCGTATGTTTAGGAATATCAAACACCTCTGCTGAACATATATAACCATTGATAGGAATAAGTTTTTCTATGAAATCATAACGTAAATGATTCGATAGTGCTAACCATTGACGATATGTATCTAATGGATATTGACCAAGAAAACGATCTAATTCGTAGCGTTGATTTCGTCGTGTTTCATATTCATCGGGTGTCAATTGTTGACGTTGAAAGAGATTTTCCGTTGTTGACCATCGCATTAGAATTAACATTTCATTAGGTTGTTTCAATTCAATAAAAAAACTTTGTCGATTACATAATTCTTTTGTTAATGTATCACGTTCGCTATAATAACAGTGATGGACACCAGGCGGAATCATTTTAATCCCTTGAAAGTTCGCGCCAACTTGCCAAGAATACATATCGATACCGAATTCCATCTCTTTCGGAACATCAAGGACAAGAAGTATACCACCGGATTCGAATAATTGACGAGCTCTATCTGCATTCATATCTGAAAAGCACAAAAATAAACCCATAAAATCCATTGTCCAAACAGCACAGAAAAGAGTGAAAGAAGGAAATCAGCCAGCAGATGGATCGAGTGGCATATTTCTACAAATGATAGATATGCGACGGTCCCGCGGTATGTGAACATTGTTGAAATAGGATTCTGTATTTTTGAGAACTTCATGCGTAAAATCGTAGCGAGCAACGTTTCTAAAAATATACAAATCATTCAATTAGCAAGATAGTGTAGCGTATGAGAAAATCGTCTGCTTTTATGTGCGCTGAGCAAGTGGTAACAAAAAGCGTCTTTTCAGGTGAAAACTTAACTACTTTGGTTGCCATCGTATTCGCACGGAAATAGAAGTCAAGTCTATTCTATCGAGTAAAATGAGTGAGATCGTCTTGCAGATCTCTTACTAATTATCGCGCCTGATTTCAAATTATGTTTTTCGAATAAAAGGTTCTCACGTGTGACTCTTGCTAATCCAACTGATATTTTAACTGTCGCCAGCTCTCGGAGATGTCGATCATTCAAAAGCATCGGAGTTTACTGATAAACGGAAAATCGATTCGATTGACTTTTCAGATAAACTTGTTTTTTTTCTCTTTGCTTAAAATTACTTCATTATGTAAAGTGATTTTGGTTTGAGTAGAATATCAACAATAAGTGTTTTGTCATCTTTATGAGCCAGTCTCATAACACTCGATGAAAGTAACGATAGACCAGCTATTGTCGTTCCACAATACTAAAGTAAGACGAACATTTTGCAAGTAATAAATGAGAGATTTGTCCTACTCGAACAGCATCAATGTGCGGTTTAATATAGCCCTCTTTAGCAATATCGAGTATATGAACATGCACGAGGGATTGTGTTGGATCGTCAAAAGCAAATTGACGAATACGAGATAAAACTTTTTGATTTTCCGGTGTCCATTCAGATCTTTCAGATTCACGATAGCCATGAATAGCCTATGGAAAAAATTAAACCAGTGAATTCTTTTAGAAAATTAATTATTTCGGACATACATACGTCGTCCCAATGTGTATATTCATAACGTTTACGTTTCATATATCGATCGATTTCTTTTAAAAAATTATTGTATTCTTGATCGTTTAAATAATCATCAATCACTTGTAGAGAACCAGGTTGTTTTTGTAAAATATCAGTTACTTTTTGACAACTATAAATTATATTGGTTTCAGTTGGCTTCGCCGATGATGAAGTAACTTGACTTGAGTGGCGACAATATAAATGCTGTTTTACAAACTAGAAAGAAAAACGGCATAAACCGGTGTCTCAAATATGATTTGAATTATAGAGAATTAATAGATTTTTCTTCAGAAAAAGTCTTGCCTGAAAACTGAACAGTTAATAATGGATTCTACTTATCTCGAAATTTACCTATCAACTGATAAGCTTCGTTTGACCTTACCTATTTCTCGTAGCATAGATAAATATCGTAGAATAATTCTTACTTCTTAGCCTTTTTTCTCAAGCTTTTATCGTTTCCAATGAATTACAGAATACGATATACTGAAATTTTCCAACTACTAAACAAGTGGGATAATAGAGAAGCTCAATTTATGAGAATGTTTGCTGTACATTTTGATTTATAATTACCTGCTTTATTAAAGTACCACAGACGATCATTATCTTTTCTTTTTTTCTTATATCTAAAACAATAACAACATGAGATTTAATATTATCGTTTATTTCCTGATCGTTTTCTATTCTGAGAAGATCCTGATTTGCTTTTAACTCTAGAAATATCTCTATCGGTTAATTTCAAAACGCCTCCAGTAAATTTTCCAACAGATGAAAAACGCATTGAACCAACATCGCCTTCGCCAATACGTTTTCGCTTTGGTTGTCTATCGAATTTCTTTTTGTTATTTGGATTTTTATTAAATATATCACCGAGTAAACGCGCCTATATTTAAAACATAAAGTTGTACTGAGAATATTAAAAAAATAATTTAGCTTTTTTGTCCTTACGTTTTCTTCTTCTTCTTTTTCTTTGGTCTTTTTCGTTCGATTTTGTTCGAGTAATTCACGATAATTAATAAATTTTCGTTTGGGTGGCTAAAGACAGAGAACAATCAGTAGGTTGAATTTAATAGTCAGGTAAAAATTCTTTACTTTGGCCCCTAAACTAACAGCTAATGCCACACGAGCATCTTCATATTTACTTTTTTCAAAACCTTTAATACCAAATTTATGCACATCAAAACGAGCTTTTTCAAGATCAAATTCAACGTTTTCTTCTTGTTGACTTTTTAACGGTGAACTATCAGGCTTCTATGAACAGACATAATAGATAAAAGCAAATAGTTCGGGTTAAAAATAAAAGCGAAATATTCAACTTACAATTCCAATCTTTTTCTTCTTTCGTCGATCTTGAAAAACAATGGTTTCAACTGATGATTTTTTCTTTTCTTCGACTTGTTTTTGTGATCTTTTTCTTTCTTTTCGTCGGGCTGTTTTACTTTTAATTGCATCATTACCATCGTCGTCACTGTCGAAATCTGGTTCATCAAAGATCATATTTTTAATGTCATCTACGTGTCGTGTCATTGCTTCAATCTAAAATAAAAAAATATTTATAACATTTTTCTCATGGCATTCAATCCAAACGTTAAAACGTAAGATTAAGGATAATAACAGTAACTTAATTGAAACGATGATCAACACAAGAACTCAATTTAATTCATTACACTGAAAAAGAAGTTGTTCGATTACTTCTGCATTTATGTACTGAAAAAACTTCGATTTTTAGTCGAATATACGAGAATGATCGGTTCTGTCGTCTTTCGCAAACTGAAAAAAACGACAGTGACTAATAGTATGATTTCATTTAATTACGATTGAATTTTTTCTCTAAAGTAGAAATGTAAATCAAATAAATGACAAGCAAAAATTAAAGAGAAAGATGTATGCATGTATAAAAATGACCAAAGAAAAAATTCGAAAGTCCTATCTCTTATCATTTATGACTCATAAATGAACGAATAGCCTGTAACGATAGATTGCGCTAACCAACAGTAAATATGAATTATAAAAGACTAGTAATAACAATAATAACATCCATAACTAATCGTAACGACCAGTTGCGATAATATTCTCTTTCAATACACAATTTCATGCAACCAGAAAAAAATGAAAATAATTATACTCTTATCAGTAGTACGCTTTACTTTTACTTGACTGAATTTATTTATCCTGAATAACAGCCCTAACACATTCAATATATCAACAAAAGCATGGAGTCAATCGTTAGCATTCATAGTCATCTCAAATAAGATAACAGAACTAAAATCTAAAACGAATATTTCGTAACTAACTAACTACTTGAATCAAAATTAGCAAATCTAGACAATGGCGAAGATTTATCCGGTCATTCGGATCGGACTGTCATAGGAGTTTCGCTAGTAACTGGAGTTCTGTTTTATTTCTGTCTGATGTCTGTGCACTTTTTAATAGGTGTTCAAATTCTGGAATTGTATGATTACTGAAAACTATAGATATATTTATATCTTAGTTTTATTTACTAGCAGGTTTTGAGCGGTCTATTGATACACTTCGAAGCATATTTTAATATGATATAGCAGTTGATACTTTCAAAAAAAAGATTATTTTTCATAGAAAACCTTTTCATCTAGATTACAAATAAAATAAAAATTACAATGAATACCTTGAAAGTTCGAATAAGATTTTAATTTTTCGTGGCACAAAAAATTGATTACATTTTCAAGTGTTGAAACAACATATACTTTTGGTGATCTTCTAGAATATACTTTATATAGCAAAACAAAAACAAAAACAAAATCCATTTTCCACTTCTATATGACATTCATTTCATCAGTTGCTTAAACTAGACAGAGCAGTAGCATAATCAGTACGAGGTGTTGACACCAACCACTGTAGTTGCCTGAATAGGTATTGCATATAAGGCAGAAATAAAATAAATTAGTATTTCTTACAAAAGAGTCGCTTGATTTTGGCCAGCATAAACTAATGAAAACATTGATTAGCCATCTTTTGCATTCTGCAACTCTACCATTAAATTTTAATCAATGCTATTTGTCTGATTTTCAGATTAATTGTCTACTTTGCACAGCAAACTAACGAAAATGAACAATCAAGCTAAGAAAGTCATTCGTGTTAAAATACATTCGGTGACAGCTCCTTCAACGATCTTTGATCAGGTATTTTATTTGAAAACTTATTATTCATCTAAAAGTTCCGTTGAAACAAATATTTTATGTTGCATTAAGTGATTACCATAAAAATAACCTCTTAGATATTCTTACAGGGACCGCCATGACCTCTTCTATCATAATAGATTAATTCTTAGACTAAAAAAGATTGTACTACATTAGGAGTAATCTGACAGAAAATTGATCCAACTGAAAAGATGAAGATTTCTTTCACTAACTTCGCCATTTTCCTTCGGACCTAAATACATTCATGGAGACATGAACAATGTAGCATTGAATTCGAAGCTAGAAAATATTCCTGTTTCTATTAATTATTACAATGAAACTATTTTGAGAATATGGTATGCAGATGAGGCGTAAACAAGTCATGTCTTTTATTTTCTAGCCTCTCAACACTCGCAATTTCCTTTCCACACCGCAGACACGCCACCATAAATTGTCTCGTTCAGAACTCGCGAATACCGATTATCAAATGCATAAACTGAGCGAACCTACTGTTCAAAATGACGATGCTTTTTCAAGTTCAATCGATTCTAATCATGAACACCTAGACGGGTTAAAGCAAGGGTAAGCGAAATTTATCTTGTCTTCTTTCTAGGGCGCTTCAAAGTTCTTTTATCACATTAGTAAGCTTGATTCTTTATCCAAACTGAATGCTCTGGTCGCTTTACTACTGTTTGTATTGGTCATTCCTTTGATGGGAGCAGTGATCGCTATCACGATGGTCGCTGTAATATCAAAACTCAATATTCAAACAAATACAACCAATTCAACAAAAGCGACGAATACAACAATCAGTAAGTCCTAAAATTTCTTTACTAACACTACTCAACGTGATTATATTCAGTCAAGCAGTTGTCCTAACTTTCGAAGCTAGATCATTTTAAGTGTCTCGGACGTGGATGAGTTCAATTTTCAAAAATTTAAAACAAAAAATATTGACTTCACTATACGATTGGAAAGAAGAATTGTATCTTCTTACTTGACTGTTTTTGTTTCTCTGCACTTCATAACATTGTGATTCTTCGGCATTCTTACTTAGTTATATGATTGGAAAATCATTGTTCTTATTCTCCTACTTTTTGAATATGTAAAATATGCGCAAGATATGCAAGTTGCGACGAGTGACCACGGGGATACAAATACATCATTTCATTCCTGTAGCCTTAGGTGGGGGTGTCTCGAGACTCACAAGGCTTGGCCCTACCCTAGTTTGGAATAGGGTAAGCTTGAGTAGGCTCAAACAAGAACAGTTACAGGTTTGAGTAGGCTAAATTATATCTAAGTCGTTCATTATTGTTTAGTTTTCACGTATGACTTACAGTGCCAGTAACATATGACGTATTGTTGCAAAAAAAAGTCCATATTTTCTTTATCACCAATACGAACTAGGATTCGATAAGATATTCATTGGGATTTATAAAATTTAAATCTACCAAGAAATCAACATTGAAAAAAACGTAGCGGAAGCTGATTCGTGATCAGCTACCCAAGGGTGCCTTGATTGACGGGTGGCGGGGATGTTAACACCTCCAATATTCGAAAAATTGTCTTGCATTGTATTTCACAAAACGAAATTTACACTATCTCGAGCACAATTTTATCAGTTACCCTCGGTGATGCAATATATTAAAGTCAAAAATCGGAAATTTATATCTGAAAATTTTGAATAATCCAAAATAATCCAGAAAAATCCGAAAAATTGTAAAAGCCTCGGAAAACAGTGAGAAAAACCAATAAAAAATGAGAAAAAATTCCTGAAAAATGGAGGAAAATGCGGAGAATCCTGAAAAGGTTTCAAAATCAGGTGGATCGGGCAACACTGGTTACTCTCGCTTAAATTTTTTGGGTGCTCGCGACATCCTTGAGCACAGCATCTTGAAGAAAAAGTTTTTACACCGTCCCCTCCCAAAGTTGGAATGGTCATGACAGCCCTGCCGCTTCTCTATCTCATTTAGCTAGAAAATTGAGCCTACCATAGAGGAGAATCGTTCCGCCGCCTATGCCTGTAGCCCAACAACCTGACTTGAAACATTTCTCATTTGTATCTATTTTCAACAAAGTAGGTAATATAATCTTGACACTAAAGAAAAAGTTTATGAAAGTGCAATGTGATACATACCCTTTTTCCGTTTTAAAAAATATCTGATAAACCCTTTTTCAAAATAATAAACCTAAAAACCGTTTATTATCTTCGTCATATAAAGAAAAAAAGGTTTATAATACGTTGCACTTTCATAAACCATCTTTATTCTTAAATGCCCTATCAAAAACGCTTTTCCCTTTATTATTCTGCGGATTTTTTCTACAGTGTATAAGACTCAGCCTGAAACAAAATGATGCTTCTGATAAATGAAAGTAATAAAAGGATATCCACTACAAGCAACTACAAACTTGAACAGATAGCATGGTAGAAATTCTATTCACAGTAATCGCATCTCCAAGTTAAAAAGAATGTACTTGGCTTCATAGAAAATATATTGAAAACAACCGAAAGAATTTCTAGTCAGTAATCATATGGATTCTTAATTGCTTAATTTTGCATGAAACAGTCCAAGCAAACAAAACTAAACTTTTTCTATTATGTCAGAGAAACTCATGAAAAACTGTGCTTATTGATGAATACTTTAGAATTCAGCAATAAGAACAGCATCCTTGATTTCAAGAGAAGACACTTTTAAATAATTGAACTAAACCATTATTTTCAACAAAGGTAATCAACAAATCTTACTACTAGCTAGAAATACTTCAAGTCATCTATTTTTTAGTTTTTCTACCGTATAATCATGACGCAATATTGAATAAACACGCCATGAAACGTGCTATATGTTTTTTTAGTAAGATAGTTATTCAATGAGTTTATTTTCGGATTTGTGTTACATCTGTTTTTTCCGGAAAATTCGAGTTTATTTTTTAGTATGCTCAATGGCTGGTAACATGAGTACACCAAGAAGCCAACACACAGCATCCTTATTGTTAAATGGAAATGTATTAATCAGTGGAGGATTCAATGGAGTCACTCTCAACATTGCTGAATTGTATAATCCAACAGCAGAAATTTGGACAACTACTGCCAACCTCACTACAGCAAGATATATGCACGTGGCTGCCGTGTTAACAAACGGAAAGGTTTTAGTTACTGGAGGAAGCAATGGTGCCTATTTACCAAGTGCTGAATTGTATGATCCTACAACAGGAATTTGGACAAATACTGGCAACATGAATGTAGCAAGAGCATATTTTGCAGGATCTATGTTACCAAACGGAAACGTTTTAGTGTGCGGCGGATATAATGGAGCTGTTCTCAACACTGCTGAATTGTATAATCCAGCAACGGGAAATTGGACATCTACTGGTAACATGAATTTCGCACGCAATAAACATGCAGTAGTTGTGTTAGCAAACGGCAAGGTGTTAGTTAGTGGTGGAAATAGTGGTGCCTATTTAGCAAGTGCCGAATTGTATGATCCTGCGACGGGGATTTGGACATATACTGGCAACATGAGTGTTGGATGTGAAGAATTTACTGCTTCAGTATTATCCGATGGGAAAGTGTTAGTTTGTGGGGGGGTGGGGCTTGGTTCTAGCTATCTCAAAAGTGCTGAACTATATGATCCGGCTACAGGAACTTGGACCACTACTGGAAGCATGAATAGTACACGGGAATTTCATCGAACATCTGTATTATCGAACGGGCAAGTGTTAGTTTGTGGTGGATATAATGGTGGCTCTCTAAATGGTGCTGAATTGTATGATCCTACAACAGGAAATTGGTCAGTAACTGTTAGTATGAATTACGCACGAAATCATCACACAGCAACATTAGTGAGCGAAAAGGTACTAGTGGCAGGTGGCTATGGTGTTAGTAATTACATTATGAATGCAGAACTGTATTCGTTTTGAATAATTCGAGATCTCTGTCTAGCATATGACATTTTCTTTTATCATGCTTTATAAATCCAACGTGGATTGAATAGAAATCTACTTCCCATATCCTTATTTTCAGTACATTCTGCTATTTATTAGAAATATTAAAATTTAAAACAGATTTACATAAGCGAGTTTCACATTTCAGATATTCACTGATAATGAGTCACAACTGATCTGTATTTATGTTGAAAATAAACCGACATGACTCGACTCTCTCACTCATTGCTGCATGCTTCCTGTCCTGTGATATTTTCTATGACGTACCAATCCTGTTAGTCTACTGCAGTAGTTATTGCACAATATCAATTTTTTACAGAATAAGTACAGCATACTGGATACAAATTATCGGAGGTCCGAAGTTGGTGGGTTCTCGAATTACCAAATCTACTCTCCCATCAGCACACCATGACCTTCTTTTTTATGCTTGCTTTTAAAACTTAAATGAGTTAGCAAGCAGGCGGACGCCCACACCCTTCTATACAAGATTCTTGCCTGAAAAAAAACACATTTTGTCTTTCTGGAAAGATTCTTGTGTTCTCGCAATTCTTACATGATTCTTGTTTTCTTGCTTTTCCGGTATGACTCTTGTTTGTTGCCATTTAGGCATCCATACGGTTGCCTCCTTCCTGTCCTATTATATTTTAATTTCAATTTAAAAAAATACAAAAAAGTACAGTACATGTGCAATGAAATATACAATAAGTTCATATAGCGTACAAAAAATTAAGAAAAATTAAAAAAATCAACGAAAAACAATTGAACCAAACTATCTATTTAACAAATGCATCTGTTATAGTTCGCCAGCGTCATCCACAAAAAACATTTATTATGTTCAAACTTCTGTATATTTGGTGACCGTACATATCGTCGCGTTCACTTCGTCGCACCACATTTCGTCGCGTTCACTTCGTCGCACCACATTTCGTCGCGTTCACTTCGTCGCAATCATTTCGTCGCACGATCAATTCGTCGCAGAACATTTCGTCGCAGAAAAATTCTTTTCGTTCTGTTCGTCCCTATCTATTTGTCTCTTCTCTTTTAATGAATTATTTTTTTGTGTATAAACAATGGAAAACTTATCAGTTAATTTCTGTGTAGGTTGTGCATACTTAACATACAACATCATGAGGAATAGATTGAGAAAAAAAATGATCTGAAGAGTTATGTTGGCTGCTATATCTTTTAAGAATTGATTTAGTTGAGATGAGCCGAGGGAGTTGATCAGTCGAATTTTAATGTCAATTTTTAATTAGATAATAGAAAACGACCGGGCTTCGGAGCATGAGAGTGTGATATTAGTGCTGAGAGAAATGTGTTCAAGGATAAATTGGCATAACAACGAGTTATATTGATAAATGATTTTTATTTCAATTAATTGACTGATGTTCAAAAGGATCTTAGCTTTACAATCTAGATTCTGAGATCGAAGAATAAATTCCGTCGTTATTGTACGTTTTTTAGTATAGATGTAACCTTGGAGCATCATTACTTTTTCTTTTATAAAAAAAAACAGTTTTCCTGTTTGAGACATTTTTCTTGAGAAGTAGTGTGCATTGAAAGTTGAAATTGAGAAGTGAAATGTATTTTTTTTATTTCACATGGTTCCATAGTTAAGAATCTCGGATCAGTGTTTTTTAGTTTAGGTTACACTGAAATTCATGAAGCGAGTGACCATTTTGATTAGTCTTTATTAGCTTTAGCACTATCACAATTAAATGAGAATACTATTTTTTATTGATCCTTTTGCCAAATAAAAATTATGTCTTAGCACAATTAATTATCTATCGCTTTTGTACACATCTCTGGTAATTTTTCATTTAATTTATGCTATTTCCATTGGTTATACACAAAAAAAATTCATTAAGAGAGAAGAGACAAATAGATAGGTACGAACAGAACGAAAAGAATTTTTCTGCGCGAAGTGTCGTGCGACGAAATGTTCTGCGACGAATTGATCGTGCGACGAAATGATTGCGACGAAGTGAACGCGACGAAATGTCGTGCGACGATATGTGCTAGTGCCAAAAAAAGGATCCTTGTAAGAAACATTTCAAAAATAATGACGAATTCCGGATCTCCGACACCAATAACCTATAGTTAAAAAGATTTCAGTTACTATTTTGAGGATTTCGAGGAGTTCTTGTGTCTGCGTTTCTATTGGACGAACGAACGAACATACAAACGTACGAATTTTGCTCGCTCAGCGTATAACCCTCCTTTCAGTACAGGGAATAAGTAATAAAAGTAATAAGATTTATTACCAATTGCCAAGCAATAGTAATACAAAGTAATAGTAATGTCTCATGTGATGAAAACCGGAAGAAAATCAGCGGTTTACCGCTAAAAATGATTTGGTATTTGCGATATGTGGTAGCACCTCTAATGATGATCCATCGAAATCGTGGATAATCTCTTTTGAGGAATATTCTATTTCAAATAGAGACTTCACAGTTTAGGTGTGAGAGAAAGATAAAAATTGTTTTATTTAAATAATAACAGTATTAAGCAAGCTACGTATGTACATTTTTCGCTCTTGAAGAAAACACTAATATTGAAGGTTTCAAATATGTTAAGGATATTCAAAATTGTTTATTCTTGAAGTATCATAAAGAATTAAAATCGATCGCAGCTCCTTTTTATTTCTGGTGATGTGTGGCTCAGTGATGCGTCAGACGATAGTGGCAATATGTGCAAAGCAGATCGTGCTACAAACAAATAATATAATAATATTAATAGAATCTGCTGTATCTTTTATTCTTACTAGTTTTTTCCAGGTGAACAATCGCATCGTATATAGTGTCAGTACTTTCCGAATCAGTGACATGCTCATGATGCAATCGGGCAAACTCTTTTGGAGGATGTTTTTTCCATTTTATCTTACGATCGAATACTAGTTTGTCGAATTTTGCACCTAAATCAGTTGCTGCTTTGACTAAATTTGCCCGACTACCTAACGTAGAAATCAATGCTTTGGAATCGATGGGTTTAAGGGCATCCAATGTTGCTTGATCAAAAATATTAGGCATGAGACCATTGATATCAATAATGTTTTCTACAAACGTTTGACACATATTATTTTCGCCAGCATCATATTTGTAAAAATTTTTGTCAACATTCGATGCTGTAGAAATTAATCGATTAAGTGTTAATGGTCTATTGGGCGTTAGGGGAATATCGTATATATCCATCAGCTCATCAGGTATAATTGGATATTTGAGAGCAATACGTTGTGCTTTCTCAAGCTTGAGAACAGTACAAGCTGTTGTATTTTGTCCAACATTTTCAAGTAGATGTTGTAATACATTCGGTCCACGACTATTTTCGATAGTTATCAGTAAATAGTTATGATAGAGCTCATCATAGCCAAGTTCGAGTTGCTTATCAGTGAATTTCGAATCGCTTAATAAGTCAAGTAGTTTCAGAGGAAATTCTTGAACAGGTGTACGACCAAGTTCAATTTTAAGAATGGGTTCATCACCTACTTTCTCTAATATTTTTCTTACTCGTGATGGCATTTCTGGATCATGTTTGGCTGATATAAGTAGGGATTTGTTATACTTGAACTATAAATAAAAATTTGAAAATTCATTAACATAGGTGAAATATTTAAAAAAAATCAAGATCAACTGAAATCAATATCGTACGGAATGGTTATTAAGGTTGAAATATATTCGCATTACCTGTTCCAACAGCGCGCTGGCTGCTATCATTGTCGTTTGAAGTAAAATACTTAATTTAGTTCACACTTAGATTTTACTGCATCAATAATATCAAAGTTAATCTAAACAAAAAACAATCTTTCACAAATGGATTGAATAAAATGAATGAGGCGTTGATTGAATTAATTTTACTTTCAGCCTTATCAGTAGCTAGTCTTATCCCATGATGACGTCTGCGCTTCATGTGTTCTCCTGTCATTCACTTAGCTGAGTCAATAAATTTATTAAAACTATTCGAAAGAAAACAATAATATGAAAATCGAACTTCATGCTTTTAACTAACATTTGTAAGATTTTTTAGGTAAGATTTTTGATGAGAAACATTTTGAACTCTCATTTATTAGCGTTTACTGTATAATACTGAAGTGACATAGGAGATGTAGTTTTAATAGATGACTTTATTTCAATATTTTCCCTCGTATTATAGTGCCAATCGTTCTTCACGCAGTGAGACGCAGTTAACCAAATAGAGAAATAAGAAGGATTAGTTTTAATATATTTCAAATAACTATCTAAACTAAAAAGCGTATGATATAATTTATGATTAATGATAGAGCGAAGTCAGTATAGACGAATACATATTTTAATGAGTAAAGGGTGCCTATTAATATCGACACAATTAAATATTAGCAGATGGTTTTTCATCTTATTCTCGATTTCAGAGATTTTATTTGATCTCAGACCCACTAAAGGCCCTTTTTCCGATATCGTCATAAGATTGTATTCGATGAAACGATAGTTATAAAAAAAACCTTACCTTTTATATTCTCTACTGCATACATATACGCAGAACGAAAAATATAATCGGTGCGTACCTTTTGCTAGAATGCTTGAAGTGGCAAATGCATGTCTGATACTACAAGTTATGCTTCTAGTTATATGTGTTTCTCTTGCAATCATCAAAAGCTATGTCAGATTGTCAATATTGGCATGTTTTTTTCTATTTTATCGTTCTCTATACCCATTGACGTATGTGTATGCGTGTTTTCAATGAGTAAATCGAGAATGAAGCCTTCGAAACAAAATCTAACCCAGTATTTATCAGAAGTGCTGCATTCTTCACTAAAATGCGTCAATGAAAAATATGTAAATTATAGATAGGTTTTTCTTCATTCACCTCCAAAATATTTTTTTCTTCATTAAAGAATCTAATAATGCGACATTCGTGTTACTCAAAGGGTCGGGATCTTTTTATGAGTTGAAATTTTAAGATAAATGAACAACGACTGCAAACCACATTAGTGACTGAATTTAGTTAAGACTAAAAGCATATCATAGATTAGTTTTATCAATGTGCTTTTCTTCTTATAAGATTTGTGTAGTATTAAATATGCATATAATATATAAACAATTAATCATAGATACAGTGACGATGCAACGATGTACGAATAGAAGGGAGTATTTTTAAAATTAGAGGAAAATATGACCACCTATAAGAACATCTTAATTAGTTGAAATTGAGTAGAAGTCGGTATGTAAACCTTTTTTGTGCAGATGAAAATATGCGATAAAATTGTTAATTTTTTTCTATATAAATCAAACGTTTGAACGAGTTTGTACACTCCCACAGAACTATGGATTACTATGCGTTGTGTATAGAATGCTGGAGTCAGATTTAAAAAAGATGATATTTTACCCATGTTACCGAAACAGCTTCGAACTCGATTTTTTTATCACGATGTTTAGTCCCACGTGCTTCAAAGACACGATTCGTCTACTGTCAATGGAGTATCATCAACATAGTTCTAAACAATTTTTACTTTATACAATTTTATCGAATAATGAAATGCATATTACTTTAGGAGAATTTAAATTAATTTCTTTTGATTCATCGTGATAAAAAAATACAATGATGATCGCTGATAAGCCATGATTTAATTTAATATTTCTTTGATTCAGTGAATAGTCCTGATAAGAGTTCATATTTAAAGATTCTTCTATTTATTTATTTTTATCAATTTCATCACAATAAATTTTGGTTCAGCAAGATTGTATAATGAAAATTGAAAAATTGATCCTATAAACAGTAGGATATCTAATGAAAAGATTCGTCTATTGTCTGATATAATTCGCCCAAATGTTGAACCAAAATGGATCTTCACCAGCTCTATCGATTGTACTAATTACTTTTTTACAGAACCCTCCTATTCTAGAGAAAAATCCGGATTTGGAGAACTACCCAGATGCATCTTATTTTTCGAAAACTTATCGCGATTTTATTTATCACGAGACATGTTTTATCTATCGCAAGTGTTGTTTGTAGAGAGCGTAGCTTCTCAAACGAGATACTTAAAAAAAAACTAATAGCTACTAAATGATTTCCTATATCTATTTAATTATTGTACAGCTGCTTCCAACTTTATTATAGTTATTCAAAGATCATGCATTTATTAAAAGTTCCTGTACCTCTTTAAAGTTTCTACATTAATTAAAAAAACAACATCTCAGCCACATTTCAAACGAGAGACAAACCTTATTAATATATTTTCACACATTCTTCCAACAAATCCTGCAGCGCACTCTTTCTCTTTTATATCATTAATACCCCTGATATCGTAAATATTTGAATATTCTAATGAACTAAATACAGATTCAAATTATGAATACAAATGTTTTTATTTTGAATTTCTCTTAGAAACACTATGATGAACCTCAATAATAATAATAAAAAGGTCAACTCGTGAATATTTGAAAGTAATCAGAAATCTAATAGAAATTCAAATTTTAAGCATTTCGATTATTTCTTAAGTCATTATACGATTGATTAAGTAGCTATACGAAACCATTAAGTAGTTATGCTTAAGAAAATGCAGCAGGCAATAGTAAAAAAGTATCCCTTTTGAGAATGAACCCTCAATATTATTGTCACCAATTATAAGAGCGAGGGAGTGGGTGTCTTTCTCAGATATGGTAACGGCTCATTTGGAAATCAAATTGGTTTTGCAATTGGCTTTACATCATTTTTGTAGTTGTTGGTAACTTCAACGACGACAAACTGCTAGATATCGTTATTGCCAATGGTAATACGAACGAAGTCAGTGTCTTTTCTGCACATGGAAATGGCTCATTTGGAAATCAAAGCAAGTTTCCAGTTGACTCTTTTCCATTCTCTATAGCTGTTGGGGATTTTAACAACGACACCATAAAGGATATCATTGTCGCTAATCAGCAATGCAATGATATGAGTGTTCTTCTTGGATATAGTAATGGATCTTTTGAAGATCAAATCAGGATTTCCACTGGCTCTACCCCACAGTCTGTAGCTGTGGGTGATTTCAATAACGATACTCGACTGGATATCGTTGTTGGTAATTCCGGGAGCAACGATATGAGTATATTTCTTGGGTATGATAATGGATCTTTCGCGAATCAAATGAAGTTTTCAGCTGGTACTATGCCTTGGTCGTTAGCTGTGGGTGATTTTAATAATGATACTACACTTGATATCGTGGTCACCAATTATCAGAGCAGCGGTGTGGGCGTGCTTCTTAGATACCTGAAGATGGAATTTTTACAACAATCCACACTGACTGCTGGCAATGGTTCGCAACCTCGATCATTTGTGATTGGTGACTTTAACAATGACTATCGAATGGATGTGATCGTTGCGAGTTCAGGTTCTTCTAGCATCGCTATATTTCTTGGATGCGGCAATTATTCTTTTGCTGATCCAACACAATATTCAACTGGCTCTAGGCCAATATCTATCGCTACTGGGGATTTTAATAACGATAATCGACTTGACGTCGTCGTTGCTAATCTACTGTGTGGGTGTGGGTGTGTTCACGAAGAGGAGATCTTCCCACCCACCCACACTCATACCCTGCTTTTCATTAAACCTCTTTAATTTTTTATTTAACGCAGGTCTTTTGTTAATTTTGAAAATCAATTCGTTAAATGCCTATTTATTTTTACATGGGATTACCTTCCGGTCTTTAGCGTACCACTATTATCAAAAGAAAAAACAACAAAATATATACTGATATCTAAATCTTTGAATAAAATTGTGTTCGCAAACAAAAAAATAATATGGATAAGGCAAATTACGAATAAGATTTATGGATTAAAAACAATATATTCATTGATTATGTTTTATTATAGTGCAAGTTATTTGCCACACGCTTTTGCTACGATAGTCATTGAAAGTGCAAGATTTTTCTTCTGTAAATGAACTTTCACTTGGCTGAGTATTGTAATGGTCGATGATTTTTCATCGTCAGTATAATGAACACGATAAATTGAATAATTGTCTGGATTTCCAAGTAAACATTCGATTTGACCAATTGACATCTGAAACGTATTTTGATTGTATGATCGCGTTGTTTTAACTTCAATCAGTTCTGTTTTATCGTTTGTCGTTTTGTGCACTAGTCTAATATCATAGGGTAAACCGGATTCTTTCTTTTGATTTACCCATTCGATTTGTTCATTAGGATATTTCCATTGAAGATATCCAAAGACAAAATTTTCACCACATCGACCTGTCTTAAGATCGTCTTCCATGTTACCTGCGCTTGAATTACCCACTAATGGTAAGACATTCGATACTGAAAGATTGAAATCATGTATATTTGAAATATGAATGCGTTCAAATACAGTTGGCACCGACGACATTTTTTTTCCCACTGAAGTTAGGTCAGATAATCGTTCATCGTCATTTGACGTTGGCTGTGTGTTCACTAGAGAAATCACAATAATATCACTTATATCATCGATAAATTCTTACCATCGACCTTCGTGAAATTATTGTTTGGTACTACTTGTTCATCTGCGGTTTTCTTTAGCTGTTCTTGGACATTCTTTGAAGTAATTGATGTCGATTCAGATGAAATTACTGCATCATTACGAGATGTACACGTGAAATTGTTTTCTTTTAAGACACTGCCTGGTTGTGGTTTTTTCCCTTGCGATGGTAAATTCAAGTTTATCGTTCCTGGCTTGACTGGAAAGCAGACAAGTGGTTTTACCTCTCCTTCTCCTTCGACTTTATTAGACTGAACCTTTAATGGAAAGCAATTCGATTCTTTTTTCATGTTTTCAATGGCTTCATCGGAAATATTGACGGATGCATTATTTAAACTTATCCGTTGTTCGTCATCGGTCTCCTCATGATCTGTAAATAAGAGTTCGGGCTGTTTGATTACGGGTGCAATTACCCATTTCATTGTGCCCGATTGTAAGGGCAAGCTTTGTCTTAGACTTGTCAAACCGTCAGGTCCTTTTTGTTGATATGTTTTGAAGAGATTTTTGATAAATTCGGCGAGTTTCTGTCGTATTAATTCATTTTCAATCAAATAATTCACCAGTGTACTGATGTGTTTTTCAGGTTTTTCGATTGTTTTCAAAATAAAGAATTTTCCAGTTGATTCATCGATAAAAGACGAATGTGTTTTTGATGATTTCAATGCTCTTATTGTATTATCCTTGTATGAATACGAGAAACGGATTCGATCGACTGAAACAATTTTCATTCGAGCGAAAACTGATTGAAAATAATTTGATTGTGTCTCGGACAGGCTATTATGTTTGATTAAGAATGATTGAATAAGATCAATGGTATGCAAATAAAAATCGGTTAATTCCATCGATGGCCGTTCATTATCACTATTAGCAAGAATCTTGATGACATCACTTAGATTTGGAATTCCAAACATCGAGCAGAACATATTTTTTAAAGTCGGAGTACAAATATGACCTAGAAGATACACATATCTCTTGATTTTTTGAGTCGACTTTTCACAATAAAAAATCTACGCATTTAATTTTGATTAGTCAGAAATATTTCTCATAGTTTTAAAAAGTAACGCTAACAAATGAATAGCCCGAATTTTGTTATGCACTATACCCTAACTTAAGCCGTCTTGTCTCATAGCTGAGCAGACATCCGATTTAGGAAAATAAGAGAGGGTGGGAATTCGTATCCTTGACGCCTCTGGATATTCTTACCTGATGGATTGACAATCAACAGTATGTCTGAAAATAGACGAGCAATATCCATGTCGTGTGGATAGAAAATTGGATCGCTACATTTGCGATATTCATTTGCTGTGTCCAAACATGGAATAAAAGCCCAATTGGCAGATTTTTCTAAATAATCATAGACGTTTTAGCACGAAATCGTTTATTATCAAAAAACATTTTGTTTCGAAGTACCTCGAACTAATGTTTGGCAGTTTTGAGTAAATGCAAGATGTGTTATAACATCAATACATCGCCAAATATAGTCTTTCTTTTTACCGTTTACATTTGATAACAATGGAAGATAATCTTCAAGTGTAGGTTGTTGTTTAACTTGGAGTAAATTGATAAAGAATGCTTTTAATAATGGATTTTGCCCATAATAGGGTTGAATCAAAGTGTACTGTTTGGTTGAAGTTCGACTTGTCATTTTACTATTTGTTGTTTCTAACAGTGAATGAGGATCGTTCCAAATGACTTCATCAGCGAATAGGAAGTCGCCCATATCTTCAGTTCGCGGTATGAAAACTAGTGGCCATAGACGAAAACGAGCAAGAAGTGAATGAGTTTCATCGGCAGTAATTATCATTTGGTATACTTGACAAATATTTTCAAGTTTATCCAAACATGATTGGCGTTTTGTTCTAGGCATGATGCACGGTATTCTAAAAATATTCGACATGCAAAAGCGTTTTTTCTTCAAAGAAATACATACGGTTCGTTCGTATCCAGGTTAACATGAAGATTGATAATTTGATAGAGAGAATCTCGATCTAAATTACATGACCATTTCATAAATAATTCGAACATCGTTATGGGAGTTATATCTTTTTTAAGTCCGAGAATATTAAAAATAAAATCTGAATCTTTCAATGGTATTTTCGTAGAATCTAAGTGTGGCACATATCGACGAAGTAAATTATTTGAAGGTAGATAATACACATCGGACGGTTTGAATAGTTTTCCACCAACAACAGGTATCCAGGCATGTTGCCGAAGTGAACGCAAAAATGATGATTCGACATTTTTCACTGGTGGCACATTCATGTGTCGCATTCGTGAACGAACCACCGAAGCCACGTAATGCATTGCTATGTGCCGATGATGTTGATGAAGATAGAGTAAAAGTTGGGTACATTGATTAATATCGTTGTCTTTTGATGAAATAAGTGCATCGAATTCATTGGAACACCAATCATTTATGATAAAAGGTTCATGAATAAGGCCAGATAATGATGACATTTCATTTTCCCATGGAGTATTGACAAGTTGTTCAACATTGGCAAAACCTAAAATGAATGATTTTATTTTATTTTATTTTTTGTTTTGAAAAATACGATCTATTACGGTTGTCCATGAAATTCATTTGAAAGAAATCACTCAAATCGAGTTCATTTAGAAATGCAAGAAACTTCCTTCTTTCGCTGTCGTGATAGAATAATTCGTTTTGATATTCTTGAATATAATCGTGCGAAATGAAGGTAAATTGATGATTAGTAAGTTTCAAATGTTCAAGTGATTTTGAACAGCCATACAAAGCTGTCAAATGAACAATGGTTTTATCAGAACCAAGACGAACAAATTTTCCATCAAGCGTTTTAATTATCATCGATTTCTTTATTTGTTCCATTTCGTGTGCAAACATCTCCGGATTCAGAGCGTAAAGTTCTCTATAAATACATATGAGATATGCAATCAGTGTTGCATCGGGCTTTTTCGACCATTGGCTGTCGTCGCGAATTATCGGTACAATATGACTCGAATAGATTCGGCGCACATTACGCGCATCACAAAGACCTATATCATAATGAACGAAATTTCATTATCATTAGAATGAATCTTACCTAAAGTTGTTAACAATGCTTTTATTGAATCTAAGCGTCGCGGATATTTATCTTCGATGTAATACAGTAGACGATCATCAATTGTTGGTAAATCATCTAGAACAATCTTGAGATGTTTAGCATATTTAATTGTTTTATCTGGTGGAAATAAGATCGTTCGATTCTCGAATTCATCAATCGAAACCAATTGAGATTGTTGTCGTAATGGGATTATTTTTAATTGTTTTAATTCAGCTATTGTCGTATGTTCTGTATCGTCATCTTGATCGTTATTAAAGTCGGGCCGTTCTCGTTGTTGTTGTAGACTATAATCGATGCAAAGAAGCCATTGTGCAACTAAAGAGAAACAAGAATTTCATGTGTAATACAAGATCAGGTTCTTTCTTACTTTGTTCAATACTCGTTGTTTTCGTTGAATGTATTTGATCATTTTGCTTGTATAGCGTACGAATTAATTTGAGAATATCAGCAAAATCCAATCGACGACAGCCTAATTTAATAAGAATTTGTTCGTCAGATTCTTTGAGAAATTCATCATGAAGATAATAACTATTGAAATGGGACAAAAGTAAACTTTGCGAGAAAATTTTTCGTATAAACGGATCACGAACAAGTACACATTGTGATGGTAAAACCCAATCAATGGTTGCTTCATCGTCGTGACAAAAAACAGGTAAACGAATGATACCCATTAAACATTGAATACTTTTATCGACGAATGTATTAAAATAGGGATCGATTTCATTCCGCATTGGTATTAACTTGAGAAAATATTTTAAAGTTTGAATTTTTGTTAATGGATGATTTGTTTGATGAAAATCGAGCGCACATTTATTGAGTAGTTCGGGTAAATGTTGAAATTGTTCATAGGCCAATGAAAACAGTTGAACCATTTCGGATTTTAACCAATCGTTCCATCGATTATCACGTATAACTTCTTGTCGCGCTGCTGTTATCTCAAAATCGGCCTGTAAAATAAAACGGAAACCATACGAACGAAGAGGTAAATAAGCAAATAATGGTTGTGTCGAGAGAATTTGCCGAGATGAACATTCATAAATAGGATTTAATGGATAAGCTATGGCGATAGTTGTTGATTCGACATCACATTTTATTTCGCTTAGTTTCATCTAAACGCGGAGAAAAAAACGCATACATTTTTCTCAGTAGGAAAACTTAAAATCACTCAGTATTCTAAGAGATTATAACCACGACATTTCAAAGTCAAGGTAGCAAATCAAATAGTATACTGCTTTCTCTTACTTTGAGATCATTGGGTACATGGATAACTTTTTTCACAACAAGCCAAAAATGTTTAATGACATCGTCTCTTTGAACTGTTCGCTCTTGTAATTCAATAATTTGTTCTTGAGCGTGATCAATTCGAGTAAAGGAACTATGACTAATGATTTGATGGTCATCTTCTCGGATGATTTCAATACGCCGAAGACGATTCAAAAACAGTAGAAGTATCGGCTGAATATCGTCGAAATTTCGTTGAAGTCGATCACCTCGTTTATCTTGTTTTATCGGTAGACGAATTCGCGTTATCCATTCATCATTCGATGGTAATATTTCGCTAGACTTATCGACCCAAATTGGTCGAATATAACCAATTTGTTGAGTACCATGCACAGTATCGAAACAGAATTGATACGATCCTGAATAAATCTCTGGGCAATCGGATACCATAAATACTGATTTGAAACCAATACCTAAAATAAATGAATACAAGGATCGCGGGCTCAAGTTTATTTCATCTGTTCATCGGCGCCTTTGCTATGATCAACGTATGAACAGTTTCAAGCAAAATTCTAATTGACTACCTTTGTGTCCAGCATAGCCTTGCTTGTGTTTGCCTTTCGTTGATGCACCAACATTGCAAATAGCTGAAATATGCATGGGTCGAAATCCAATTTCATTATTACAAACAAGAATACGTTCCGATGAAAGAGCAAATCGTAGTGTCGGCAGACGATTCGATAAATATTGATTATCGTCTGCATTTTGAATAAGTTCAAGTACGAAGTGGCCTTGTTCGGAATATAGATCGTTTGACAATTTTTCAAGACTGCGCTCGATCATGCCTTGAAGATTACTTACAATTGATTGGCCAGTCGGATCGAGACCAGCGTTGACACCAAAACCACGACGGATCGATTCGATATGTTCAAATGCAGCTTGTACAGAATCGTTTTCACTTATAATACGTTTTTCTTGCTCATTATTGACGTAACTTTCAGATGATGTTGCCGGTGAGATTGGCTTCTGCATTTTTTTTCCTACTACATCTGGTTGAACATTTTCTATACGAGAATATGCTTTATATTACATTTGCAGTTATCCGGATTATATAGCCAAGAAAAAAAGACAAATTACCTTTTACAATCACTTCTGTAGTATGTGATTGTCTTTTTGTTGGTACAATCTGAATTTGCTGCTGTTCCATCCATTTACTTGTATTCTTCCATTCCTTCATATCGAGCGCACAGCCCCAGATTTCCAATTTATTCTTTTGTTTACCATTTGCCAATAGCCAAAGCTTCTGCCGATTATTGATACCTTTTTGTTCTTTATAATCAGTACGAAATACATCGTCGAGTGGTGCAAGTACAAGTTCTTGAACGATTAATGTTTGTCCGACAAGTGCTGGCAGATAGGTAAGAAATTCAAGAATATATTCCATTGGTTCGATGGGTTCGTGTCCAAATGTAGCCGATGATTGAAGCAAAACAAACCATGTATGCATTACTTGTCGATAGATACTGAATGGTAATCGATTGACGTGAACATACTCAAGAATAATCGAGGCACAAAGATAACCAACGGCAGAGCGTACATTCATTTTAGCCAATTCTTGTTCAAAATGTGTCAAAGATGATTCAATTGGCAGACGAAATAATTCATGAGTCGATGTTTCTAACAGTAGAAGGCCGTCAAGTTCAGTTTTCTTTCGAGTAATGAACGTTTTTAGAGATCCATATTTTGGTTGAAAGAAATACAGCCATTGTAACCATGTGCTTAGATCGGTCATGACTGGGCACTGAAGGATCAGTTTGCACAGATGTTCTTCATCTATAGATGACGTTGTTGAACTGATACTCAGTCGATTTAAACTAACAACATCCAAGAGTGACTCTTCAAAACTACCAATAAATAAATATTGTATTCAACTAGAGCTTAGAAACAAATCTGAATTCTTACTAGATCATGGATTGTGCTTGTTGTTGTTGTTGTTGTTTTGCTTTGTTGATGATTTGGGTAGTATCTTGAAAGCCGCATAAACTACCAAATTTGTGTTTTACACCTTTTTCAATGGCTGATAGCTGATCTGCACTGAAACAAACGGGCCTGTCAGTAGTACTTTTATTGAGTGTGTTTGCATGTGCATCATCTTCTCGTTTATCATGAATTCTTAAAAGCTGGTTGACAAATGTATATAGATCTCGTCGATTACCCGTTGGTATGACATTTTCATAGACAGATAATTGCCCGTTCGGATCGATTCGTTGACGATACAAATGAAGAAATGACATTAAGCTAAGTGGAAGACGGCCACCGTCGTCTTCATTGATCATACCGAATTCAAAAAAATTTTCGACTCCATGGTAACTACAAAATGTTTTCTCTACTTCAGCCCATTGTTTCACAGTTAGAATGCTATCGCGAGTTTTGAGATATTGGCTAAGATCAATACACAATTGATTAAGAGTTATTCGAGATTTAGCTACTGGCATGGATAATCCTGCTACCGGTGCTGTTGCTGATAACGTATTTGCGAATGATGTATCCACGGCTGTACGCATGGCAGTGTTTGGCATTAACTAAAATATTTTAGTTGAACACTATTACTATTACAAGCATCAATAGGTTGATTGAACTACTGACGTTAAAGAAAATATTACTTTTTTTAATTCACATCAATAACCCTTCAGTGATGCTGAGTTTTTCTCACGTGTTGAGACGCATTTCAACATAAAATAAAACTGATCTTTTCGGAAGTAATTCAAGAAGGATAAAATGAAAACTTTTAGAATCCTTAGAGCAGATACATATATTGACAAATAGTACTGGTTTTAGTTGAAAATTCAACTTTGTATTATGTCTCACGGGACAAGACCTAGATATCCTAGTGACTGAAATTAAGGTCAAGTCTTTTTCCTTTTTCGTTGATACTGTTACTCAAATAGGACAGTTAAGGAGGCAAGTTTTTTATGCACAAAATTTATTTCAACAATGAAATGAATCATTTTCGTATCAAACAGTTGTGAAGTATATCATTTTCAGTCAAAGTTTTCTAAACACGGGCATACACCAATTCATTTTCTTCAACATCTAAATCAATGACATTTTGAAATTTATAATTTGTTAATATTTTAACTGAAACTAACACGAAAATATATCTTCTCGAATACACGAGGTTGATCGATATGATTCGGTGCCTTGCGAAAAATGGCCGATCTCTTTATAATCACTATTTTGTAATGCAACATGCTCCGTGGAAAAGTTACAGAGCCTGTAGACTGTCAAGATAAAGTGTGTCATGAATAATTTATGACGTTTGGTTTTCTAAATATTATTTACTGTCGAGATATAAAGTGCATTAATTTTACAAACTAATAAGCTATTTTTCTTGTTCGTTGGAAAAAAATGTTTGATACTCTGATGCTGTATTGTTGACATCTTGTTTGAGCTTTTATTTTTACAGTTTCTAAAGCTAGTAAACACTTATTTTTGCTCTTAATGTAGAAGCTTGATTTTTGCTTTTTGCCGTTAGTTTTTTTGAGAAATAGCGAATATTAATTCTTAACGGTATTTTCGAAGAAGAAACCATTTTGACTTATATTTAATTGAACAATAATTATACTGAATGAGCAATAAATTTGTTGAATCAAAAATAACTAATTCTAATTAGAGATAAATTGTATTAAAAAGGGCAATATGCGTTGGCCTTTTTACGCAAATAGATATTTTTTCAATTTTATGAAATAGAATATATAATCTATACAAATTACTCAATGACAACGCGTACCACAATATATTGCTGATTGTGAAAAGGACAGTGATATGGAACTGGATTCTTCTAATAACAGTGAATAGATTAAAAAATGTAAAAGACCAAAATAGACAAACATGCGTTTGGGTGCAGGTAAGAAAATTTTACTGATCAAATATCGATTGCCAGAAAAATTTGATCCATATTATAATAATTTGTCAATTTTTTTTAATCAATCGGATACACGGTCGGGTCCAGGTTCGTATATTTTTGGACCGGATGTGCTCTAGTGCGAGTTATAGTTTATCTCTTAACTTAGACCCACACCTAACAGAGGCAAAACAATGTGAAAAACGGCAGAAAAAGAAAAAATGGCTTCACTGACAATGATTTATTATTTTTATTTACGATTGTAAATAAAAATAATGTACTTTTTCTTTTTTTTGTATGGTTAACATGAAATTATTACTATTTTTTAATGAGTTATTTATTGCTCATTTGACATTATAAAATTGTTCAAATAAATGCAAGCCAATGTTTTTGTGACTACGTGAAATAAATTATTAGAGAGGTACGCAAGAACAAGAAGCAAACATAGACTCATGTTTTTCTGCTAGAAGTTGCAAAGCTGATTTCTTTTTTTTGTATTCGTGTATGATTATACATTTATCGTGAATAATTTACGTTCTCAGTAGTTACAAACTTACGGATAATTGATTGGATGACCCCGATTGGTATTGTTTGTTATGAGGTGATTGGTTCATATCTGGTAGTTGAGGGTTTTGTACTGTACTTGATTGAATCGGACTAATAATTGGATATTGATAGAATTTTTTCAATTCTACCAGTAATTCTTCGGGCTTTTTCATTGTTCCGAGACAGATGCTTACATTGAAAAGACTCTGTAATAATTCATCTTTTCGAAATTTATTCAATGTATCTTGAAGGATTTTTTGTTCCGATACGACTAGATATTTTTCAACGATCGAAATTAGATGATCAAAAACTATTGTAGGCGATTTTTTTTCCTTATCATGTGGACTTTGAAATTCAAATTTTACTTCTTTGATTAATTCTGCAAATTTTGCTTGAGCTATTTTCATTATTTTCGATCTGGCATCTGATTCTGATTGGCGATTATGACGTCGATGTTCATGTGTCAATTTTCTTGTCACCTAAGTGAAAATACTTCATTCAATGATGTCTTATTGCGGGAGTCAAATGCAATTACCTCAGTTAAGTATGGAAACGATCGACAAAAAATGCCAAGTTGTTCACGACTTTCCACTTTGTATTCTTTAACTAATTTTTCTAGAAATTCATCGAAGGGTATACGCATCGGGCCACGATATGCCGCTTGAAAGTCAAGAAATGCATTGATAACATTGCTTGTTGTAATCTCAGTAATTGCTTTGCCCGATGTTGGTCGCGTGTATTGAAATATACGTTTTATATCGGGATGTTCTTCGAGTGGACCCAAATGAGCATCTTCATATTTTTCTAGTTTAAGAACTTTAGCTAACATCGCGCCAAGATCGTGTAGTGTGCATAAATTGAAAACTTTTTCAAAGACTTGCATATAAAGTTTCACAGATTTATGACGTTGAATCAAATTATTCAATGGCGTAAGATTACGCTGGTCAACACCAATTTGATGAAACGAACGTATGCCTAAATGTTCAAAGATTTCACGTTCAACGCGTTGAACGGAAACAAACTCTTGACGTGCATGTATTGTCAAAATAATTTTGCATAGAAAATCAATAACAAGTTCTTCTTTACACGACTTTGCTTGTGATACAGCAGGAGCATTGATAGTGTCTGCAATATATGAAATACAGCATAACAAACACTTTTACAAGGAATAGCTGGGCAAGACGCTTGATTATTTTACTTCGAAATTTCCTGGCAATCGATCTAAAATTATGAGCAGTTCATGCTATCAATTTTTCTTTTCGTTTTCTCCCTCTCTCTCTCTCTCTCTTTCTCGTCATCAATATTGTTTAAAAAAGCTAAATTTATCTACCAATTGGATGAGCCAATTGAATGTTCGGTGGTACCGCGTGATAAGTAGTAGTAGGAATTGCTGATTGTTGACAAGCTAAATGGTTCGGTTGCATAAGCAAGTCATTTGTTGATGAAGATTGTTCATTGTTGGATGCTGCCAATAAATTGATGGCTAAACCGAAAATCAAATTATAGATCAAACATGTTGTTGACGCGTTTCACACGCGTATCTCACGGGTAGGAATAATCGTTTGTGCATTGCTGCATGCGTCTGGTTTTTGCAGTTGCTGCTGAAAAACAAAGAAAATAGGTTGAAAAAATTTTCAATGATACATCGAATACCGAAAACAATTGATTATTATTATGTAAAACAATTTTAGAATCAGTCGATTGGGCAACATGATACGATGAGGAATTTTCGCCATTCCTACGCTTAGGATCTTTAGTGAAGGCTCGACTCATCACGTTGGCTGCAGTCGATTGTGTGCCCGACAGTAAAATTAATGTTGAGTTTCTTTTTCTTTCAGTCCGACTGACTTTTCTTTCATATACTTTCTCGGCAGAGAGAAAGCAACAAACCAACGCTCCACACGCCAACACATGATTCACATCCTTTTTTATTTTGCATTATGTTGTCGCGAATTATCTTATTTTTTGCAAAATATTTATTCATAGAAACCATTGGTATAATGCGTCTGCCGTGATGTAGCCGATCGTACGCATTCTCTTAATTCGACGCTGATCAAAATAATATGCTTATCACACTGTGTCCAATATGCACACAGTATTTTTTTCCAAAATATAACGATTCTTATCAAATAGATGTGATCAAAATGTCTGTGTGTCTCGATTTTTTCTATTACTTCTATTTTTAATATCAATATTTCTATTGAAACTGCATGATAGGAGAAAAATTCAGTATATATTTATGACACATGTATAATACAGAACATATTGTTTCAATAGAAATATTCAATCAAACTACTCGTTTATTGACTCTTCATACTTTTCGAACTTCAAATAGGCAATCTTACAATTGAAAAATACAAATCTTTAGGAGATCAAAAGAAATGAATTTTACACCACTACACTCGCGAGAGTTATAATATGATTCGAAAATTTGCTTTGTTTTCGAAGTCACGACACATTATATGGAATGGAAAAAAATAAGAGAAAAAATTTTCCCATTCTTATCGTTAGAAAAATATTGCATTTGCCGTCATATTTCAACAGTACCTTTGCTGGATTCTTTCTCGCGTTGAGCAAAGATAAAATCTGTGATAAGAATTGCAACACCAATGTCAAGAGATCATTCTATCGACTAAATGGCAACGGTTTTAAGTGAGATATTTGTTTTTTGTGTTTGTAGACTGACTCAGGCTTTAAAAAGAAGCATAAAAAAGAAGGTCATTGTGTGCTGATGGGAGAGTTATTTCAAAGTATCCGATAACCCACCAACTTCGGACCTCCGATAATTTGTATTCGGTATGCTGTACTTATCCTGTAAAAAATTGATATTGTGCAATAACTACTGCAGTAGTTAACACGAATGGTACGTCATGAAAAATATCACAGGACAGAAGGCTCACAGCAATGAGTAGTAGAGTCGTCATATCGGTTCGTTCTCAACATAAATACAGATTAGTTGTCACTCATCAGCAGTGAATATCTACAATGTGAAACTCGCCTTATGTGCATCACTTTCTGATTTTAATATTTCTAATAAATAGCAGAATGAATTGGCAAGATGAATTTGTGTGGTTATCCTCATTGTTCCTCTCCGGTAAAATCGAAACACTCATATGTAAATTTTGCATGATGTGGATGAAAGATTTCTGCAGTTATCGACCGATACAAACGCTAACACATAACCACACTACTATGTATTCTCTCTGCACCAACAACGTAAAGTATCAATTCATCTTGAGGATATATATGTGTACGGATAGTGTTAATGTCTATTGCTTTCTGTTTGTCGAACCACTGAGTAAACCCATAAACATAGTAATGATTGAAAAAATCAGCATCAGGGTCTGCTCGAATTTCTGGTTGATAATTTTTCAATTCATGTTCAATCTTGGTCGACCAAAATTCGTTGGTTGCTGAACTGAAAAAGAGCGTAAAAAAAACAACGAAGATGATAAAGCAAAACAAATTAATTTAGTTTTCTTACAGTAATATTTATTTCATTATTAGATCAAATTTTCTAAAACAAAAGCTACTGACAATCATACTGATGAAATCTTTTGCCGTGATGATGGCACTCGATTGACGGAAGGCGGATCCTGAGCGATTTGTGTAATGTGAGTAAGATATCTTTTTTTTTATTTCACAAAATCCATAGTTCTGTGCAGATTTCTGCAAATGCTTGACTTATATAGAAGAAAAATCAGCAACTTTTTCGTGCATTTTCATCTACGGAAAAAAGTTTTACCTTATTTCGACTAATCAGGGCGTTTTGGTATTTGATCACATTTATTTTGATTTCAAAAAAGATCTTCTCCTACTCTGACCTCTTCATGTCGTTCGTTAAACTATGATTAAAATGTTTGTCTATTATGAATATTTAATATTAAATAGACCTTATAAAAAAGAACACTAGGAATAGAGCAGAGACAAAAACAAACAAAAAACGAGCCCGTCAACTTTGATAGTATGTCATAGTAGTTGATGATCGCAGGAGAAAAATGAATGTCAACATGAATAATTTGTAGCACTAAGTATGCATTCTTGCACAAAGGTAAACATCGATTAAATCATCTGTTCTGTGTTGATGTCTACAACAGAAAATATAAAACCAACGTGACTTTGTTTAAAACTATCTTTTCTTCAAACATAATCCTATTACCGTATCGAAAACATTGACTTTAATAGATCTAACAATGCATGAAATCACTGTTGTTGAAAATACAACGAACAGAACTACGTAAATATTTAATCGTGTCGATATTAATACACATCATTTACTCGTCAAAAACATTTATTTGTATACCATAGCCTTGCTTTTTCATTAATCATAAATTATCTCAAGCAGTATGTATTGTAGATAATTATTTGAAATATATTTGAACTGCTCTTTCTTCGTTCTCTCTTTGGTTGACTGCCCATTCGTGCCTAAGAAAAAGAATAATGCTATAAAACGAGAAAAAACAATCAAAGAAAGGCACCCATTAAAGCGACATTATTTATGATACGGTAAACGTTAATAAATGAGACTTCGAAAATTTTTCTCGGCGGAAATCTAACTTGAGAATTTTAGCAATGTTAATTAGAAGCATCACGCCTAATTCTCATCCTATTGTTTTCTTTCGAACAGTTTTAATAAATTTCTTGGCTGAGCGAAGTTAATAACAGGAGACTACAGGAAGAATGGACGTCGCCACAGGACAACATTAACTACTGCTAACGCTGAAAAACCAAGTCAATTTAATCAACACCTGATTCATTTTATTCAATACATTGGCGAATTTTCGCTTCTAGTTTAGACTGAGTTTCGTATAATTGACATCTACGTGTTGATCAAATTAAATATTTTACTCCAAACAACAATGAAAACAGCCAGCTTGCTATTAGAACAGGTAATACCAATATATTTTAAGCTTAAGAAACGTTCAGTATGGTTTTGATTGTTTTGTAAATACTTCACATATGTTAATTAATTCTCCATTTTTCATTTATAGTTCAAATATGATAAATCCCCAATTATATCTTTTAAATATGATCCAGATATGCCAGTACGAGTAAGAAGAATATTAGAGGCAGTGGGGGATGAACGCATTCTTAAAATTCAACTTGGTCGTACACCTGTTCAAGATTTTCCTCTGAAAGTGCTTGACTTATTAAGCGATTCGAAATTCACTGATAAGCAACTCGAACTTGGCTATGATGAGCTCTATCATAACTATTTACTGATAACTATCGAAAATAGTGGTGGACCGAATGTATTACAACATCTAGTTGAACATATCGGACGAAATACAACAGCGTGTACTGTTCTCAAGCTTGAGAAAGCACAACGTATTGCTCTCAAATATCCAATGCTGCCTGATGAAATCATTGACGTATATGATATTCCTCTAACACCTAATACGCCGTTGACACTCCATCAATTAATTTCTACAGCATCGAATGCTGACAAAAATTTTTACTTGTATGATGTTGGTACAAATAATATGTGCCAAACATTTGTCGAAAGCATAATCGATGTCAATGGTCTAATGCCTAATATTGTTGATCAAGCAACATTGAGGGCCCTTAAACCCATCGACTCCAAAGCATTGATTGGTACGCTAGGTAGTCGAGCAAATTTTGTTAAAGCGGTTACTGATTTAAGTGCCAAATTGGACGAGATGGTATTCGATCATAAAATACTGCGGAAAAGCGTTTCTCGAAAAGAAACTGACCAATTGCATCATTCGGATAGTACGGACTCGACCAGTGTCGATGCTCTACAGGATGCAATTGCTCAAGTTCAAAAGATTTGTAAGAATAACAAAAACAACAAACTCGATAGCTGTTATATTATTTCTATTGTTTGCAGCACAATCGGTTCTTCATGAATTGTTGCCGTCGTCGGTGTCATCACTGCAAGACACGCCTCAACAAATAATTGAACGGTGGGTTCGACTTTAACGCCCTCAGGATGACTCAAGAACAAACGATTTCGAATATCTTTAACATACTTGCAACTCTCGATATCAAGATTTTATTTAGAAGCAAAAACCAATATTTACAACACCAGGTTCATATTGTTACTATTTACTTAAATAAAGCAAGTTACCTTTCTGTCATTGCTAGTTTTCCTTTCGGGTCTAGTCGTAATTGATCATTGTTAGAACTGCTATATTTATCGATCGAGTTGTTCTTGTATATTTTTGCATAGATCGGCAAACTGCTCAGTACCGGTGTGAACTATCGATCATTTTTGTTACAGTGTAACACAATGAAACAGCTGCATGAAAAATAGGCCGAATTTTGTTTCACTTTGACACGCTATTCTAATCGTTTGTTACCGTCCATTGATGACTATTTCAGAGCATTTAAAGATTCCTTCATCGATAATTTACTTTGTACCAACGTCGCAGCTGTGATTAGAAACAAGAAAATTATAAACTAAACTAATTCTTCAAGATACTTGTCAGCGAAAAAATATGATCACAAAAGTACTACCGACATGCTTTGCTCGAATTAATTTTTCCATGAAAAGTCACAAATGAATTCTCAAAAAAAAAAAATACTTGACTGTTTCAACAAACGACAATGAATTAATGGTCTCTCTAAAAACCAATGTCGCGTTTAGATCTAAAAGATGACTAACATATCATTTATTCTTCCTCATCGGAATGATCTAAACACACTTCTCCTTTCTACAACTAGACAATTTGAAACTCAGTAATCCAGTAAACGAAATAGCACAAATCACTCGAGAGCAACCTCGAGTCGAACGCTAAATTTCACTATTTTTGCTTTCAACTAAATTGTCATCTTACGTCCGTACTTCTATAACCCATTTCAAATTAATGAATCATTTAATTTTTAGAAAAACAAATTTATATTTATATATTTTATAATTATCCTCTGACACAACCGACATTAAACAGCAGGAGAAAAATTAATGGTAATTCAACGAACAATAAACAAAGCAAAAATTCTATTACTCTTTCATATTGAACATTAGAAAAATTCAAACAATTTCAAGAGAGATTGACAGTATCATATAAAAAAAAAGGAGGACAAGATATCTGACAGATTCTAACAATTTATATATACAATAAGACAGAAGTAGAAAAAAAGAATTCATCATAAATGCATTAGCAACAACGATCTACAAGGAAGAAAAAAGAAACGCGAAATCTTTTGTTATCGAACGCCTATATTCTCAATATTCCGAAGCTCCTATAAACTGTGCGATGCTTACGACTGTTGCCGCCGCCATTATTATTATTATTTGTTTAAATATCTACACATCGTTCAGATTGATAACAGTTCATCCACTGATGCATAACCGGAACTTGACCGACGGGAACGTTGTTCATGGTCTTCTTCGTCCATTGTTACTTGATCACCGTTCGGCGGTACATATTGTGGTGCATAGGTAAAACCGGGTTTAACAATTATCGATGAACGTCTATATTCATCATGAATAAATGCACAATTTTGCCCTAATACAAAAAAAAACATCGTAAAACTTAGCCGGATCAAAGAAAATCATAATACTTTACCATACGGACAATTATTTGTCATATGAAATAAACGACATAAAACTGATTTATGATTTGAATTTCGTAAATCATCAGCTCCGTGTGCAAACGTGCAATCACCATCAAATTTGCATACACCAGTTTCGACATAATATTTGCATAATTCCGTTTTATATTTTGAATTGCTCGTTGACCACGAAGCAATTTTTGCTTTATCAATGACAATCACAGGGCCGCAAGGAATCTTTGAAAATGCTGTATTACGTGATAAGCGCATGTCCTAAACAAAAAATTGAAATTTCATTTTTGTCGTTTCGCCTCAGAATATACTTCTAAAAGGAGATCGGCACAAGAACGAGCTGTTCAATTACATACATTTAGAGGTCAATAATTCTTTATATTGTATGACCTGTCGAAATCACTCCTCTCCGTCCAATCGGATACGATGGATGTTACCATCGCAATTGTATCTTACACCATATAGTCAAGATCAGTTCTTTCATCTTCGAGACATGTGACATGTTTGATTTCACACGACACCGAAGTTTTCGAATAAATCATTCTCAAAAGCTTTCCGCTTGTTTCTATCGGGAGAGATTAACAAAATTCTACTTACAAAAGCTCGAATATATCGTTTTAAATCCACTTGTTCATCATCACGAAACATTAATTCAAACATAAGTTTATGTCGATAAGCTTCTCGTTGAGTTTGATAAGTAGACGACGTTGACATTTTGGCTATTTCTTTCTTTTGCGCTTCAATTGACGATAAAATTCGTTCTATATATGCTAAAATTAAATGAAACAAATTGGTTTATGAACAGACATGCATATAGAAATGGCTTACAAATTAACGTAGAAGTGTGAAACAGCTATAACAATTGATCAGCCTAAGAAAAATACAATGTCATACATTTAGTATAGTCCACAATGAGAAAGTCAACGGTTAATGACGAAAAAAATAAGTTCTTCACTACATGTCAAAAACAAAATGAAAACTTTAAAATAACAATCAAAATTCAAAGCGGAGCTTTTCTTTTTCCTCATAGATGGTTTTCCAAAGAAAAATATTTATTGAATCATTACTGTCATAGAAACTATTCTTAAAGAACTGAGAGAGAGAGAGACTCATCAGAAGCGTCATTCATCTGCATATCTACTTATGTGACTAAACATTTTCCACCGATGACTAATTCAAAAATACTTACACATTAAAATCGACTGAAGGCAAAAATGCAGATTGACTTTTTTTGCTGAAATAAAATGTATCGTTGTTCGTTTAGCTAACAAGTGAATAAATGTATATATATATATATATATATATTTATCTATTCGAATGTAGCGATTTGTCAAAAAAAGAGAAGAGAATTAAACTGTGTTTGTTTGTCTATGTGTGAACGTCACACCACCCAAACGAACGAGAACAAACAGATATATACATTTGGCAGCAACAATGTTTTCTCTCATCCGTCCTAGGTTAAAATTGAATATATAGAGATAGTAGAACAGTAAACAGTTGATCAGACGGACGGATAAAAGAGAAATAGATGAATAGTTAATCATTTGAAACTTAAATTTTTTAAATTGCAGACAAAACATATGTAGATTGATTTGCTTGAAGAAAAACATTTGTCTGATTGATTGCTTTTAAAGATAGATCATCATTATTAGTTTATTTATCCATAAATAATTGACATTATAACGGCAAACAATGTAAACAAATCAACTTTTCACGTGAAAAATCCTTCTCAATAAAATCTTCTCATTACAGAAGAAAATTATTTCGACGTATGTGTTTGTTTACAGGATGTAAATTCGAAAATCTACAGTAATACATAAGGGTGTTAACATATTTGTCTGAAGGAAAACATTTTCTTGTTCATTCATACGACCGCTAAGATTATAGTCTGCTCGTTCGCAAAGCACCATATAGCAAGAGTCAATGGCTGTGATAATTCTAATTTTTTTCCACAACACATACACATAAGAAAAAACGGCAAGAGAGATGATCGATGGTTGCTACTAAAAAGTAGACCAGAACGACTTTAGTCACTAGACTCTCATAGCAGTAGCATTGCAGCACGCAGTTAATCGGCAATTCTTGTTTGTGTAGCGGTTGAAGTAGCAGTTTTCGAATTTCTCAGTATATTGGTGGAAATTGACATTGTAAACGTGTACGTAGAACGGGAAAGTTTTATTTTGTAAATATGAATATGAATGAAAGCGAGCGAAAATACATCGGAAACTGTTCGTAGCTGTATCAGGTGTGGAACTAACATCAGTGACTGCAGTTATTTTTACTAGTAACCTTCGGAGCGGCAATTTCAGCCTTTGCTTTTTATTGATTTATCAGCTACTCGAAAGAGAAATCAAGATATTTTTATTGTATAGAAAACTTATTGAATATTTGTTGTTATCGTTTCTTTATATGATGTTAGTTATGAAGGATAAACGTAATGGTGGTGATATTTTATATCTCATTTTTTTTTCGTGATCAATTACATGTCGAAGCTTTGCTGTTATTATTCAAGTAAAATCAACTAGATATTAAATTGGTACGCTATGCGACAGAAATCTGAGATTCGAACAAAGTGACACAACGCAATTGAAAGCGTTTTTAATAGTGGGGGCGTATTTCCTTAGTATTTAGTAAAAACTAATGACTTGTTAATTAAGCATGAGAGAAGTAGAAAATTTTTACGATACTTCGTATGGAAGAGACTAATTGTCTAATACTTTATTGATTGATCAGATGGCATTTTAGTCACGATGACGTTTGACAGTATGGATTCGTCATGGAGAACCCATCCGCTGTCGATCAATGGGCATTGCGGCATTCTTTTACTGAAAAAATCCTATCAAAAAATTAAAAAATGAACCATTTTTAATTGTAAATTAATATATAATATCAAACGATCGGAAATGTTAGGCTTGATGGTCAATGGTTTTTACACACGCAGAAGCATTTGGTAATCGTACGATAGAACAATCAGAATAATATATTGTTTAGTCTCCTACGATTTATCTTTGTATTTTCAATGAAATAATTGTTCAATGTTACATAATACAATTTTATTTATAAATATCAAGAAATGAATATTATGTTCTCAAAAACAAAACAAAAAACTTCAAATAAACTTCATTCTGCAAAAAAGGAAACAAAAAATCAGATCGACCTGCAATATCTAATTCAAAGAAATAATAGTAAGAAAACAAAAGCTGATCGACATCGATCAATATCTACGATTACTACAAATTTGAAAAAAAAAACAAGAAAAAATTAAAAAATAATGTCTCTTGCAATAGGTAAATTCTTGAAAAACTGAAGAAGCGTATTGGCATAGCCGAGTATCGGTGTTGTATTATTATCTGACGGCAGTCCAAATATCCGAACGTACCACCGATAAGGTGTTAATGCGATATGACCAAGTGCATGAGATCGAACAAGAGCATAGCATGAAACATGAACATTGTTAACAATAATTGTTCCTTGTTCAGTTAATGGAGCCATAAGGCCTTGTTTATCAACTTCGGTGATTTCAATAATTTTTTCCCATATTGTCTTATTTGAACTTTTCGCCGACAGAACAAGTATTTCATCACCTTTCGCTAAGCTTTCAGCCCAAACAAAACCATTATTACGTTGATTAATTAAATGACGATCGGATAATTCAATAACAGCGGTTTTAGTACGAATACGTCTATAGGAAGCTTCTTCGTCGAGTTCACGATGAAGAAATGAAATAATTGGCGAATAAATAATTTGATTTTCATCATCAATGACTCGTACTTGATCACCAATTTTCAATGCAGATAATTTAACTTTACCAACATTAATAAGATCAACAGTGGCATCTGACGGAAAACATTCTTGTTCTAAATTATCAAAACAAACAGATTTCGAAAGGAAAAACAATCATATACAAAATAAGCTTACGTTCACAGTAGACACCCCTATTTCTATTACGACATTGACAGTAGAATTGATTGTCAGGTTTTCTTACACAATAACCACCATTTAAACATGGCGATGGACTGCACGGATCATTACTACAAGTTGGACCTGAGAATTCACGTAGACAACTACAACCGCCAAAAGGTTCCTCGTTGGTTCGAACACATGTACCTAAATATATATATCGATACAGATCTAAATAATTCCTTTCTTTTTGTTGACTAAGAATTTGAATTCAAATCTCACGGAAAGATTATTATTGAGATCACCGTGGGATTAAAATATGAAATATCACAGTTCGTGTTATAAAGCTGACTTCTAATCCTTATTCGCTTAGTCAACATATAATAGGCGCATCTTTTCTCTAGTTTTACCTCCATTAAGACAAGGATAAGCTGAACAGAAATCAGTTGAATCACATCTTGGTCCAGCAAAACCCGTTTTGCAAACACATTTGTTCGCCGCACATACACCCTAGAATTTTAAAAGGAATTATTCCAACACAGAATCCTGTCCATAGGTTTACCTGGGTACCATGACAAGTAGCATCTCCGCAAGGTAAATAACTAAATTGACTACAGGTTACACCGCGAAATACTGATGTACATAGACATTTAGCTGAAAACAAAACAATAATACTTCATCATCCTCAACAACAAACAAATTTATAATTGATTTCACCTTGATTATTTTCTAATAAAACACAGGTTCCGCCATTTTTACTAAAACGAAACAAAGAAATAAAATAGATATATTTTAAAAATCTTCTGTTTTCTCGTGCATTACCAAGGATTTGGATTACATGAATATGTTCGTATAACGACTTCACAATAAGTACCACGAAATTCAGGTTGACATCGACAATAACCATTAGATTTTCCGTCTTCAATACATACACCGTCGTTCAGACAGGGACCTGACGAACAATAGCTTCTATATCCTTGAACCTCGGTTGATGTCTTATTATGTAAATGTTCACAATAATCGCCAATAAATCCTTCCCGGCAAACACAAATACCCTATTTTAAAGGTAAACGTCGCAACATTATTTACTCAAAAGGTTAAATTATCATTTAGATTTATGTTACTTTTGTCGTTGCTGTATTGGTTACAAAGCATGTTCCCTCGTTTTCACACGGATTTGTTAAACAAAACACAAATTTCGCATGATCACCCATGGTCACAACAAAACTATTAGTTCGTTGAATAACAGGAGCATTGTTCGTATTCGATGAACTTATAGCAGCAATAGCTGCTATTATATCTTGATTATTTTGCGGTCGGCTTTGGGTAGGCGGAGCTTTCTTGTTGACTTTTGCTGCTGTTGTATACTGACAATAGTCACCACGGAAGTTTTTCGGACAATTACATCGAGCACCGTTAGCTATAAAAAAAAATACAGAAAACAACACATATCTCGTTTGCTTCGCTAACGTATCAATCAAAAAGACAACATCCTATTGAACATTTTTTAAATAATACATACGAGTTTGAATACAGGTTCCATCATTATGACAACTGTCAGTTTGACAAGAAAGTAGTGTTCGACAATCTTTGCCAGTATGATTCGGCGGACATAGACAAACATAATCTAAATTGGCAACATCAACGCAAGTACCACCGAACCAACATGGATGAGCATCACATTTCGACGTTGCATTACATAAACGCTGGCATGTTTCACCACATACACCCTTTTGAGGAAAAATTTAGGTAAATTCAATAATGAAAAAATCAACGGTTCAGATAATCTACTTGAATACAGTGGCAAGTTTTCTTTGTTAATCCATTAGGAAGACTTATGATTTCACAATCGCCACCCCGACAATCATTTGTTTGACAAAATTCTTCGCAAAAATAAAAATAAAAATATTTCTTTTCATTTATTCAAATATATTTAAATTACCAGCATTGATCAAAGAAAAAATGAAAGAAAGACAAATAATAAACAAAGTCGCCTGCAAAATCAACGCTTGTATACAAATAATTAATTCAATCATTCATCACTTACTTTCATATTCGAACTTCTCTTCTTTTTTTTTTACCGAAATAGAGCTCAACTTCTGTGTCTTAGCTTTTGTGTGAAATAATTTTAATCATGAACAATGCTTCTCTCGCTCCTTCTCCCTTTCCCTCTCTTTCTCTCATCATTATTGTACTTATGTAAAGTAGAAAGAAGAATATGTATACGAAAGTTGATCCTGTTCAAATGTTGACGAGCGCACTTCGAGGTAATAGTAGACTTATATAAATGAAAATGAAACAAGACATTTGTTTGATTGAGGTAGATGACATAAGCTAATAAGGAAATGTTGACCTTAGGTGAGGATTTTCATTCGTTATACATTGCTTCTTTGTTGTTGTTGTGTTATAAATAGAGAGAGAATTTCAAGCATAAATGTATTCTAATGACCTTGCCAAAATAAAATATGCAAATATGAAATAAGAGACTAAGCGTTCAAAAAAAAAGGAAAAAAATACAGACGTGTATACAAACGACAAAGAAGAAGACGAAGAAAAAGACACGAGATTAACACACATTAAAGAAATCAATTGGTTTGTCTCTTTTAAGTATTTTGTGTTTCGATGAAATTCGTACTAATGATAATATCGGGATTGATATGTTTTTGACGTTCTTTCCATGGAGTTATTGCCAAACGAAATCTCTATTTAACAGAAAGAAAACAAAAAGAGGATTTTCTTTTTCGATTAATTAATTAATTCATTACTGTTGCTAAACTTCCACGTTCAATTAATAGTTGATAAATGGCAACAATTGGAATGAAGATTACTGAGGACAAGGCGAATCCCCAGCCGACTAAATGACTCCAATCAGGATACTAAAATAGAATGGATTTTAATTTAGAAATTCGTTGAAAAATCAATCTACTGAACCTCGTAATAGAATGGATCAGTTACTTTTCCATAATTTGGATGAACATGTTGAATAAGACCAGAAAGAACAATACCCTTGAAATAGAAAAACTAGTGATGTGTGAGAAAAAAATATTATTTTCAAGTCAATCATTTTTGTGATTTTTTCGATTCTGCATATTCTATTTCAATCAGTCGAGAAATTATTGAGAAACTTCATTTTGAGGTTTTTGCTCTATAAACCATTTATTATGTTTTCATCTATTCTATTAATCTAGAGTTCGTGATTATGCTGTCAGGCCTATGGACAATTAATTAGTAAACACAGCAGGAACTTTATTGTCATCGGTCGATCTTTAAAACATTGAGTTTTGTCTATGGTTAGGAGCGTGGAACTTCTCGTCTAATCAAGAGATAAATAAAAGTTCAATAATAGTTTATCGCAATCCACTGAAACTGAAAAGTTTTGCTACTTCTGTGCAAATAGAGAACAGTTAATGTACCTTGTCACATAAGAAATTGACATGATATTTCATATCGTTAACATATCTTTGATACTTATGTAAATTCCCCAAGAGCAATAAGTCAGTATTTTAGCATATGTATCAAACGTACATTTATTCTTTTGAAATCAGTTCAAATATGTTTACTCCTTCCTTTTCTTTTTTTTTCTTCTTCTTCTTCTTCTTCTTCTCTACTACTCGAATACTATATGAGATATCAATTGCGTTTGCTCACTCAAAACTCTCACGAAGGAGAGAATAAAAAACAGCCAATTCTTCTCATATCATTTGAACCTTAATTTTAACCACATGTTCACTTGAATAACTATGAGTAGAGCAAAAGGTAAATCTGACTTCAAATCGATCAATGACTCTTCTGACATTGCCACGAGGTATCAAGGATTAAATATCAGCGGAACAGATATATGAGAAACTATATTATTGTTTGACTTTCTCCATTGAACAGCTGAGAGGCTTTTAACCTTTCACGGCTTTTTCAGACAAGAAATTCAAGGGCAATAAAAACAATAAACAGTTTGATAAAAAGAAAGATTCTCTATCAAAACAAAAAACTAGTCTCTGCTCATTGCCGATAAACTGAAATGCTCTATTCTTTATAGGTCATCCATAGTAAAAAAAATATGTATATATATATATATGTAATTTCATTACGCCGAGAAATAATGGTGCAATTAGACACCATGTTATAATCCAAAATTTTCCTGGTTTAGTTCCAAGCATTTCTTTGACATCTTCACTAATTCGTTCAATACCGTAGAGCCACGATACGGCTATTGCTTCGAAAAGCACAGCAATAATTATCGAATAAAAAGCTTAAGAAAAGAAAACAGATTCGTTTGATTTATAGCGACAAAAACAACAACAAAAATACTATTTACCAGCGTAATTTTGTAATAATTCAACAAAATAAACGCCTGCATCTGTACAACTCGGTATACCAATAACAAAGTAAAGTGAAAATAAAATTCCAACAAACCATTCTCGATGTTGACGCAAAACGGGAAATACATCACTTAATGCTGTTATTATTGCTTCGCTTCCACCAAACTATGAATAATAATAATAATAACCATAAAATGAAATATTCTCTCTCTCTCTCTCTCTCCTGTTTTTAGATAAATATCTAATCATAATTACCGATGAATCTAAGCCAAGTGTTAACAACATTAGAAAGAAGAATACAGCCCAAACAGGCGCCCATGGCATTGTTGCTATAGCTTCCGGATAGACAATAAAGACAAGTGTTGAACCTTGTTCGGCAACATCTTTTATGTCTCGACCTGATATTTCACTCATGTAACCCTAGAAGATTAAATTCGGTGAATATATCCATATGAAGATTTGTAAATTGAAATATATGTAGATAGATAATCGGTCGATTAAGTGTTGATTTTTGCTAATCTGAGTTTGAGTATTGAAAATCAGTATTTTCAATCAAATATTCTATACTGCTAGACGCTTACCAATCGAAATAAGCATAGATTCATATGTAAGATTCCAGGAGAAGATTGTTTGTATAGTTTCAATTATGAAACATAATTTTCACTTGAGAAAATGAATGATAGATAGAAATATTCGATATTGTGATTCTTAGAGCTGACTGAGGAAATGTCTCCATCAGTCAGTAAACTGTACAGGACAAACTTTTTTTAATGTGACCCTTTGCCAAGAGGCTTGTCGATCGGTGAGTGCTCATCTTTGTGTTCATCTGACTAGTCCTATTGTATCCTACACACGGACAAATCAGGAATTCAAATAGCATCCGACACCTAGACGTATTCCTTGGTTCGCAGCGACAATCTCATTCACGTTTCACAAGATAAAAACAAAATTTCTCTTATACTGATATCCACACCTTCGCCATGGATTTATTTTTTGATCATCAAAACAGAATGTCCATTTTTACGAATAATACCACTAGTTCTCTTTTCTATCAGCCATTAAACTTACCAAAAACATAAAAATGACGAATCCACTCGCAAAACTTGTTAAACTATTGACCGCAACCGTAATCATGGCATCTCTGAAATGGAAAAATAATTAGATTAATTTATCTTGGATAAACTCTTACCGATAAACATTATGATGAAAATCATTATAACTTGCAAATGCCATCAATACACCAAAACCAGGTCCCAACGAGAAAAATGTTTGCGATGCAGCATCAACCCACACGGATGCATCAGTTAATTTACTTAAATCAGGTCGAATATAATATTGAATACCTTTCATTGCACCTTCTAAAAATAAGCCACGTATCATTAATATTGTTAAAACAACATAAGGAAATAATGCAGTAAACCAAACAACCTAAATTGAAGAAGAAGAAGAAAAACAAAACAAACTTTCACGGCTAAAAATCCCAATTTGGGTTTACTTTTCCAGATGTTTTAATGCCTTTCCACATTGAAAAATAGCAAATTAGATAAATAATAGCCAAACAAGCTAGATTTTCATAATTGATATGTCCTAAATTTCCTAAACTAAGATTACGTTCTGGTTGAAGTCGATAAACTTGTAAACTAATTGAAAGAAGAACAAAAAAAAGCATTTATAAAAAACAAAAATATCGAATTACTGGAAATATTCTTGTGCCGGCGATACAATTCTTGAACGTGTTAACTCTTCTGAACAATTCTCATATAAAGAACTTCGATCTAATAAACGTGTCGATGAACTCAACGTATTATTTGTTCGATTCATGCAGTTCTCTAAAAAATTTCGACGTATATTAACAGTAAAACAATCTTTCGTATTCCATGAATGATCTAGAAAATGAATATTTCCATTTGAAAATAATACAAGAAAACAAAATGGACGATTATTTAACTTACTGCATTCACTCCACGGTAAATACCGTTTCAATGAAGCAAATAAATAATATAAACCCCATGATATGACGACATTATAGTAAAAATCCGTATAGAATGCAATAATAGTTACAGCCCATCCAATTCCGGCTAATAATGGACAAATTTTTTTCCAACACGTTATTGAACCTTGACGATAATATTGACCAAGTAAAAGTTCCAAATAGAATAAAGGCATTCCACCGAGTATAACTGAAAGAACGTACGGAATAAGAAACGCACCTACGAATAAGCGACAACAAAATTTAAAAAAATACCGATTAGAATTAGTTCAATGAAAATATTTTCTTAATAACAAACCTCCTCCATTTTTATAGCATAGATACGGAAAACGCCATATATTAGCGAGATCAACAGCAAAGCCAATAATCGACAAAAGAAAATCAAGTTTCTCACTCCATTGTTCACGAACTTCGCCTTGCGGTTGACTTGATTTAGTTACTGTGGTAACTTCAGTGAGTATTATGTTATTTTCTTTTTTTGAATTTTCTTCTTCTTCGACCATACGATCTTTAACTAATATCATCGGAACTGAATTTGTACGAATATTATTAAGTAGAGCGGCTTCATTTTGAACTTCATATGAACGCCTTCTATTCAGTTTATTATCTTCACCTAAAAGAAAAAATTCTTTTCTTTAATTAAGACTAAATTAGTTTATGATACACTTGTCAAAAACATAAACTGTTGTCTCGCATCAGGATTGTGTCATTGGGAACATTAGAAAATAAACGGAAGAATTTCTTCGAATGCAACAAAAAGAAATCTAAGTTAACAAAATAGCAATTTAATGATGATTAATTATCAACTATACAAATTGAAATGTTTTCTAACTAGGCCATGACAATATATATATATATACATTGAAGAATTTTACATTCTATTTTTACTCTTTGGTGTAACATCAATGTCTATGCGCTTGACACAGCAAAAAAAAATAAGAAGAAGAACAAGTCCCTCTCTCTTGTTCTGGCAATGCCTGAAAAACACAATGGATGATGTGAAGATACTACGCATCTATGTTAAATGACAATCTAACCGTAGAATTACGGAATAAACAACACAAAATTTATCTGGCTTAAATTATTTTTGACTATTCGATCAATCATATTGTATATCAGCAATTATTCTCCTTCTATTTCACTTAGCATTCATCAACATGGCAATGCAAATATTTGTCTTGTTATTTATTATAATTTACTGCTGTTCACATATGAAAGAAGATCAAGTACAAATAATTAAATCCTGGTTATTCGCGTAATTGAGTCGCATTTTAAACGTGTACGCAAAACGTCTTTTATTCTCGTATGAACTGAAGAACTTCCGATTTAGCTTTCATGATGCCTGGAAAATTTTAAATCGACGTTTCTGGTTTTTTTCTTGAGCTATTATAGTAACATTGTGTCTACCGACAGATATAAAAATAGCAGAGCAAAGAACAATAAATCGTATCCTAGAGCAAACATTGTGTTGCATATGAAATAATCAACCTCGATAAAACGGCTATTTTTTTTTGTACGAGGAAATTTTACATTTCGAAAAAAAATTACAATTTCAATGCGGTCTTTCACCCTCAAATAGTTGAATCTATCCGAATGATTTTCTTGTTAAAAAACGAAAAATACTCACGGCCAACATTGTAGACATTGGGATGGCTTAAAATACGTTTAACCATGTTTCGAATTTCTTCTGTATTTTGTTTTGTTTAAATTCAATAATAATAATGATAATAGTAATAGTAGTTGATATTCACATCATGTTCATCAATAAATGCAATAATGAATAAACATCTTGACAAAGAAAATGAGCAAGAGAGATTTCTGTTCAATCTCTCATCTTATTGAAAAGATAGAAAAATCAAGGAAATCACCTTTTGATCAACGAGATTGGTCCTTTATGGCTTTCTTTTTCTCTCTTCTTTGTGCCCGATCACCTTTTCAATAATTGAGCACAATGACAAATTTTTTCAAACGACAGAAAAAGAACACCGCGCGACAAACACAATCAGAAAATAACGTTCGACTTTTCCTCTTTTTTCTGTTTGCATGGCTATTGTGTTCGGTGATGTTTTGTTCTCTAATGTCAATCTGTTATATGTTTCTGGGATTTGTATATATTCTGATTGTGATTATACCTTAACGAATTATCTAAAGATGTAGCACGGCGCAGAGAACACTTACCCCTGAATAAAGAAGAAGAACGACGACTAGCCTTTCACTATCCGTTATTTTAAGAAATGAGTTTGAATTAACAAAGTCGGATACACAAGTCAAAAGCATTATTTACCTATTTAGCGACTCGTTCTTTATCGGACGTATTTCCGTTTTCTTAAAACTCTTTCTATGCTGCTGTGAAATAGGAGCCATTCTCATCATAATAATTTTAGACTCGTGAAAAACAGCAAATGTTTGGTAAATAGATATCAATCAAAAACACTGCAAGGCATTGAAGAGATCTATATCCTATTTACATTATACAAAGTGTCATGAACACAAAGGAATCAATAATCGATCGATAAATGGCAAGTCAAAAACATCCGTATATCTTGGGCTTAAAGCGTTTCATACCGCAAAGAAAGAAGAAAAGGAGAACATGCTAAATGTGACAAACACACACACACACACACACACTCACATTGACTTACTCTCAATTTTCAATATAGACACTTATTTAAATCACTACTATTGAAATAGGATCGCTTATTTATTTAGATCAAAACAAAAGAAAAAAAATATATATATAGACAAAAGAAAATTCAATTTTGTGCTGTTTTTTTAAGATGAAAATACTAAAATACCTAATTTTGATAGATTTTTATTGATATCCACTGGTTTTCGTTCATATTTATCATTGTGGATTTTCGAATAGAGTACAGAATCGATTGAATTTAAATTACCACGACGACTCACCGATTGTGGTAAGCCAGTTTCAAAAGTTTTCACTGACGAAAACGGCGTAAGAATATGTTCGATACGATTAGAATGAATCAATGCTTGCAGACGAGCATATTCATGATCGCGAAGATTCGATAGGGCTAATTTACGTTCTTGATTTTCATTCGTGATCGGGTCCGATAAATCAAGACGACCTAGTGTATGTATTTCTTCTTTTTTAGTTTTTTGATCGTGACTAATCCAATTGGTCGTATGTGGATTCAGTTTAGATTTTCTATACAGAATCGTTTAAAATGAATTCCAAGAATAAAAATATACAACAAACCTTGTATCTTCTGTTTGTTCGCTAGAGGGTGTTTGCTCATCATCTGTTAAATATGATTCACTGGAGAAACGTGATACAGGTGGTGAAGATTTTGTGCGTTCGTTTATTTGTTTCAGATGATATTCATGTGATTCAATTATTAGAACTTGATGACGAAGTAATGGAAGATAACGATTTGATTTGCTGAGAAATCGCTCGGGATATTGGTGAAATTTTTGAACCGAACTTTTCGTTATGAACAATTTCGAATTTTGACTTTTCAATTTTAATGAGGGTTTACTCTGCTCTTTCCTATGTTCGACAATTGATACCGGAGTAGATGAATTCGTTGTGCAATCTTCGTATAATCGCATTTCATTGCCTGATTTAATATTCCGATTTGGTCGCTCGTTGTAAACCGGTGGCCGAGATTTGTTTGATACATGAGCAGATTGACTAACAAGTTTTGTGCTAATATGAAGATTATCCTTTTTTTCATCATGTGGCATTTCCGTTGGTTTTGTAACTGACGGCTAGCATATGAGTATACGAAATAGATCAAGTGAACTTTTGAATGATTTTTTTTTAAAAAGAATTAAAACAATTTGCATTTCTTAACCGAATAATCCTATTTTCGATATCGGCTTTATTTGAAATCCGATAAAGAAAAGCTCATTTAATTTAACTTTTGCAATGAAAGTAAATCCTATCGACATACCCATTTTTCTTCTTCTTTGAATGATTCAATGTATTCAGTCAATTTTTCGTCAGTTGAAATACTTACGGATGGATTAGCAACTGTGTGTTCCATATATCGAGAACGGACTGTTTTAGTTGTATCATTGCCTTTTGAAACTACTGCTGAATGATCATTATCATTTTCGTATAGATCCGAATTTTTACAACATTTTCGAACATAATTTAATGTACTGAAAATAATGAAATATTTTCTAATAAGTAAAAACACTAACAAATATTGATTACTCATGTATAGCTTGATTATCTTTATGACGTAAAACTTGTTTAGTCGCAAATAATTTTTGATCGTAATTTCTTCTGTCTATAAATTTTTGTCGTTGTTTACCTAATTGAAATAATTGTATATTAAGCCGACGATCAGCTTGTAATAGTGCTATCTCCGATCGGTTTGGTCTTGATGATGTCCGTAGAGTAGTTGATGATCGTAGTTCTTCATCTTTTCTTGTTGAAGTATACCGACCTTTATTTACCCAACGTTCAATACGTTGTCTACGAAGCGGAAGTGTAATCGTACGGAGAAAATCCGTTTTAGAATGGACATTTTTTTGTATTGGTGTTTCATCAATTGCCATATTGAAAGTATCTTATATATATATCAAAAGAAAATTACCCTGTAAAAATCAATGCTGCTGATTCAAATTTTGGAATATGTAAAACATAATTATTATATGTATGAATCGATGAAATTCGTATTTTGTTTTATACGCCTGTTGTGTTTAAGTGTTTCGATTTAGTATTAAAAGAAAGAAAGAATTTACAATAGAGGCACAACATGTTTCTTTTCGATCGTTTTATGTAAATGAGGCATTTCTAATGTCGTCAAGAGGCTTAAATATTATATATTTAGGGCTTTGAAAAAAAAATTAATATTAATATTTGTTTCGAATGATGAAAATATTTCGTCATTTTTTTATGGGCTGCTTAAAACGGATAAACATGCGGAGCGTTTTCGATAATTTTTAATGGAAATAACAAAGATTAAAATATCATTTGAAGTGCAAACCTATTGAAATGCCTTGCTACAAATACACAATATTTCACTTGTCATAGTTTTATTTATACAAGCCATAAATATTCATCTACAACATGAATGACTTGTTGCAATCCTTGATTGAAACTCAATAAATATAAATTGAAGTTTTCTTTTTTCTCATAAATATATTTCGCATATGCAATTAGATTCAAATGAAATAATAGTTGGATCAAATTTTGTCATCTGATACTTTAAAAGCAATTTCACCGATGGATATTTTTATAGTCGAAAATGCAATTTTATTTTATTATTATTAAACAACATTTTAATTTGTAAGTAAACAAATGCAAGACTCTACAATATGTATATAACTTCTTAGGCGATTAATATAGATTGTTTGATTAATCAAACGATGTTGTTCTCGAGGAACAACAATGAAGAGATCGAAGTATAACTATTATCTAAAATAAACCAAAAATATATTCCTAAACTGTTCGTTATCTAATTTACAATTTGTTAATCTTTTTTTCGTCTTAAACCTAAATATTTATTTGGTATATAAGCTTGTGGAAATAAAGAAGCGCGTTGGCCGCGTGGAATACGAAATAAATAACGTATATATCGTTGTCGTTCTGATATTGGAACACCTTTTGGTACACTACAGGCTCGACGAAATCCATTTGAACCAGCATACAATAATTCGGTGTCGTTTTCAAAGATTCTTTTACTTGGTTGTTCACTAAATAAATCAAGTTCACTGGGTTGTATACATCGTTTTTCTCGAATCATTTTCTGTGGACCATAAACCAATTTTGTGTCCATATGAAAACGTAATGGTGCAGAAATCGGGCGATATTTTGTATTTTTAGATGCTAATGAACGAAATAAAGTCTTAATAATAATTGAGGAAGGTTTCAACATTGAGAAATACATTTTGTAACAGTAAGAAGAAATTCCGTGTTTAGGGAAAAAACGCAGATAAGTTAAAATTACAAACCAATCATGAAACGAATTTTTCAACAGATGTCGATCAAATAATTACGTAGTCAAAAGTAGGAAAGAGAATGCAATTGAAACACAGATTAAACTATATTATTGTATACCGTCTGAAATAACGGCGTTGAACCTTTTCTACTTATACATTTACAGGGTGGCGCAAAGGTCGGTATACCGAAAAAAAATCGAATATCTCCATTAAAACTTCTATTAAACGAGCTGATTTTTTTTTATCAAGGATAGAGGCGTGTTCAAAGTTTATATCCACAGAGAAATGCTCAGAGAGACCCTTTATTAAGTACTATTATTAACCTCAACAAAAAAATTTTACTTTTTCACAGGTAGGAAAAAGCAAATATACGATAATAAAAGTGTAGTTTATCAAGGCAAAATGTAAATTCTCAATCATGTTTCTTTTGTTTATTATCAAATGCATCTTACGGTTATCTATTGAGAAGAAAAGAAAAGAAAAGACAAACCAGATAGCAATTTTAATTTTATAGCCCACCCTGCATATCTGGCAATTTAATTTTTTCATTACATAAGGAAACTGGTTATGTATAATTTGCATTTTAAGAAAATTTATTGATTTTAGATTTACGAAAAAGAATTACTTTGTAAATGAAGAAAACAACACAGAAAAGCACTAGTATGGATCAAGACCTATCCATCTCTGTTTACTATATCCGTCTTTACAATCTTTCACTAAAATTTTTCTTCGTTGTTCGCAAAAATTTGTTGTATCTTTTAATTTTAATACAGTTTCATGTTGGCCATCGAATTCACGTTCGAGAAATTCCGATAAAATTTCTGTTGTTTGCTCTAAATGTGCTTGATTGTCTTCGAACATTATCGATTCATTATTTCGTTCCAAATAGAATGCAAATGGATATGTGTATTTCAGCGTACGTCGGCATTGTTGCAAAACTTCAAATGCTTTTCCCGGAGCTTGTCGATCTGCATACGTCATCGCTCGGACTTCCATTTCCTTTTGACGTTCTTCAACTTTTTCTTTGAGTTTACTTTCAAACTCAAGAGATTGACTATGCGCTTGATAGCGTGTAAAATAATGTATGTAACGTTTGAGAATTTCGCGAGCACTGGCTTGAGCTTCTTCGGTTGCCTGTGCATGATAAACATTGCATTGTTGAGTTGCATGTGACTTCCAATCGCCTTTATCAAAAAGAAAACAAATGATTATTTGATAATAATTTTTTTTAGCTGAACCGAGTCATCATGAAATGAGTTGATTTAAATGAACTCTTTTGATACTTTGTTTCACATCTAACGACGCTCGAGGAATATGGGCATATCCTGGTAACAACAATCATTCAAACTTCTCTTTCTCCAAATGTGCAGCTGATAACAACGAACGTCTCGCTCAAATGTTTGAAATATCTTCTGTGTGTATATCACGGATATTGATTCACGCTCCTGATATCTGCGCCGAGATTTAATTTACTTCACTAGATATTTCATGGGCTTCGATCTTAGGGATCTGTAAAATAGTCATGGTCAGTGTTTACCAAAAAGAAAACTATCGAATATACTTTCATATTGGTTATTTTGATTTGATTAAAGACATCGTATCTGACATTTCTATTCACTATTCTGATAAAAATCTTTAATGATAACGAGTCTGTTTCCACGAATCGGAATTTTCGAATTGTATAGGTTTTACTTGTCGGATATGAAAAATAAATATGCGAGAGTTTAGACTACGAAAAGCGGTTCCTGAGTTTCTTCTAAAAATATCAGTTGCAGTCTTTTTTTATTTTTATTTTCATATATTAAACTAATTCTCTAAGTAACATCGATTCAAGGACACTGGTAACTTGACAAAAAAAAGCCTGTCGTATATTCGTCGTTCCGATACGTGTATATAAAATAATGTTTTCGTTGTTAACGAGTCAAAATCATATCTGTCAATTTTATATGTATTCGTAAAAGTGCGCTCGAGGGAAAAAAACGATTTTGTAGATTCCTATTTGATTTTCAAGAAATCAAATACCATAGGAAAATTTTGACGATTATACTCATCAACAGTTAGCTTTTCTATTCATCACGATTGAATATAGAAATATGAAATAAATTTCTAATCCGAAAATAATTTAAACGTACCGAAGCATAACCAACAAAATTCATAGCCACATCCTGGTTTTCTACACGCTAGAAAAAAAAAGAAAATCAAATTTTCTCAGCATTGACAGACTAAATCAACTTACTCATATGATTACAACCGCCATTTTTTTCAATAGCCGAATGACATTTTGGACAATCTTTTGTATCTAATAAAAAAATTTCATACCATCATCAGATTAATGAAAAACAATTAACATTGTTTTGTTAGTATAATTGACACCGATCGAAAGAATTGATTTTGAAATTCTTTAGAAAATTAAATATGATTATATTAAATAATCGAGAATTTCTTCATAAGATACAAAGTTTTCTCAACTTCCCAGCCGCGAAAACTTTGTAATCTGACATGGAATGTAAAAAGATAATGGACCATATATTAGATACTTACTAGCAATCACCCATGTGCCATTCATTGATTCATTGCAATTTTTCTGTTCCCATTTTGCCAACAATGAACATTGAATCGGTTCATGCCACGGCTTTGAACATTGAAAGCAGAATGATGTTTTACAGTTATCACATTCAATAAGATGTGCACGATTAGCGGAATAGGTGTTTAATTTAACTATAGTTACACATCCATTTCCTGGGCACCATTGTGTTAAACGATTTGCTTCAACAAATGCTTGTACCAAATTTTTTCGATAACGATCACAAAGATTTTGATCATTTGATAATAATTCTAAGATTTTTTCATCGTCAATAACTTCAATACATCTTGATAGACAATATATTGGTCTAAGACAACCGTGCTGTCCTATATTTGCTTCGAGATAACTGTGCCAGCAAGTTAAACAATGTTGATGTCGACATCTTAATGCATAAAATTCACCTGAAGGCTTTTCTGAATAACAACTACAAAAACAAATTCAGTATGAAATTAATGTTTGTTTTTTAGATCTTGTTTTTTACGTGCGGCAAGTTTTATTTGTATTATCAGTTGCCATTTGTTCAACAGCTGCAAGCATTGGATCACGTTCAGGAGCGTGTCCAGGCGAAAGAGGATTCGATTGAAGCGACGGTGATAAATATGGATTAGCTACGTTAAGTTCTTTAAATAATATTTCTGCGTCTGTAAAAAACTTTTCTAGAACAAAATAGAACTTGCGTCTTTTCATTAAAATAAATGAAAATCTACCTGTAAGTGTATCTTGATCCCAATGGAAATTATTCAGGATTAATCGTACCAACGTGGTTGATGGTAAATTAAGAATTTCATTGACATCTTTAGCTGCTTTCGTAATTTCATGTAAAGCTTCGGTTTCAGTTAGCAAGTAATATTTGATTTTTTCGTCAGCCGTAATTGTAGTTAGAGAAATTTTTGACTGCATTATGAAATCTATTCGTAAGCGTCAAATAACATCAATTTCTTTAAAATATTTTCGTTGAATGCAACAGCACGAACAGAGCAATGGTGCAACTTTTCGAATGGACCACACCTTGATGTTTATTGATGAATCAATTTTAGATGAAAAATGTATCGATCAAATGCGACATCTTTGGTTTCGAAACGTCTGTCTCTCGTTGCATTTTCATAACTCATAGGATTGTTTGGGATAGTTCTACGTCAAACATCTAGAAACGATTTTCTGTATGGATTCTCAAATTCTTCTCGAAATACTTAGTTTTTCCTTCGTGGTCTCAACCAAACGAATATCATATTTATCTAATGTTACGTACTGTAAATTTCTTTTTAGAAATGTCCGACGAAACTGATGGTTACTTTTAGATTGTTTTGAACGCCTTTGCTTTAAACTGTTACAAACATAACCAAAGACTTGCGGGAAACCGCTAACAGAAACATGCAACAATAAAGATCATGCCGTTTGATATCTCTTAGCATAAATATAAATTTCGCATTCATAATTTGCATATTCTATCTAGCGAACGGCTGTTTCTTAATATGATATTTTCGTTATCTATGAAATATTAAATAAACACCAACGATCTATTTTTTGCTACACTACATCCTAAACTATGCTCTATTATAGTACTAAACCCCTACGGTAATTCTCTTGATCTCTTGAATTTTTCAGGTTTTTCGAATATTATTCAAACATTTTTCTTTCTGGCGAACTGTTTTTGTGCATTCGTTTACAGCTGTAATATCCTTTATGATACATGACTTCATAGTTTAAAGTCCGCTCTGTGTGATATATAATTTTAATCGTATCTTTTCTTTGGCTATAACATTAAAAAAGGACTCATTTTTTTTCACGGATACAGTACATTTTTAATAAAAAACGGCAAAAAACGCATTTTTTCCTGCCGGAGTCCACAGAATTTACTATTAAACAATTGAGCAGGCGAGCATGTCATACTCTATTTGGATACATATTTAAATAGTAAAAAATTATGTCAGTCATCTCCAGGGTGGCCAGATCGACAATTGAAAAATCAGAAACTTTTTATAAAAATCAGAAAACGATCAGAAAGCTTTTTAGGAGAAATCAGAAGTTTATCAGAAAGATCATTTTTTGTGAAATAGCGACTTCTGTATAAGATGCTGGCATTAACTATTTCACTACTTTTATGTCATTGACTGGTATTTCATTTCCAAAGATTTGTCACTATAAAGATGAATATTCCTTTATATGCCGACATGATATTGCTGTGGCTAATTAATTTACTTCGATTTGTTTCTCTTCGCAATCAAATTCAACCATATTAATATCATCCAATAGATAATTTTGTTTTTATCTGTGGAATGCTCAATTAGTTAAGATTCTTGAAATCAAGAAAAGAAATTTATCAAATTCTAGCGCATTGGTGTAGCTGAAGTTGTCTATGTAAGTCAGAAATTACCAACGGATAATTGAGAAAAACAAGGTGCCGTAATATACATCTATAATAGTAATGCGTTATAATTGTACTGAACTGCACTAGCAAAACTGGGATGTGAAATAGTTTTGAATTCGGCAAAAAATCAGAAGAATCAGAAAGGACTTCAAATTTCAGAATTCCCCCCTACTGTTCAGGAGATCTGGCCACCCTGGCCATCTCCTATATCTAATCTGCCTTTGACAGATTTTTCTTGTGCGATGCCATGCATATGCATCGCAGACGGCATTAACGATGAGTTTTCAGCGTGAGTTCATAGAGGATATTTGCGAAAGTTGAAATTGACGTAATCAAGCTTTATTATGTTCTCGATAGCAAGAGCAAAACATTTACTAGTCGTATAGACATTATTGATTTTATAACTAACTGTTGAGGCTCCGTTTTGAGAAGAGAGATGGTGAAAGTTAGCACCACGCTGCTTGTTAAAATCTTTTGAACACGATGTTTCAGTAGGACAAAATAAACGATTCAGATTGAATGTTAGACGCATTTTGTGGTGACTCCTTATATTGATGCATTGCAAAATATAACACAATGTGAAGTAGATGTAGATTTAAGACAAAATGTTTTTTTTGTTGAATGTTTCCGGAGTGAGTCAAAAAGCACTTTTGCTGAGCTTTGACTCAGAAAAATGTTACAATAACAAATTGTTCTCACGCAGAGCGGAAATTATTCTCCGGGATCAATTATTGTAAAGAAAGCTGGAAGTTAAAAGAAGAGCACAGCAGTTTGCCGAGAAACAAAAATAACGGTTCAATAATTTTGGAGGGGGTGTAAAACAATGTAACCCGGTATTTATAAATTAGCATAAAGCCATCTATTGATTGTATCGGTAACGGATGTAATAATGTTAATGTAATTTCTAGAGACTCACATTAAATATTGAAAATATGATAGAAAAAAAGAACAGTAGTTGACTATATTTCAAACTGAACATCGCGATTGTAAGTATGATTTTTTTTGGAAATCCACTTTTCATAAAATTAACAAAGTTAAAATGTGCACGGCATCCAAATGAGATGGAGGTCAATCAAATTTCGATTTGTAGGATTAGACTTAAAAACCATGTTAAGCTTTCACGATTATCGTATAAGTTCAACTCACACATATGTAATACGAAGTCCGGTGTTAGAAGTCATCGTTACTACATTCAAGTAGTGGGCTTTATGAATCTTGAACACAGAGATGAATCATTTCATTGTATTCCTGATTAAAATATAATCTTGAAAGTCAAACAAATGGGTTTAAAAACAACATTTCGTGATAAATTCTCATTAGAAAAAATATTTATCGAAAACTCATTTTACTTCTGTTTCTGCTCTTCAAATAGATTCAATTAGAAATCATCTGTCTTTTTGCCTTATAGGCATTGTTTTTGTGACCCGGCGTCATTTGAATTCTTGCATTTTGTCATTCAAAATTAAATGAAAAATATTTCCGATAGATTACACTAGCCGACGATCTTGACTTCGATCTATCCAGATTCTTGTTTTTCTTGAACTTCAGGCAAGATTCTTTGCGAGAGGAAAGAAACAAGATTCTTGTCTGAATTTCAAAAGATCTTGAATATATCTTACCATTCTTGCCTGATTCTTATTTATTTGAGCAATCAGACAAGATTGTGTTTTTCTTGAATAACAGGCAAGAATCTTGTTTCTTTCCTGTACCGAAGAATCTTGCCTGAATATTATGATTACAAAGAATCTTGTCTGGTATTCAAGAAAAACAAGAATCTGGACAGACCGAAGTCAAGATCGTCGACTAGTGTACTAGCTATTTGATATTCTCGTAGAGTATAAAAGTGAATATGAGTGTTTCAGTTTGGTCGTAGTAATAATAGAGCTCATATTTGTAAGATGATCAGCTGAATCATTTCTACGTTAAATATTCTAGTAATCAATAAATAGTTTCTATTACATCTAGTAATTCTTAGAATATGCGCTCATTCGGAGTGGCTAAGCATTGCAAAGTCAAAGTAGGATGATTTTAAGTCATTAATTTTCAATAACTAAAGTCCTACCAAACATGATTGAATAAGTTAAACTTATAATATTTCAATAGAAAAATCAATACTAAAATTTCATGTGAGCGTGATGGTAGGACTCACACTTATGAGCTATGTTTCTGTATTTCGAAGCTTCTGATCATTCAGACATCTCGTAAGATACGAATGAAAGTTCCCAGGTCGACTGATCCGATAGGAACCTGGAAATATCCTACAATCCGATACAATTCTATTGGATTCCGGGTCGAGGAATCGCTGTCGGATCCTCAGTGTCGGAATCCTATGAACTTCCGATGACATACAACGGTTTTTCCTTGGAATTCATAGGAATCCGACACTGAGGACTCGATAAAATCCTATTGGATTTCAGTCGGATCGGATGGGTTCCGATAGGTGCCTACTGTCGGATTGCTCGACCTCGGTTGATGAGTATACTTTGACGTTTGGTTATACTAAAATGCTCTTTTTATTTCATTTTATTGATTAACTTGATACTGAACTCAAACGATTAGGGTTTTTTCTATGTTTAGTGAAAAGTTCGGTTTCAGTTTTTAATCATCATATTGCTGCCAGTAAGCATAGGGGTTTGATTATATTTTTTCAAAATAATTTCTTGTGTTCGACCGATGAGATAAATTTAATCACACATCGACTGGTCAATCTTGAAAAAAATAGAACATTTTGCTTTTAATACTTTCAAACTTATATCTCTTATCACTAGATCAATAGGGCGATAGATTAATTCTCGTCTTTGCTTTTTCAAAATTACTAGTATATTATTACAGACTCATTCAATTGTTATAAAAGTTGTAATCAGCTCTTTAAGTGATGCTATTTTACTTCAAGCAATAAAGCCATAAGCACATCCATTTGTTCCCATAAATATAATAAATAAAAACTTGAACAGAAAATCACTTAGTAATAATTCTTTTCTGGGAAAATTGGTAAGCGAGATGTGAAGTGTAATCGTTCGGACTTTTTTGAATTATTTAATATTACTAACTACTTGATCACCTTTGTGAACTTATGCCTATGTCGCAAGTATTTTATTTTTCATATCTTTTCACCCAAAAAGAAACTATCAATATCGAATGAGAGGTTCAACTGTATCGATAACAAAAGTCTCAAACTATAATTTAATCCTCACGTATTAGCTACAAATCCAGTATTATCATTGTTCTAATAATAATAGAAAGCGTAGAAAACTCGAGTAATGACGTGCACCTCCCTCGAAGTCTTTTCAGAAGAAGTAATTGTAACTTTGCATGATGTTGGTGTATCACGTAAGAGCAATGCTTTTACTTCACATCTTATTCTATGCCTTTAAAGAAAAAAGGTTTACATCATAATACTTGAAATAATATTTATGATGTAATATTTTGATAGAATTTTGTCTTTTTTGTAAAAATAGGTATGTTGGTCTCGTTATTAATTTACCAAGAAGTTGCCGGTCAATCGTTTACACGATTAATTAAGAAAATATGTTCGATTATTTTTCTCTTGTTTTACTAAAGAAAGCTAAACACATTAATCTTTATTTTGCTTCATTACGGAAGGGCGGCTTTTGTGTTATGTAGGTAGACATGGGCGATTCTTAAAAAATTAAACTTGGTGATTCCGATACGATCCCAAAAAGCATGCAGCCGATTCCAGTACGATTCCGATTCCAAAAAAAGCTGACTTTGCCCATGTCTATATGTAGGCCACTTCAACTCGACTTCTATTTCCTATATTCTACTCTAAATCTGCTTAAACTTCTGCTCGTTGCTGTTCAAATTATTTCTCACTATGAAGTTCAGAATCAACTTTTGCTCATTTCTTCTTTTCGAAAAAGAAAAACAGACTTATCATCATCGGATAAACATTACAAATAAAAATCTCACATGATCTCAATGGGTTTTCTTTCATTATTCGATAAATATTTTTTCTCGCGTTGCTATTCGAAAAAACGTTTTGTAATCATATAAAAATTTACATTTATAGATGATTTCTTTTTTATTAGGTGATAATGAGAATAAAGATAGAATTGTAGTCATTTATATTTTTTGTTTGTGGTTTTGGTTAACGCCGTCGACCAACAATTCCATGAGCATACAGTGCTTTTTGAAGTTCCAATGGAATTTTACGTTTGTTAAATGGCATTGAAGAACTTACGCCACGTCGTACACTAGGACCCGGTATTGCTGGAATGTATTTCGGATGAAATATTACTGACCAAAGATCAGGTGCTGTCTGTTCATTGTCCATGGATTCGTCAGAAAAATTATATCTGTCCAATTGAAATCTTGGTTGACCATCAACATACAGTAATGAATGAGGCACATAGTCATTTCGTCTATAAATCCTATTAGCCAATGTTTTATGATTATTGGCTAAGATTACAAGTAAAATGAATAGAGCAAAAAATTGAAAATTAGCATTGGAGATCATCAGGAACTATAATAAGAAAACGAGAGAGACTATATAATAATAAAATTCGTACAATACTTCTCCGGGGTTCCTCTTGAAAATAGGAATCAAAAAGTGTGATACGATTTAAAAAAAAACAATACTTTCATCACTAACTATTGTTGCAGTAATAAATATGCTGTCAAATATTACCTGAAATAAATGAAGATTGATATATCTGTTAAACGAAAAAGAAATGATGATGGTGATGAATGACTCTAGAAATATAGAAGATCAAAAACAAATATATAGAGATATGAAAACATTATGAATGTTAAAATAGCGGTTTTGTTGTGTAAAGACAATTCATCTTCATGTCAACTTTACTAGATTATTCTGTCTGAAGCCTAAATGGAATCAAGTAGTTATTTTCATTTTCTTTTTAAATAGATCATGTTTTGGATTACCTCTCATGATATAAATTAGTTCGAGAACAGGAAGAGAAAAAGAACTATTATATGTGTACTAGAAGAAAATAGAAATGCCGCCTACCATCTACTCAACTAAGTTCTCTCTTTCATTGAAACATGAATATGAAAAATCGGAAATAGACTTCTAAGCACATGCATATATATATATATAAATATATAAATATAGATACTAGAGAAATCAAAGCGGTATAGATAGATTCAAGTTTAACTGTTAATCCGTCTATTTGTAATTTTGTCTCTTTAATAATAAATGTTTTGAATCCATAGAAATCACAGTTTCCCTTTTAGTCATATAATCAGTTACATCGATGCAAATGGTCATGTAAACCTTAATAAACAAACTATATCCCGCCAATGTATATGACAAGAATAAGAAAGCCATGGTTTGCCTACGAAAAATGAATAATTATGCAATTCCCTCTCTCTCACTCACTTTAACTATCAATTGATTTCTTACGATATTCAGTACTACTGTATGGCATAGATTGTCATGCATATAAACATTATATACTGGTAGGAAAGGTGCATATTTTCTCGAAGTGCCCGAATATATTTCATGTAAAAGTAGGCTAAAACTATATGAACAATAATTTATTTTCTGTTTCAGTATGCATGAGTTGTATTCATTTGTTTACTATTCCATTCGAATCCGAAGAAGAAAAACGATGTTCTATATAAACAACGAATGAATACAAAGTACTAAGCGTTCAGAAGTAGCATAGACATTACCTTGCTAATCCTCGAGAGATGCACGATGTCGACAGACGAACTAACATAATAACGATGGAACAATTGGCTTTTTCTCTTCGTATAAATAGATCGATAACGGAACAAATATTTTGTACATGCATTATGACGAATTCTTAACTGAATGGTTTTAAATACGAACTAATCATTTATATAAAAAAATCATTCAAAAAATATGCTTAAATTATACAAATATTTATTATGCTTGAAAAAATATTCACTTATTTCTCTTATCTTAACGTTTCGTTTGAATGATAAACTAGTAAGGTCTTTTCTCTTCTTCAGTAAGTGAAGTTCATTCCATTACGGAATGCATAAAATAGGGGAAAAGTGAATAACTAAAGCTCATGATGATTTTCAAAATGTTCGCGAAAACAAAGTTTGCTAATAGGACCTATTCTATTTTGAAATCGTTAAATTATACTTGTCTAACGACGTCTTTCAAATATTAAATGAGTTCGCATAGTACCTAGTCAACGGAGAATTATTAAAAAATAACACCTTTCTTATTGATCACTTTCAGCTCGCAAATATCTACCCGTGTCAAGAAGATTTCGCTTTTTAATAAGCACACACACGCCCTTTTCTATTCATTATATATATATATACAAGTCATATAGAATTAGCTTTCACGCACGCAACCTAGCTGGATGCTGCTGCTCCTACATACAAGAAAACGCACGCATATTCAAATGTGTCAATCGATTTTGAGGGAAACTTTTATTTTGAAATCTAAGGCAACTAATTACATATTATTTGTATTCTTCATAGCTCAATTATATGTAAAAAAAAAAAAAACTATTCATAACTTATTTATAATCATATTGGCAAACCATGTAAACTCATCGTTTTGCATATATAAATTTGATTTACGTACCAAAACATAAATATCTTTTGAAAACTGTAATGAGAATTGATCTTTTTTGCATTAACATCGATTGTATGAGTTTAAAAAGGGTTTTTCCAGACTGTTTTCATTTTTCGTGAGGCGAGCTGTAGAAGTCTGGTACAAAAATAACAGTCTCATATCAAAAAAAATTTCCAGCAAATGAACGATTCATTCAAATTTTACTGCAATGTGCGGCAGGGATTCTATGGATTTTTTTTTCTTGTTTTTCACTGCCGCTCCGTGTAGTTTACGTCAAAAATAGATGGATTCGATCGATTTCAAACTTCATTCTTCTATGAGAAAAACTTTGATTTTGTCAGTTATAAATCTTGATTCAAAAGTAAAAATCCGTTCAACTTTGTTGCATTAACAATAAAACTAAATAGCTGATCAATCGTTATTATTGTTCCGGTGTATTGACATGTAAGGGAAAAACAATGAACCTACGCAATATTGCCTTGAGCATCGATTAGTCGTCGGAAAACAATCGCTTATAATTTTATCTAAAATCCAAAAATTCTATGACGTTGATACGTCCTTTGCTTTATTCGACTATTTGGAAACTATTCTTATGAATCTGTATTTTTTTCTCATATTTAGTTCCTTCAATCTTTATTCTTTTATTCGATCCTACATGTATGCAAATATGAAGTAATTCATATACTATAATGCGATATTATTAATGTATGATCTTTGGTTGTGTATATCAACACCAAGTCACAACTCACACATCTGTACTGTTAAAATATATTTGTTAGACCGATAGAGGACGAATGGGGGTGGTGGTGTCGATATGGTTATTTTAACATTCTTGTCAGGTCGTCTTTCATGAGACGCAAAGATGTTAAATTATCCGAATGATTTTGATAAATTTAAAATTTTGTTAAGGATTCGATCTTTCGATGGAAAATATGAGTATACTAAATGCAAAAAAACAACAATTCAATGTTATACGAGTTGTCATATTTGTCAACAAATGATTGTCACCTTGAATAAAACCTACAAGTTAGACTAATAATGAAGAGAATAGAATGAAATATTTGACTGTACCCGATCGCCTGACACGAAAATTTACTTTTGCTAAAGCTTCGATTGGAATTTTTGTTATAGAAAATTAACGAAAACTAGCGATGTGATGATTAATTTCTGTGGTATATTTGTTCATTTTACGGAAATTAAAAAAATCGCGTTATTTCTATTTGTAAAGTAAATATATTGAAGAAGAACGAAGAGTTGATGTTCTCATTGGAAAGCTAGCCGAAATCTTTTCTCTGATTTCCAGCTATTTTTAAAAAACTGTCTACTAAATTCGTTTCGTCGTTCGATAAAGGCATTATTTGTACATTAGAAAAATTGTAATTTTGCTTTATTATGATAATTTTGAAAATCGATTCCTATGTGTACTTAAGTATAAACAATGGACTGAACTCTACTCTCTGTGCAACGTATATGATAGCAGTTATAGTCACCCAAGTAATTGATTTAGATACAGCACGATTCACATTTCCGTCATTTGTGTAGCTAAAAATAGAATGCATTCCCATTTTGAGCACTTTCAATAAGATTCATCCAATTTTATCATTGTCGAGTATGAAAAAATAAATAAACCTAAAGTCTTTTGTAAGTACATAGGAGTGCAGATAAGAAAAAGAGAGAGAGAGAGAAAAAAAAGAGTAAACTTACGGATGTCCGCTAACGAAAAATAACAGAAAAACTGGTGCTATTTGTTATCTAAATGAGATACATGTTGAGTTTGTCGTGCATAGTGCTAAGTATGAATCAACTAAAACTCGATTTCATTCGTATACCGATGAATCATAACAACATTGATGATATGACAAGATCAATCGAATGATATACTAAGAAAACTATCTGTAAAAGTTCTTAGTTAATATAGATCCATTCGCAAATTATCAGTTAACTCTCTATTGAATATTTATTCAGTTTGAAGCAATTCGATCTGGTACTGCATCAGGTTTAAATCGTATCGCAAACGAATATTAATTCAAATCAGATAGACCATAGTAAACAAAAAAGAAAATTAGCTTTGACGTTAGCTGATTTTAATCGTAAAACAATTGATTTTAAATTTACAAATATTTGCCTGACACGCATAAAATGCACAACCACGATGTTTTAAGATAGTGTATGAGCGTACGCTTTAAATTAATTTATTAATACGTAAACGTTAAAAAAACGCTCACAGTTATAAAAGAAATTCGAATATTCATCGTGTCCTGATATAAGTGTATAACTAAGTCTTGGCTAAATGTATATTTATTAATTTCGAAAACGGAGGAAAACATAAGAGTTGAAAGGGACAAGTGTAGTCTTTATTTTGTTGATCAGATCGTGAATTAAGATGGCTAAAAAAAGAAAATGAGATATTTTTTAAATTATTACTTATTGGAGAGCTCTTACTTTAAAATGCATAATAATATGAATTTCTCCATGGGATGATAAACCTAAGTTAGCTGGTAATTTTACCCATTCATCAAATTTTCCATCGTCAAAAACATGTTTCAATTTTACTTTACAGTTGCCAATTGAATCTCGACCAACAACATCAGCATCATAAACATGAAAATGTATATCATCATCGTGTTTTTGAAGATTAAATGTAAAATGTTGATTCCATGTTGGATTATTCGAGTTCGAAATTGTAGTTGTACGTTGCTTATATTTTTTATCTAAGTAAAGTTCAACATAGGCATCATTTTGACCTAAAGTATCCTCATCTTTAAGATGACGTCCTTCGGCAACAATCACTTCAAGTGTACCAGCTGGCATTGCGTATTTATGTTTGATTTCGACAAGCAACGAAGCAGAGTATGATAGTTCGTTCTCACTCGAGTTCGTGTATATATATATATGTATGCATGTATGTGCTTAACATAAATTAAAGAAAAAGCATCTACTTGAAAGGCTTTCTCATTATTTTCTATCGTCATGGATGCTTGTCAACTAAAGTAAACACAAAAGCTTATGTATGGCTGTACAGAGTGTCTCCTTTTCTTTTTCTTTCGTTTTATGACGGTAGAAACTAAAACATCAGAAGAAATCAGACGCATCGTCGCAAATACAACATTGCATTTAATGTTTGCTGTCGATCAAGATTCTAGAAATTTAAACAAGAGCTCGTTCGTGTCGCATCGTACGAACCGAAGTCTGGAATTCGCAGCCTCTTGCTATTATAAATTTATGGCATATTATTAGAGGCTTCTGAATAAATTATTCAAAACTGAAGACGAAATATACATGATCAGATAAAAAATGTAAAAGTTATTTTGATAGCAGTCGATATGATTTGTCCAACAGCGCTATATTTTTCTACTATGATATTTATATTCAAAACAAAATTACCTTTCTTTCTACGAGAAAGCTCTTAGTTTATTCGACAAACTGATGTTTTGATCTATGGCACACACTGATTGCTTCGTATAGCAAATTCTACAAGTGCACCATTCTCTATTTTGATGAATTTAAACTTATACATTTGAGTTCTGCACAAAAACAGACATTATCCAAATTCATGCTTCGTCTGTTTTCATTCAAATACAAACACCATATGGATCGACATCTACAATGAGATCATTTCGCTGCTAAAAATGATAGCAGCAAATGTTTTCTAACTGAATATATGAATTTCTTTTTCAAGATAAATACATCTTCTATCATTAACTTGCGATGATTATTTAACTAAAAGCTTTGGATAAATTAGGAGAGACAACATTTTGGCCGTTATCTGTTCATTATTATCTGATAGATAATTCATTTCTGCTTGTAAACGATAACACATTAGAATTATTTGAAAATTGTAGAATGGTCTAGCTCATTAAATTTGTTACGAGTTCATACTTAATGAGAGCTAAATCATAACATAAATGATATAAAATTTACTTTGAAAAATTCTATCTAACCCTAATACTTCTTCACAAAGGTTTTTCATCGACAAATTTAGTTGTTTTATCATTTTTATATACAGATGATGGATCAAATCAGAGCCTAATAAAATAGGAAAACATTGTTATCTGCAAAATTGAGTTGTAATCATGGTTTTTGTTCATCGACTATACGTTGTACAGCATAGATGACATTCGATTTTTATTAATTAATTTGTCAGGCGCTTGTTAATTGAAATCAATAAATTATTGAAATAATTCTAATCAATAGTCAATGTTCTTCTGTCAATATCTTCTAATATATTGCTAATGAAGGATTTTGAACTATTGATAGACAATGGAGAGAACTTCATATTTGTCTTTACGGGGCATAGCCAATAGAATAATTTTGACGATTATTTTTGGAAAAATAGATATCTCAAGCGAATATACTCACTTGAACTAAGTTTCTGATGAAGTAAGAATGAATTGAATCGATTTTCTTGTCATTTTGAAAATAAAATAAAGACGAAGTATAAAATTTTAACTTGCAAAATATTCCCGTTTCATTTTTATCGTTCAAATAGAAAAGTTTGTTCTTCATCAATAGGAACTTCTTAGAACAAAAATACAATTCCAACGAAAGAAGCAGATAGTATATTAAGACATATTTTCAATTTTGCTCCTTTTATTAGAAGAATTTTGTTTCTATAAGCGCTATGTGAATATTGTTTGTATTCGTTGGATTTATCTGAAATGAATCTTTATGTATTCAGCTTGGTACTTGTAGCACAGAATAATCTAGTTGGAGACTACATGAATTGTAGTGAATTGTATTAATATTGGTCATTTCTATTTTCTAGTGACTAAAATTTTATTTTTGTAGCAACAGTGGAATCTTTTTTATTGAAATGATACGCTGAAAAAAATATGAACCGTCTTCATATTACTAGGTATCACAATAGAAACTAGACTTTTTTCAAGTCAGCAATCATTTCTTCAACTAGTTATTTACATTTGAACTTTGCAGGAGATGAAAATCGGTTCGTTTCATCACGAACCTTTTGTAGGTGCGGTATCAACGAGTCTAGATGATGTGTTTTGTTATTATGCATGTACATATCCTCGAAATCGCCGAAGTTTAGACGATTAATCGTGATTTTCACTTAACTACTCACAATGAGTAATGCTATGCGAAATCACATCATATCATTCATCGTGTTCTCACGCTAAATTAATTAGTCGCTCTATCTGTCTTCATGCTCAAGCTATGTGACTTTGTTAGTCGCACTTTTTCTACAGGCTAGTTTTGTTACCTGTTGATTTTACTCTTTTTGTCGAACAGGAAATTTAAAGAAAATGGACTCGAGGAGGCCCGATGATAAGCAGTCTGATGTTATTTACCTATTTCGTCAAAATTGTGTCGTTGTTTGATGATATACATGGCCTGTACCCAGGTGAATGAATCCGACAACGGATCTTATCGAAACCTATGGGATCCGATTCCCTGACAGAATCCAATAGGGTTCCTGGATACGGACCTATTGTCGGTTCCCACGGAAAAATCATTTTCTTAGTCACGATCAAATAAGCATTTTGAACCATCAGAGCGCAAGGGTGATTCGTTAGAGTTGGATTCCGTTAAAATCCAAGATCGGATCCGACTATAGGTTCGTGTCTAGAAATCCCATAAGATTTCGTTGGTTTTATTGAAACACATGGTATTCGGTATATTCACTGTCTGAACCTTATCGAAACCCGATAGGATCCTACTGTCGGAATGACTCTCCTGGGTACACACCTCAAAATTTTTCCATAGTACATAATGCTCATGTTTTTCATGCGCATATACTAAAAGAGAGATCACTAAAGTGGTGCGTGAAAATTATTTTTTGCCTAGAAACAAATCCATACGCTGTGAGTCAATTTTTCCTAATAGATTTTTTGATAGAAGACCACCATCCTCATAAATCACATCGATCATGAGTGTCGTCTTCTCATAATATCATATGCTAAAAATTTATCACACCACAGAATATGGGTGTTGGCATGTGAATGTTCATTTTATTTTAACACACACCCTTAAGTATTCATCCACAGTATATTGATATTTATAGTATACACTTAGTAAGCATATTTTGTGAAACACGATCTGAGAGGAGTGTTGAAGTATATAGGGTAAAAATCTGGACCCCCCCCCACAGACCGTTACAGAGAAATTAATTAATCAGCTAATTAATTAATTATTAATTAATTTCTCCGTAACAGTCTGTGATGATCTGTAGCAACTCCATACATTATGATGCAGACCGTGACAGAAAAACTCCACAGATCACCACAGACCATGGCCGAAAGGCTCCATATACAATTACAGGCAGTGACAAAAAAGATGCAACGACTCACAGACCATGTTAGATGGGTTCCAGCACAGAAGTTTCACGTTTTAATCCCACAGGGATTGCGCTAACAGCTTTTTATATAAGGATTCAGAGAAGCAGAAATAATTATAGTATTTTATTTTATTCATGAATTGCACAAAAAGAAAAGAACAATATATACAAGTAAGAGTATGTGTTTTCTACATCGACTCGTTTGTGAATTAAGATGGCTAAAAATAAGATGAGATATTTTTTAAATTATTACTTATTGGAGAGAGCTTACTCTGAAATTCATAACAACATGAATTTCTCCATGAGATGACAGACCAAATTTAGCTGGTAATTTCACCCATTCATCAAATTTTCCATCATCAAAAACATGCTTCAGTTTGGTTTTACCACTTCCGATCGCATCTCGACCAACAACATCAGCATCATAAACATCGAAATGAATGCTGTCATCTCCTTTTTGAAGATTGAATGTAAACCGTTCGTTCCATATTGGGTTATTTGAGTTCGAAATGGTTGTCGTCCGTTGCTTATATTTTTTGTCTAAATAGATTTCAACGTACGCATCATTTTGACCAACAAGATCTCGATCTTTGAGATGACGTCCTTCAACAATAATCACTTCAAGGGTTCCAGCTGGCATTTTGTGTATGCAATTGAGTTTCAAAGATAAGCAATAAACAGTATGATGGTTTGTTTTCTTTTTTAACCTTATATTTATATATAAAAAAGGTAAAGAAAGAAATGGCGTCAGAACAGCTCACTCGTTCTTTTGTGTTCTCATTCACTCTTATCAACTGACGTCACCATCAAGGTTTGCGTATGATGATTCAGATTTTTCTTTCTCCATTTTTTTTGTTAATGATAGAAATACGTCAGAGATAAGAATATTAATCATGGCAAATAGTGCGTAGTAGTGAATCAACTTTCTTTTGATTACGATGCCAAAAATTGAATAAAAAATAACATTAATAATTGCTTTGAATAATCGATAGTGACTCATTTAACTTTTGACAAGATAAATAGCTGTTGCAGTTCATCCTACAGACAGCTAACCATGTAAATATAAAACTTATGCTGATTTTATCTTTTGAAAAACGATGAATTTTCTGATACATCTTGATTAGCTGATAACCTTTGAATTGTTCTATGCAACAATATAGAAAATAACTTTAGTTCTGCATAATTGTTTAGATAAACTACTATTATATCTTACAATTAGAATAGTAATGATCTATTTCATTAATATTTTGGTCAAGAAATAGACATGAAAAAATAGCAACTCTGTCAGACATTAAAAATTTTCGGATGAAAATATTGCACGAAAGTAACGTTACGATAGATTTGACTTTATAAATAATTAAACTTTTGATCATGCATATTATTAAAACTTCATCAAAATAAAAAAAAACTCAAAACAATTCCACATGTGGATTATTCTTTTACATGCTCAATGACTCATAAGTTTCTAACAACCTTGAGCTATTGTACGCACTTAAATAGTGTTTAAAGCCGAAGTTCATTGTATAAACAAAATTTAATGTTTTATCATATGAAAAAACTCAACATTTCATTTATAAATTGATAATATTCAGTGATGGAGAGATTGTCACAAATTGCACAATTGCTTGATAAAATCAACGTAGCTTACGCGTAAGAATATTTACAGTATCATTCACGTATGACAATGACTGACTGCTTATTTGCAAGTATACTTTGAACGTGACAGTGAGACTTGCAAAAAATTTAATAGTCACTGATCCACGATATCATATATATTCAATTCCGATGAAAAGTCAATTGATAAGAAGGAATCAGCAATTGCGGATCTTTCATGGCACTGGGACAAAGTCGCGCAGTACATATTCGGTCTATGGCAACTTACACAATTTCGTAATATTCCTGCAGACTGTCTTGCTTATAGTGATATAATTAATTTATTATTAAGAAAATGTTTGTTCTCGTTCTTTTATTTGATTATAAAGAAAAAAGATGATTTTATTTGAAAAAAGGTCTTTAAGATTTTCAAACATATGAATGATTCTTCTTCTATTCTTCTATATATCTTCTCAGTGCATTAGTTCGATAGATATACGCGCAAATTTCCTCGTAGAAAACAACATATGTGAATCAAACTGTGGACATTCACTGATGTGATTTCATCGCACAGCTATCATAAATTCATGTTGAATTCCATTGATGAGGACTATCGAAGGTATGTATGAATAGAAATAAAGGAAGTATGAGAAAGAAGAAAACAGTCAATGAATGAGATACATATGAACGTATATCTAGACTGTAGGATAACGTGATTGACAAAAATTGTCAATCCATTGATCAAGTTCATCGATATGATAACTGAAGGTTTCTTCGTCTGGTTCTGCTTTCAAGATGAGTTTTCCATTTTGAATAACATAGAAACGAAATGGCCACGATCCATATGTAAGATGAAAAGTATTGTCCATATTATCGACAAGCATGGGCATTTCGAATTCACAATATTTCTGACATTCTCGAGCATTTTCAAGGCGTTGTTCGAGTGTAATTGGTTGATTTACACATGATATGATATTACCCATAGGCCATTGATCACGTGCGTGTGCCTCGGCAATATAAACTACCAAGAAACGCATACCATCGGACGCATGCGAGCGAAATAGCGCGCTAGTTCAAACGAACGAAAAGTTTAAAGTTAGATGATTTAAAAAAAGACACCTACTTCATTCGCTCAGCAGACGCCCGAAATGGAGGTCAGCTAGTTGAGCCAGCCAAAATTATCAATGGTTGATCACCTTGAATTTGTGAGAATAGATTCATGGGTTGACCTTCTGTAGTATACAATTCCACATCACGTGCACATTGACCTTGATTTATTAGACCTTGCGTGACCTTATTATGTTTAACTAAACATAAGTAAAGAAATGAGACGTGGCGAAGTTCCCAGGAGTAGGGAACTCTTCGGGAATTGGGAGCTCAAAAAAAAGCGACAACGAGCGATGTGAAACCAAGGAACTCAGGGAACTCAGGGAATCCAAGGAACTCGAGGAACTCAGGGAAGCCATGGAATCCAAGGAACTCAGGGAGCTCAGGGAATCCAAGGAACTCGAGGAACTCAGGGAAGCCAGGGAATTCAAGGAACTCAGGGAAGTCAGGAAAGTCAAGGAACCCACAATACAGTGTAAGTGTATGTATCAAGGAAGGTAGTACAAGACACCCACACCCACAAGATAGTTGTGGTTTTGCATCGCTCGTTGTCGCTTATTTATTTTTGAGTTCCTAATTCCCAACGAATTCCCGATTCCTGGGAACTTGGACACTGCTGATGCCTACATCAACAGTAAGAAATAACAGTAGATTTTGCTCTAATCATGTATTTGAACAAAAACATACCGATTTTAGACCAGCGACTATTCTTTCTTCTTATAACTTACCATAATACGCCGATTTCACTGCAGGATCGTCAGGAAAACGATGCAAAGCGGTACGCAAAGCATTGACATGGTGGTATCCGAAATGTTCCACGACATGTTGTTGAATGAGATCTAGGATGCGCCTTCAATTTGATAGTAACAATCAATTAAGTATCGAGAAATTCATTAAAATCAAGGTATAGCTTACCTCAGTGCAGCTTCATCCGTGTGATAAACATCCATGAGCTCTTGAATTGGCTCAGATAATCGTATATTTGTTTCATAAGCGATCATTTCGCGTAGTGTCTCGATTGGAGGCAATTCATCTGATATTGTGACTTTTCCAAAGCCCATACGACCCGATGTAGGAAAAAACATCAGGCATCTGGATCGTGAAAAGCCATCTTCAGAACCAGGTGGTCGTCTGTTGGAAGGATCTTGTCGCTTTGGTGGTGAAACGACAGAACGCTTTTTCTTGTCGCTTTTTTCGCTTGCTGTTGGAGTTTTCTCGTTAGCTGCTATTGCTTCTGCTGTTTGCTGTTCAATGTTGGCTTTTAATTGGTTCGCAACATTCTGTGTGTTCTGCTGTTGCTCCTTTTTAGGGGGGTTCGGCTGTATGTTACTACTGGCCATTCGGAGAATTCAGTTTCATTTATCTGTGAAGTAAAAGCAAAAATGCCTTCACTCTATATATAAGAACATGCGAAACATCGAAAGCAAATAAGGGTAAGTAAAAGAGGGTAGAACGATTACATGTGATTTCGCCATTATTTCAAAACAACGGTCAGGTAGCGCGGTAAAAATAACCAAAAGAAAAAAGCTTTAGTTCTTCATTCGTGCATGATTTCATTTTTTTGCCACAGAATAGAGTCAATGAGTCATATTCCAACGCGTTCTTCTCCGTATAATTTATCATGGTCTGAAACGGGAAAGAGACATTTCGCACCAACTTTTCATTACGATTTGCCCGAGGAGATGTTCGTTACGATTTCCCGACATAAAAACATACATGATCTTCGGAATGATAAAAATCTAAAGCAAGCAGTGTTCGCAATGAAAGTTATCCAATAAACCGTAATGGACAGCAGTATTTTTTTGAAGAAAAAACCTGAAATTTGCGTGGAGTTCGGGGTGAAAATAGCAGGAAGATCGTAATGAAAAGAGGCAGGATGTTTGTAACTATGTTCATGTGTACAGTTTTTTTGAGAGATTTCAAATGACTCAGTAGCTTGTATTTAAAGATAATAAAGAGCAACGTTCTGATGAACACAGTAAATAGCATAAACAATCGAACAAAGAACACGAAACAGAACAAAATCATAAAAAAAGAACAGAAAAATTTATTTTTGTGATATCGATAAAGAATAGGTATTTCTATCATAACCCAGGTGAATGAATCCGACAGTGAATCCTATCGCTATCGGATCTCATGGGATCCGACGGAAAAAAAAACATTTTGTTAATCACCAATGAATAAGCATATGGTGTCAACAGAACACATGGGTCGAATGTTTATGTTGGATTCCGTTAAATTCCGGCACTGGAACCTATCGGATTCCGACACTAGGGTTTCGTTTGTCGGTTCACACCCATATACCGATAGGATTTCGTCGGTTTAATGAAATCCATACTATATCCGATAAGATTCCGACACGAATTTGATAGAATCCTATTATCGGAATCATTCTCCTAGGAAGATAAAGAGTGTATGTGCAAAGAAACTGATGTTATTTTTTCATCCGGTTATTTGTTGTATCACGAGTTTTAGCTTTCATTGCTTCACCATTTGTTGATTTCTTTCCTTCTCTGTCTTCGTGAATTAATTGTCTAACCAATAGCATTTGGAAGCAGAGATTTTTTAATTATAAAGTATTTCAATTCTCCTTAAGATAGCGCACTCTATAAGTATTATAATATACTTACGATCTTCAAGTAAAATGAGTTTACGGATACCCGAGTAGCTATCTAATTCGAGTTCGAATATAAATGGGAAAAGAAAAAGTTAAACTAAAACTAAATCTATTCCTACATTTAGTTTCAGTTTAACTTTCCGATATATGCGACATATCAACACATGTTTACCCTTCACCCGTCCTCACATTTGAGCACTCCTCCATGGTATCCATCACCCACAACCACATTTGAAGTATCCCGGATAACCCCTCTGCACCCCTTCAGGGTATACTTCACCCACACCCTATATATATATACCTGAAACAGTAGTTGCTATTGAGTACTAGATTTTGAAAGCTCAGAACATATTTAATAATGTGCAAAAATAAAAACTAACATCAAAGCAACATGCTATGAGTAAGATCATCATACGAGATTGGATATAATCTAAGATTGAAATTCATTTGTTCGAATTTACCACTTAGGCAATCAATGAACGATGTTCTTATACATCTCAAAATACAATTAATTATTATAGGCTTACTTACCGTAACTACAAAGGAATCATTAAATAACTATGGTGTACTGTATTCAACCTGTTTTATATATATTTCAGTTTATCTAGATTCTTTTTCTTCTTTATACATTGTACTAAATTACACATATTCCTTTTATTTAGGCAAATTTAAGCTTTTGTACTAATGGGCGGTTTCTTTGTAACAGTTCGTATTAGTTGAAGATCTTCTTTTTCATGAGAAATTCTTTTATTAACTCGAAATTCGGGCCGATCGTGACGTTTACCATTTTGTGTTCGAGCAAAGAACGTTCGAGAAACTGTAGGATCTCTAGAAAAAAAAGCAATCAACCAATTATTATTATTTTAACAAAATTATTAAACAGTACTTTTTCAGGAATTCAATGGCATTGCGTGTTTCACATGTTCGTGCATCATTTGGGCCATAGACAAATTCTTGTAATTCAAGACACTAAAGCAAACGATTCATCTAATTATTTTAAATTTTCAAACAAATCAAAAGTTCATATCTCTTACTGCTTGTAAATGTTCAGCTGCATTGAGACATTCACCTTCTCGTAAATAGATTGCGCCGATGCGAGCTTCTGTTTGTATAACTTCTTCCGAAAAATCACCAAATACTTGAATTTTATTTGGTAAAGTTTCACAAAGTACATTTAAAGCATCCTAAAAAAGAATTATTTTAAATTCTTTGAACTATCAAAATATGATCGAATTTAGGCAAAACGTAAAAGAGACTGTCCTCAATTCATATTCTCTTGCGAAATCTTTTACTCGAGTAAAACTTTAAAAAATTGGCTTTCTCTTCATAGAAACAAACCTGATATTTTTCTAATTTAGTATAAAAAGTTACTAATTCATCGATTGATTTCAAAACATTTCTATTGGTTTCACCATTTGGTTCCTTATATAATTGAATTGCTCGTTGAAATTCTTTTTCTAAATCATCTGACAACAAAAAAAGAAACATTAACAAAACGAAACGAAAATAAATAACTATAAAAACTCATTCTTACCTGTGAAATGATCCGTTGTTACTTTTGCAATACATAGCTGAAGAACTGCATGTGCAATTTGATGTTTATGTTTAACGCATGGTTTCTTGTTTTCTTGTTCATCTGCTAATTCAACTGCTTTTCTATAATATTTTAATCCAGTTTGAATATGATCATGAAATTTAGTTAAATACGATCCCGAACGTAAATATAAATCAATTGTACGTTTTACTTGGTCATTCGAAAAATATTTCTCAATATAACTGATAATATCATCAATTAAATCATACGTAGATTTATCGAATTGTTTTGAATCAATTAAAATTTTATTAAATTTAATAAATGAATATTCCATATGTCTCTTGTCGTAATCTTTTGGTTTTAGTAGATTTTTTAGTTTTTCTAAATATTTTTTAATTACAGAAAAATCGTGTTCGATATGAGTTTTATCAATGGATGAAATATTTTTATTTTTCATTTTCGATTCTCGATCTAATAAATATTGTTTAGCATTTAAAGAGCATTTTAATAGAATAAAATAAATATCATAGGCAAGTAAATTTTCTTCTAGATTATCATCATTTGGTATTATTCTTAATTTTTCAAGTATTTGCCGAGCATTAAGTGCATGAGATTTCGCTTGTGCTAAGAAATTTGTGCCACGATTTAAATAGAATTTACTTAGATTTATATAGGCTCGAGCATTTTTAATAGAATCATCTCCATATTCAAGTTTGGTATAAACTTGCATCAGGACAAGTTGATTAAAATACTGCTCAGGCTATAGAAAAATTTTAAAAAATAAATATATTCGAAGAAAGTAAATCCACTTACCGTAGATTCATGTTTTGTTTCAATGATTTCTTCTGCTACATCTTCAATTTTTTGTTTTATGGTACGTAGATCAATAGGAGTAAGTATAGCAGTCGCACAGTAGATCGATGCGCTTGGACTACATTCTGTTCGACTAGCATCTAAACTGGACCGACGTTGAATCTGTCGTCGTTGACGACTTGCACTTAATGTACGAATTTTTGGTCTAACCAATTCAAGAATTTATTGTAAACAGGAATTAAATTTGAAAATAACTTACTTATCAGGCATTAGAGGAAAATATTCTATTCATCAATGACAATCAACTACCATAAATGGCACCACGGTGCTTTCGTTGTCATGAATACGATCGTTTTTTGACAGAGGGCAGCATTGTCTAGAGTATTCAACATTTTTACTATCGACAATTTCTTTTACGATGTGAATTGTATAGAAAAACAGAATTTATTTTTATTATTTATTTGCTGATTAGCTAAATAGAAATATTGAACTTTTCAGAATAATTGCATACTTTATGCTTTCGGTGATGGTTGATATTTGATATCAACTATAAGATCAACAGAGAAAGATGTAAATCATTCAATTTTTCATATTTATTATTGATTCTTATTTAATTGTTATTCATATAGGAAGAAAAAAAATCATATGTGAGTTATTTTAATTTTAGCGGCGTCGACCGATGATTCCATGAGCATGTAGGGCTCGTTGACGTTCGATATGAATGCTACGTCTATGATATGGTATAATAAAAGTTTGGTCATCTTCCATGCCGTGATTCAATACCAGCGGTGCATGATCGGAATACCTGTTGTCACTCTTAAATAAGAAAGAAATGTCCGGTATTACATAAACTTTTGGGTTTTGATCATTTGCAATCGTATTGACAGTTTTTGCCGATACATAAACAATCAATAGGAATAAAACCGTAAAACGTAAACATGAAGTTGAAACAAAAATATTGAGCTAGAAAAAATTTCAAAAGTGTTGTTGTGTTAATCTCTCTATTTCTCTTACCTTGTTCATCTTAAAAACTGCAGGTAAGTTAATGAAAATGAACGGAGTTTTCGCTATTTATATATAAAAGAAGGAAAAAAACCGAGTTTGTAAATGTAGTTGGATAAGATTTAGTTACATAATCTTCTAATTATTTTACTTACAATAGAAAAATTTCACACAGTAAACAACAAGAACAAAATACACCAACGTACAATTTTGATCAATGTTCTTTTAATAAAAAAATAATGTAAATCACCACAGTGTCTGTTACCAAACTAATCATTGTTACGCTAATGCCTTCGATCAAATTAATTGATGATTATAAGACTTTGTAAAAATAAATGTAGACCGTGAAGTTCATATTGACTGAGCTGATGACACAATATCTTTGAATCACGAATTGACAAGAAGATTAAATTTTGTTCCCCATTTAGAATTTTCAATTTTTGCCGAGCTTATTTTAAAATGACTCAAAAGATGGATGAGTAAAATTTGCAAATTACTTTTCGATCTGTCAGAATTATGAAATTTATTGTTTAGTAACATAAGAGAAACGGATCGAATGCATTCATCTAAAAAACACATTGCATTTATTATTTTCTTTCTACTTTGGATTTAATCAGCATAGGATACTCGAGCATACGGTAATTATTCATTCAAAAGTATAGCACGAGTATAGAAAAACTTCGTTAAGTCGATGTGATTATGCTTCTATGTTACTGCAGATATGAGAAATTCATTCGACCAATGTTCAAGATCTTTAATATTATATTACATAAAAAAAAAACGAAATTATTTCAGACGACTAAAATACATGACTGCCGATGATGAAACTTTTGTTACATTTCTTTTGCAAAAGGGAATAGTATATTAAAATTTTTATCTTAAACTTTGACTCAAAGTTTACTGCGCGCGATATCACAGACAAAAAAAATGATAAGATCAGGCCAACTAAAATTTTTTTACACAGCCACTTCATTTATCTATAATTCGACAATGATGTTGTTTTCTTTTCTACTCTTTTTTGTATTATTTACACAAACAACTTCAAATGATACACGTTGTGACAAAACTCCATTATGTTACTTAACCAATAATTCGACAGTAATCATATGCGATAGGATGTATGCACAAACGAATGAAAGTGATGTCTTTCCTAGTTTATCCTGTTTTCCGCCTGTAAAAACGTATTTATTTCGCAATTTTCCAAAAATACGATTACATGCTTTTGAAGATATAAAATTTCCAGAAAACGAATCATTTTCTATTAAAGTAGTTAATGCATCATTCATTGAAACAGAAGCATTTTCAAAATCATTGATTATTCCTCCCAGTTCGAAATTATCAATTGACATCGGCGACTTAGATAGTTCATCGAGTATAGTGTTAAGATTCAGCGCATTCAATCATATCAAAATCGATCATTTACACTTTACTAATATTAATAGTTTCAATGGACGTTCTGTATTCGATACAGATTGTTTTGGTGATGATTTAGATATTAATTTACTCACATTTGAAAATTGTGCCATCGGTGGCTTTTCAAATATTATTCATAAACCTGTAGATGTTGCTTATTTGTCGATTATAAATTCTCCTAAATTAACACAATTAACCGATAAAAGTTTACCATCATTTTTATCAACATCAAAATCTTTAGAAATATCGAATACAAACCTGCAGATGATCAATGCACATACATTTCAAGCGTGGTCGCTTATACTTGAAGAATTAATTATTACTAATAATTCAAATTTAGAAACGTTTCCATCAAGTATAGTTGACGGTATATTAATGAAATTAAATAAGCTTGATTTAAGTTATAATTCAATAAAAAATCTTGATATTGATTATGATTGGTTCTCTTATAGTTCGACAAAATATTTACTATTACGAAATCAACAACTTGATTTATTTCTTAAAACAAATCTGTTAAAAACGCTACCAGCATTAGAGAAAATCGATTTTTCCCAAGGTTTTATTAGCGCAAACAATGATGATTTAATTAAAAATCATTTTCAGAATATATCAAATTTGAATTCAATTGATGTTTCCTATACAAATCTTACGGAGAATATGATCATCGATTTACTTACAGCGATAAGTAATGTAGCAACACATTTTGTAGACGTTCGTTTATTTGGTCATACATTAAGTGATAAAAATTTCTGTTCCTATTTTAAAATATTTAAAAATGCGCCTGGTCTACTTCATCTTGAATTAGATGAATCACACGATTGTAATTGTATTATTGATTTATTCTATATGAATAATGTAAGACAATCAGTAACGAATACTTCCGTATTACAGCCAACATGCTTATCGAATTTTACACGTATACCGTGCGATGTCGAAACACAATTATCAATATCAAAATGTAACATTGGCTCACAGAATCCTGATGCATCAGGCGAAGGCAATAAACTTGGAAAGTATGCATTTGGTTTTATTGTGGCTGGCTTAGTTGTTGTTGTAATGGTATTATTATCGCTGGGCTTTAGTGTTGTCTATCAAATACGACGCCGACGTAACACAGATCTTGATATGGACCAACCTATTGAAAATCCCCTTGCTGCAATCATTGAAGAACGTTTACAGAATCAATAACTATTCGTTTATTTCTTGTTTTGACTTTTTTGTAATTTTTTCTTTAAAATGTATTAAATATTCTCTATAAAACTTCAAAGAAGTATTGACACTGAATAACTAATTCATTCATGTAAAGAAATCAGTATACGGATGTGTTTCATGGTAAAAATACGATTGTGTGTCAACCTTGAGGGTGAGTATGAAGTTAATGCGAATAGATTCAGCGAAAATCACCCTCACTCCAAATTGCCGCTTACTTATTTCCATATAAAACGAATCATTCAGCATAAAAAATATATATTTTACATAATAACTCATTGAGTCGTCGGCTGAGACCCTAAAATCTAGCGAAAATGATATACTGATTCTCAGAAAGATTTTTATGCTCGGTTAGTCCGTAAATGATGCATTTATTTTTCAGAGTAATGCAGCCATCAGTGCAATAGCTACATATTTAAGTACAAACAAGGATATCGGGTTGGCATGGATCTACAGATATGGGGACTATGGGTGTGATACTGATATACGAATTCACGCGAACATTAGAACCAAGTGTACCGACTTTCAAGGATAATGCTTTATGGTTGCTAACGCAATCACAAGTTAAACTAGTGTGGTCTTATTGTAGTAAGCCAAAATTAGACTGGGGTTGTGTTCTTGTGTATGACCCCAACGCGGATAATTCAATGAGCGATAATTATCTTTGCTGGAAAGAACATTCAGATTGAACACTTTGCTAGTATTTCTATATGCTTCATTTTTGTTTAGTGCATCCTATCTAAAATTATCTTTATACATGTGTGCCGATATTGATTGCACGCTTCGATGATTCTCCTTCCTCTTCCTTCTGTTCTCTTTCCATTGGTGTAATATCTCTCTCTCTTGTCTCTCTTCTATCTCTCTCCTATATATACGTGTGTTATGTATGAAGTTGTGACACTCTAGAGATGTCAGATGACACAATATACCATCATGTCGACGGGCATAGGCGACACTCTCTAGTGGTGTCGTTACACTCTGGATATGTGAATAAACGAATAAACATCATTACCTAGAGTAGCGGTAAGCTACTCCACCTCTATCCAGTTTGTCATTACGATATAGACTCAACTGAGTCCTATTAATCGTTACAACATGTTTTATTCTTTTTTCTTTTAATGCTATATTTTTATCCCGATGTTGAACTTCGTCTCTTTCATGTTTGAATTCACTGAGACACAACACTTGTATTTATTGTAATACTCTCTCTGAAAACATAAGAAACGTTCTTTATTAAACTTTAAAAATGTATTCACACTCGCTACTGTCCAATCCAACCCGAACGCTGCTAGTACGCGCACGACACGCTTGATGCGCGCACGGTACAACACACCTCGTACGTGTACGCCATGCGCATGAGAGTGCATTTATGCATTTTCGTAATTTTCTCATTGGCTCATTTTGAAATTCCATTAGTCAGTCATTTTCCATCAAACGTATTGCTTAGAATTATTATATTAATTTTTATTTTATTTTATTAAAATTTAAAACTAAATTTTACAAAAAAATTAAAAATCTATGAACACATTACATCTGTTTTATTCGTGCAAACAAAAGAAAAGATCAGCCAACCACTATATTTTCTTGTGCTGTGATAGGTAGTCATAGATGGCGTGTTCTTTAAACAAAATCTGTCTGTATTGGCGAACAAGAAGCTGAAGTGACTCATAACGAATCCTTGCATTCAATCGATAATACTCTTTCGATTTCACTAGACTTTGCACTACTTGCGAGTAAACAAAGTATTGGATTATTAAGGAGAAGGTTTGTAAGTTGTAAATATTGGTTTTTTAGTGTATAATTATTCTTTGATTCAAAATCGTAATCGATACACTTTTCGTCGGGATAAAAAGCTGTACTTTATTAATACAGTAACTATAAGATGTGCTTCAGTGATCTTGTCTTCATCATAGTTCGTCAAAAGGTGTGTTCCAATTGAAAAAAGACTTGATCCACTAGCATAGTAGCAGGTATTCGATGAAATGCTCTATAAGCGAAGTTAAAATAGTGATTTAGATGTGATAGAATTATGCACATTCACCTCCTTTTAGTGACTAGAGTCGGCTTCTTATTGGCGGATTAAATAACTGGTAATGATTCATATCAATCAAAGAAATGGTTTTAGTGTCAGGTGAGTGTTTGAGCAATATAAACGCATAATAACTCAATTTCAGCTTTTCCCTCTCGGTTCTCTATATCTCTGAGTGAAACAATCCCGACTGGATTCAGATTCTTATTAACCTACAATATAAATATATTTTCTCTTATTCGTAGATATTTTGCATCAGCATCTGAGGAAATTAATGAAATAAAAAGTCAAATTTTATTACATTATATATTGTGTTAGATGATTTTACGAGCTTTCGTTTTTCATTCGATGATCATACTATCACCATAGCAGTCTACGCTTCTTTAAAGAGTAAGATTCTTAAATTGATCTAGTCTTGTATGGTATGCTACCATTACTCTGTATTGGTATTGGCATACGCGTATGCATTGAAATAGAAGCACCACAAAATCATGTGCGCGCGAATCATTAAAATTTTTCTTCTGCTGAATGCTATTCGAAATGAGGTAGTTCTACCAATATAGGTCAAAAGGATGTCTTCATTCTATTCCAGATTTTGATTTCAAGGCATTATCTATAGTCGAATGTTCAAGAGAAAATAGATAACTTTGATATGCACCAGTTAAATGTCGTAAAGTTATAATTATCTAGCGAATTGAAACTTGCTGTATGATGCCTCGCTTTTCCCACCATACAGCATAGATTCAAACTATTTCATTGGCTAATAATCATATCATCATTTTTTGAGAACAGAGTTATTAATCATGATTTATTTTTTTCTGTCCGATCTTTACCCAATTGTCCAAAAATTGTCTCCTTGATATAATGATTGGAGCTATTACACTAATAGCTTACAAAAGTATTTAACTCTCGACAAGCATAAATACTGTTGAAAAAAGCAATGCTTCGTTCTCTTTCTTTCGTTAAGCAAATATTTAACGACACTTATCTGTACTTTTTTCATGTTTCCTTATTCTAGATTTTATACGCATATAAATGAATGAGTCGATATCTAGCATTATTTCGTTTTTGTCGTCGCTCAAGATTTTCTTGCATTTGTAAATATTTCTTAGCGTTTACGTTTCTTCTATGTACATTTATTTATTGTGTACTTAAAATTAAATTATCAATTGATTATCATTATGCTCAAGTATTCTATCAAAGTCAGCGAAGTCAAATCTGTCAGAACAGTATCAATTCAACTCGGGAAAAGCCAAAATTAATTCTTTTTTGGACAAAAATATTCACTAATCCTATTGATGCAAATTACATAAATAACTATTTATTTGCATCGCCAGGACGTTGCGATATAAATCGATGTAAAGTAACTAATAATCGACAAGAATTATGTGCAAGTGATGCTGTTGTATTTCATGCACGAGGTGGCATTAAAATGAATGATATGCCACAAGAACGTTCGCTTCATCAAAGATATATTTTATTAACAAAGGAACCACCGTATAAAACAACTGCCATTGTTGGTCATTTGAATTATTTTTTCAATTGGACAGCTACAGTAAGTTTTCGTAAAAATCTAAAGGAATTGATTGATACTGAATCGAAATATTCGATATTACTATCGTATCATTTATTATGAATAAGATTGAATTCATCTATTTTTAGTATCGAACGGATTCGGATATTGCTTATCGATATTTTCGTTGGCGTCGAAAAGATGAAGTTGTCACAGAAGCAAGTCCACAATCGTATTTAAATAATCGCCAAGTACGTGCAGCGTCTATGATTAGTAATTGTTATTCGCAAAACAATCGTGAACATTATATAAAACGCCTTAGTTCAGTTATACCTGTAACACGTATTGGACATTGTTCATGGAATAAATGCCATAAATCGTACTATGAATGCCTAAATGAATTGGCTGATACACATCCATTTTTTCTAGCTTTTGAAAATTCTTTATGTCGTGATTATGTGACAGAAAAATATGCTAATGTTATAAAAAATCGTCGTATGATACCGATTGTGTTTTCGAAAGATTTCGATCTTTATATTCCGAATTCATTTATTGATGCAAATCAATTTTCATCACCTGAAAATTTAGGTCGATTTCTTATTGAACTTGTGAAAAATTCGACACTCTATGATAGTTATTTTAAATGGACCAATAAGTATGAACTTGTCGTACCAGATGAAAATGATTATTTGTGTGAATTATGCAAGAAATTAAATGATCCTAAAGAACCTAATAAAGTATATGATAGCATGAAAAAATGGCTTTACGATGATGCCACATGTCAACGATGGATATCGAAATTAAACAGAACAATCAATGTATCTGTTGATGAAACAATGGATTATGAGGATTCGTTATTTTGAGTTTTTGTTTTCATTTTGAATTGTCAGATCTTTACTTTATATGTACAATTCTTTATTTTATTTGCATAAAGACAACAAAAGTATGAACACATTCTTTTTCATAATTCATGATGCATTCGTTTCCCAATAGAATTTCATTCAAAACCTATTGATTTCTATTTTGCTTTGCAAACGTCTATCATGTATTCGGGAGATCCAAGTCCTATCAATTAGTAGACTATTAATTGGGATTTTCGCTCACGAGATGTGTTTTGCAAAGTCGAGTCGTTTTTACTAGAAAAACAAGTATTGTCAAAATTGCACAGAAGCAATTCTTTCATTAGTCTTCTTTTAAAAAAACAAATTGCAAATATCAAAATTTCAACAAAACTCTTTAACCAAGTTTAGTACGAAATTCAGCCATAGAGAAGTTGGGATCAATTTTACGACCTTTAGGTACTGCTGCTTCTTTGTGTCCTAAGACGCGAGTAGATGCCACACCGTATGCTTTCTGTAGAGCTTTAACACCTTTGACATAGCTCTGGTATTGCACTTCAGGCCAGTGTGCATGCCCACTGTCAGTAGCTGGCAAGCCAGCACCTTCTGCTTCGATACCAATTGCGTTCGAATTCCCATAGATTGAGTCATCAATCGTACTACCTGCGTGATAGCAACGACCAGCTGCAATAACAAACCAAGTTCCTGAACGACCAAGTCCGAGTTGTGCAAGTGGGCCAGCAAGGCTTGAGGTACCATCACGAACAACTCCGAGCGATGGATAATCACCTGTCTTTGGACCAGCCGTATGATGAACGACAATACCTTTGACCGATGCCATGACACCGTGGCCACGAGTCTTCCAACCAGCAACTTCTACCACATTGAGACCAGCACCACGAAGGATGTCAGCTAAACCTGTGAGCATTGTATTGGTTGGTTTACTCGGACCTGTACCAGGTGACGTAGATCCTCCCTTGCAACATTGTATATTGGCAGCTCCTGCACAAATACCTGCATGAGGTGTTCCACTACTAGCCGAACACGCAGCCGCATCCTTACATGTTGTACTATAAGAATACATTGAATCTATACGCGAACAGTCGGGGCTATCTTACCAGGTACAACACTGAATATTAGCAGCACCAGGGCAGAGACCCGTTTGTGGTGTTCCACCCTTAGAAATACAAACATTTCGATCTATACAAGCATTTGCAGACCAACATCCTGCAACAGAAGCTATTCGTAAATGAATAATCGTGAGACACACGATGCTAGTCAAAAGAGCAATGTTCGGCATATTACCAGTATTGACGAGAAGAAATAAAAACGAATGAATGTTTTCGATTGAAATAAATCGAACTAAAACAATACTATGAATGGATTAGCTCTCACATGATTCGTATCAGGTGCACTGAATTACAAAAAAGAACAACAACAATAGATAGGATTAGTTAAATAGAAATGGCACCTGTTGTATCTCCAATTATAAATTGAATTAAATCAAACCCAATGCTCACACCTCCACAAGAGTGTTTAAAACAAAATTTTAGCTGGTTAACTCTTAACCACATTTCGCTGAAATGTTTCAAAATGAAGAAAAAAAAGAAATGATAATATTTTGATACACTATGTACTGATCTGGATAGGTTTCTCTTCCTAGTGAGATGATTTTCATTACTAAGTTTATTTATTTCTTTAGTATACAGTTCCTGTGATAAAAATATTTTTTTCGAATTTTTTAATCATATTTTATCTAAAAATTGATTGCGTATTTCATGATTATTTCGAATCATTTTCATGGCTAGAGGTCCACTGACGAATATTAAATCATCACATAGTCGATTTAAATAATCATACATTTGTTTACCATTGGATACAGCTGACCAGGCACACATCCCTGCAGTTAATGCTATGCCCGCAACAAAAACGACAACCGATAAACCACGAACAACATTCGTAGTACCAACTCCAGCAGCTCTAAGACCATCGTCCGATAATGCAGCTCCCGCAGTAGCTACACCTGCTACAGCTCTGACAGCAATCGAAGGTGAATGTTTTACTTTTTCTTGATTTGCAATACTGCTGGGTTCAAACGAATGTTTTAAAGTCGAAGTTTTCAAATACGATCCATCAATTTCAATATTGAATTGTTTCAAATAGTCTTGAAATTCATCGGTTTTACCCGAGGACCATTTCGTCAGATACGAATGAGTATGAACACCAAATTTTTGACGGATTTGTTCGCGTGCAAAATATCTTGGAATTAAATCCATAAATGGTATCACGGCAGCTATGCCTGCCAAAATGTTGTATTTCATCGTGTTCAAAGCATAACCACGACGAAAGCAAATATTAATAGTCCGAGCGACTGCACATATACTCATCTGCTGTAGACGGTTTTCATGATAACTATCTGGTAGATTTTTGAGCTCATCAATCAATTTTTCAAGATCGAATTTTGCATACGGTAATATGGAAATATTTTGATTACGGACACCTTCACTTGCCGTAGTAGTAAGATATATATCAGATAATTCTCTTCCACTATTGTCCGTGATGCCAAGTTGTCGAACTCGGTGTACGACTTTTTCAGCATATTTATTTCTTGTTATTTCATCACATGTACAAAAGTCTTGGCCGACATCTTGTTTAAATGTTCTGATAAATAATTCGTCGACTTTACTACGTACTATCCAACAGGTACGATTCAAACGGTTAACAATATATTCTTGCCAATTACGATGGACATCTGTAAAATTATTTTCAAAAACAATTATATACAAGTCACAATCTGCTTTTTTAATTTGATCAAAATAATTTCCTGATATCACTTGTAAATCGCTATCCGTGGACCCTTCGATATCTACGAATATAACTTTCGTACCATTATCATACGCATGTTCGAATTCCAATTGACAATATGTACTTTTATGAGCACCTATGGGCGACGAAAGTATAATGTCAGGAAGTTCTTGTAATTGAAAATTAGTACTGTAATCATCCTTGATTTCTCTTAAAGAGAGTACTAATGACGTTTTTCCTGCATTGGTTTCGCCAATTAAGCCTATTCTACACGGTACACTAGGCAAAATGTTACGGCCAAGATCGCTTTCAAGTGATTTGAAAACATCAATAATTTTCGGTTCAAATAGGTCACTTGTCAAGACGGTATTTTCCCATTGATTGATTTTTTCATTCAACGATGGAAACGTTTTCTTCAATTCCGCTTGTTGAATGTAATATAATAACAGTTCACATATTTCTATGAAGTTTTCGCATATTCGAGTGTTGCCATGGCTACCGTCTAATACATTCAAATAAGTTGTAAAACAACGATTCAATGCATCGTCATCATCATCATCATCGTTTATCGAGATTAATTTATCTACATCGCGTTTGATTAGTTTTAATTCTTTTATAAATGTACCTCCCCGTCCCAGAAGAGTTTGTACTAATTCAGATATGGAATTATCGTCATTAATCTTTCCATTTAATGTTTGTATCAATGATTGAACATGAATAATTCGACTAGAAATATCGTTTGAAAGTGCTCCAGGCATAATATTTATTGATGACAATAATTCAGTCCCGTATTTAACAGAATATTTTTTCCATAGTAAATTCATCAGCAATTCATTCACTCTTGCATCATCTGCAGATGATTTTTGACAGTATAAACAATAGAATTGTCCATTATTCTTGTTGTTAGATGTTTTTATCGATTGTACACATTTAACACAATATTGATAACTGCAATCTTCTGTTGGACATTCGCATGGTAATTGATCAGATGTAATACCGAATGGGCTGATACATACACAACATGTATCCCATATCTTAAATATTAAAATTGATTAATAAAAAAGTTTTTACTAAAAAAAACAAGAACTTAAGCAAATATCGTACAGTACTTTCAAGACGTCTTTTGAACCGTTAATAGAAACATTTTTGTAGACGGAAATATAGAGCTTGTCGGGCTAACTCTTCTACCGGAGAGTGAGTGCGTTACTAATTTTATACATTTTACTTTTCTCATTACTTTTGAACAGTTTACCAGAGAAACGCGGGCAACATCTTATTTTTTTCATTAAAATGTGCTCTACAAAGTGAACTGTTAATTTTCCTGTCTAAAATATTCTTTCACTTGTCTTACGAAAAATACAACAGAACAAAAAATAGTTTAAACATATTAACTACACTTTGTATTTTTCATAAGACAGCTGAAAGAATATTTTAGACAAGAAAAATGAAGAGTAGCTACACTTTGTTGAGCGCATTTTAGTGAACAAAATAAGATGCTGCCCGCGTTTCTCTGATAAACTGTTCAAAAGTAATGAGAAAAGTAAAATACATAAAAATAGTAACACACTCGCTGTCCGGTAGCAGAGTTAGCCGGACAAGCTCTATAGGTTCAATCAAGTGTCTTAGTATTTTATTCTTTTGTTCGAGCTGTAACGAATCTGTCGATCCTATAAAATATCTCGCTCAAATATTTTGTGTGTAGACGGTACAAAATAAATTCATTTTTAAGCAACATACCCTTTTAACATGCATTTTGAACCATCGTTTATTATTTTTAGGTATCACATTTATATCTTTCAGTATTTCTTCTGTGCCGGTTTGTTCATTTTTAATGGCTAATATAAATGGTACACGAAATTCTTTTATATTTATTTGAGTCAAATATTTTCTATATTTCTCTAACACTTGTGCTTCTAATTGCTCGATTGATTGATAGTTACCAATGAATTCTTCTTTGTGGCCCAAACAAACAGCTTGAATTCGATGCATATTTGACTAAATCAAAAAATATCTTCATTAAACAGTTATTGAAGTAATGTTTTCGATAACGATTAAAAACATGCCTTTCTATATATTATAGTTGCAATAAATAATTTTTATTATGTCACCAGCAATCATATCTTTCAATGTGCTCGTTCTGCACTGCATTTTGAAATATATACCGAGCTGCTTGATTCTGTGGTGTTGTTTTGATTGCTTTGGGTTTTTTTTTCCGGCATACGCTTTTTTTCCATACTTTTAACGTTTCTCTCGGCGTCGCGAACCATATAAAACATCAATATTGATTGGAACATAAGGCTGATGAAGCGCCGTTGACATCGAAAGAAATGCAAAAACAAAAACTTTGCTTCCTGTATTCTATGATTCACACTGTTGTTTTTTTCTATCCTTCCATTCTTTACTTCTCTCTTACTAGTTTTCATGGAGTTCTGATATTTCCGCAGCAATGTTGAGTAGTTTCGTATAGAACATAATAATAATAATAATATCTCCCATAGGCTTATCGCCCGTTGGGGCCGGCGCTAAAGGGTCCACAAGCAGCCAGGTTCTATCGTGTTTTCTCTTTTACAGACGACGGTATCTGCACCCCATTCGTCCAACGCTTTCCCCGTTAATGATATGGTTTGGCGATCATCATAGGATCACGTGGCCGTGACATCTATGTTGAAGTTATTGTTTTGACTCTGCATACTGACTAATGATATAATCGATACGCTATCGGATGAGTCATCCGGAACAATTAGCCGTTAGTAACTTGTTCAGGGTTATTCCATGGTTGGTGATACTGTGGTTTGAACACAGTACCTTGTGAATATGTGTCGAATAACATATCCACTCAACCATGGCGGCTCCAGGTGAGTCATAGTTTAGTTTTATTATCAATCGTTTGTGATTTCTTCCTTTTAGTGAACACTAATTTCATGTAAATATTACGCACACTTGATGTCTCGTGCATTGGTTACTACAATGGAGCAATCGAGTTGTTCGATATCTATTTTGCCGATTCTACAGGTGAGCATCGGATTTAGTTATTGAAAATATTTCAGAGAGATTGAGAACGATTCAATCTTTTAGAGTGTATTTTTCTTTTTTTCATGAATTGTGCATAGTCGCGAATTTTGTTTCCATATTGATCGTTTCTTTCTTTTAGTGTGTGCTGCAGTCCGTTGGTCAACAAGTGTCTAAATGATTCTGATGGATTAATTTTTATTGTAATTCTTTTACATTTTTCTATAAATTGTCTGGATTGATCGCGTAAGTCATACTTTTTTTTATGATCATGTTTTCCCCGTTTCTTTCTTTTAGTGAATATTAGCTTTATGGAAACATTGAGAACAGTTTATGTTTCGTGCATTGGTTATTCAGATGGAGTAATCGAGTTATTCGATGCCAATTTTGCTGATTCTACGAGTGAGTATCCGATTTAATTATTAAGAATATTTTAGAGACATTGAGAAGGATTCATTTTGTAGCATGTCTTTTTTTTTGCTTTTGCATAAATTGTGCATGTGTGAGAATTTTCTCTCGTATCGATCGGTTTTTTCTTTAGTCTGTGATGCCCTCCCTTCGTCGACAACTATCCAAAACGATTGCAATGACTTAATTGGGTTTGCGTTTGTTTTCAATCTGGTGATACGTTATCTAGATCGATCAGGTGAGTCATGTTTGACTTTTATTTTATTTTCTCAGCCAGTGCTTTCATTTAGTGAGCATTCGCTTCGTGGACATATTGAGAACAGTTTGTGCGGCGTGTATTGGTTGTTGCAATGGATCAATCGAGTCGCTTAATGTTTTTTTTTATTGTATGGTGAACTACCCAATTTAGTTGCGAAAAATATACGTATCAGAGATTGTGAGAAGAAAATGGTTTCTTTACAACATGTTGTGCGTTTGCATGATTTGCGCGACACCGCGTGTCTTTTTTTGTATTCATCATTTCATTTGATAGTCTGTGATGCAGTTTAATGATCAACAACTTTCGAAAATTATTGAAAGCAATTGATTGGCATTGCCATTTTTTTACGTTTTCCTATAGTTTATGTAGATCGATCAAGTTTGGTTGTATTTTACTTATCTTTTGAGGTTATACCGATGTAATTAAGTTATTCTAAGTGTCTCAGAAAGACTGAATCGAAATATTCGCAGGTCCGTTTCTTTTCGATTGGGTTTAGTTATGATAAACCTTTTATGCTTTATTTGTTTATTTATCGTCCCGATGTTGAGCGATCAATATGGTTTAGTCATGTTCACCGTTATGATTTTTAATATTGCGAGCAATCTCGTTTTTGGATTTCAGTAGTTTTATGTTTTGTAATTTAGTTTGATTTGTACGGAGGGAGTTTGAAGATTCGTTTTTCCTGTGTTCAGTTACGGATTGAGTTTAATTGTCAACAATAGGTTTAAAATATGCACAACGTGATTTTCGTCCTTGGGATTTTCACGTTGTTGTGGAGTTAAAGGGTTCTATAATGTGATACGGTCCGCTTTTTTTCCCGTTGTTCAATCAATACTGTACTTGTATGATTATCAATTTTTCAAAAATATTTTCAACGGTATGACTGCTAGTTTCGTCTGTTTCTAAATATTTATCCTTTGCGATGAAGATGATTGTTTACTACTCGCATTCATTTTCATCGCAGTTTCATGTTGACCTTTGATATTAGGAATCGAATTGTTGTGTGTTCGTTTTGCGTTCCGTTATTGCTGATGTCGAGTCACGCGCTGCGTCGATTTTATCATCTGTCGCCAAATCTTGTTCTCCGTTAGTTTCGCGTCAATAGTGTCATTGACTTCATCACCGTCGCATTTTGACTATCGCAGGGCGGGTATCTTCATCCATGTAGTTATGCGTCGATCAGTTTTGCAATATCACGAGGAGGATTTATTGTGCTGCTAAGTAACTGCTTCTGCTAATGTGCTTGCTTTATGTGAGTTATGGAAATCAACTCGCATCATTTGTTGAACAACAAACAACCAGTCTTCCAGGCTGCAATTTGATTCTTGTTCTTAAAGGCAAATAATTATATCAGATTCGTTCCAATTCTCTAAGTAATTTTCTCAATCGGTTTGGTTAATGCGGCTTAGTGTAATCCCACTGCTGATTAATTATGCACCTATTAACCACTTTAGTTCACATTTATTTCTAGTTCTCTCAGGAAAGGCGTAACCAACCAAGCCGACTACCTTATTGCTCATTGCTGCGCTTTTTTGCAATTTGTACTTTCACTATACAATGCTTGTCCTCTATTGATTTACATGCGTTTTGCGATTGTATCAATCAGGCCACTTCTATAAAGCGATTGTCTATGTCCCTTGTTTGAGTTTATCCAAGGGGAAACAAGCGAGACTTCCGTACTACAGCGTACTCGCTGTACATCTAGACGATACGATAACTATGCTTCAAAAACTTTTAGCAATTTCCAGTCTATTATACAACTGTGTTACGGCACAGTAGTGGGGGTTCAGCCAGCGGCACTCTATCTGATAATAAAGCCAAAATACTTCGTTTTATCTTATTCGTTTGAAATCTTGAACTACACTGAAGTGTTTGGGCCTTATTGTCAGATGGACTGGCACTGGTTGGACTTCTATTACCCTACAGTAACACAGGTGGATAGTAGACTTGAAATTGCTAAAACTCTTTGAAGGACAGTGATCGTATTGCCTGGGAGTACAAGGAGTCCGCTGGAGTATCGGAGTCTCACTTTTACCTTCTTAGGTTTCCCATATTTATTCACTTTTTTCCAGCTTTGTTCCTTTATAACCGACGAATCTCATCGATAAGACCTCTGTAACCCATTTACTGAGCTCTTTCATTCTCTCTATTCAGGACTTTTGATACTATTTTTTTTATCGAAATTGGCACAGCTTCCTCACTGCTTTGCGAATTGCTATTCCTGTTAATAATTCTGAATCGCCATTCGATCAACTTTTGGTCAGTTGAAGACGCTGGTCACCCCTTTGAATTATCCTTCAATCAACCCTCTGAGCTAGCTTTCCATCAACCTTTGGGCAGTTGAAGAAACTGATCAACCATTTGAACTACCCTTGGATCAATCTATCTGTGGTTATCGCAACTAATCAACCCTCTGAACTACCCTTGGATCAACCTTTTGATAGTAGATGAAACTAATCAACCCTTTGAACTACCCTTGGATCAACCTTTTGATAGTAGATGAAACTAATCAACCCTGTGAACTACCCTTGGATCAACCTTTCTTTGGTTGATTGAACTAATAAACGCTTTCTAGTAGCTTTACTGGAGGTATTTCGTCTTTATATATGGTTTTATCAACGGATATGTGTGTTGAAGTAAGTGGGTTTATAAATGTCATCTACCCTTAATGAGGGTTTATGAAAATGCAACGTATGATATACCCTTTTAGAGTTCTTCAGTCGTATAAACGGTTTGATAAACCTTTCCACACTTGGTATATCAACTTGATAAACCCTTTTATTTAGTCTTTTGGTGGGTAGATAAANCTCCAGGTCCTTTTGCGCTATCCAGGAAACACCACGTGGAGGCGGACCTTCTTTGTTTCCCACACAATGACAAACACGACATACTTACCTTCTTACATCGATTTCTATTGCAAGATTAAGGACACCGATGTCTCACACATGAGCATCATACCATTATAGCTATTGCTATTGATTATGCAGAGGCCCGTTAGCGCCATCCAGGAAACACCACGAGGGGGTGGGCTTTTGACTTATTTCCCAAAAAGACAAAAGAAAAAAAACCATACATACCTTGTTACCCATGGCATGTATTTGTTCAAGCAATGGCTTCGAAGACGGCATGAAGTTATGTTCAGAAATTTTATTACAAAACAAAAACTTTTCATAAAAAAATAACACAGGGTTCATAACGGATTAGAACTCCGCTTCACAATATGACACACAACATTTACAACAACAACAACAACAAAACTATTTTGTTGTGTAACACAGAGTGCTGATGTTTTTCAGTGCCTCTGAAAACCCGGCGAGGACCGTACTACACGTCTGTTGATACACGCTCAACATAGTTGACTGTTTTTCCACCTTCACTTGTATCTTTTGCACGACGTAATCAGTGTCGCCGAGACTGAGGAATAAAGTTTTTATTGAGCCATTACGACTCTCCTCCGTGGTACGTAGTTGCTGAATCTCCTGTCTCATTTCAGCGAGCTCCAACACCACACGTTCTAGTTGTTGCCGTCGTCGTCGTCGGCAACGTCGTCTCTTCAGGTTTTTGCCCTTTTTCACCATAACATCTGCAAAAAAAATAGACAATATTAAGTTTTAGCATAGATTTATGCAAACAAAATGAGTCTCATTTACCTTGCTCGGTTTCCATATGTTCGTATATCAACTCTTTTTTGATGATGACTGGTCCAGACATACTATTAGTAAATCAAATATTTTAATCTACAAGAAAAAGCAGCAATCGATTAGATTGTTCCTATATGTTATTCCCAACTTATCGCACAAATAAACAGGAAAAGTTTCCTTGTTTCTCTCTCAATCCCAATGCAACTCACAGATTCAAAATAGGAATCAAATTTTGTGAAGATTTAGACTGATTCCGATGATATAACAATGTTATATATCGGTATCATATTCAGTTTAGCTCTTGTTCATTGGCCTCATCAGGTGACTTGCTTTTCCATTACCACATTTCTATTCGTATTGATTCTAAGTACTTTCTAACACTCACACACAGAGTGTAAAGCAAGAGCTACCACCACAAATGAACATTGATCTCGCAATGAACGCACAACTTGCTCTATTAGATGATCATTGGATTCTCTTTCAAAGATTCCTGTAATTTGACTGGACAGGCTAACATTGAGCTGCTTGTTTCAAATGATCTACTAATACTAGATTGTCGGACACAGATAAATACTCCAGCTGCTAGTAGTAAGACACTAAAACTAACACGGTTCAATCCATGAGCACATCACTATTCCAATTACAGTTTCATTTCAGATGTGCATCTGATGGCATGCCCATTCCTTACCTAACAATCACTCCGTCTATGGTAAACCAATTCCATCCTATAAACTTTTGTTTCGAAAGACTTGAGCGATACCATATTCACAGGATGTATCATGCAACATACTATTACATACTGTACAGAGGCCCTTTTGCGCTATCCAGGAAACACCACGTGGAGGCGGGCTTGCTTTGTTTCCCAAAAAAACATGTTGACATACCTTTTCATTATTCACACAAATAACCTTATATTTCAATAAAGACTCAATTGTCATATGTACAATTAAAACACATTTACACACACACACACACACACAAAGAAAACAACAAGAAGTATGTACAATGATATGAAACATTGATTAAATTTCCCAATCATCTGATTCGCATGGATTCGATGTGAATGGTGAAAGTGTGGACCGTGGTACACAAGCATCATCATCATTTTCATCATCATTTTCATCAACTATTGATGAAGTGTCGTCATCGTCATCACTAAACATAAGAATAACATAATGTACAGTTAGTACTACAGCATACTAGCAAAGAATGAAAATAGCTTACCTTTCATCTTCCGAATCAACATAAACTTCTTCCAAATAGATGTTACCAGCAGCAGGGTCATCATCTTCGTCCATATTCTTCAGAATGTGGTCTGCATAGGATTTATTCTCACAACCTATGCAGCCACAATGTTCATAACCGGCTGGTGGAACACCATCAGGTTCTCTTGGCCAAGGAAGAAGGCCAACATCAACCACTGTCTGAGAGTTAGGTAAAACAAACTATTTAATATAGAAAAAAATAGTAGTTTCTTCCAGACAATTAAAATCTCGTTTTTCAATATTTACCTCGCCATATTCATTTAGGTCTAACAGAGCTATCATTTTCCAACGATAGCCATGGGCTTTCTAGAAGAAACAAGACAACAATTATATTATCATCATAGAGTTAATTTTTCTGTCTACTTACAGGTCCATCAAATCGTAATGGCCTCAAATCAATTATATCTGTTCGTTGACGAATTATTGTAGGCATAGTTCGCAAGACAATGGGCACACTAGTGTTGAATCTGTTTTTAATCTGAAACAGAAACAAAACAAAAGTTACTTCAATATGTCATCATCATGACAAGTCTTAGGAATGATTTCCATCCTGTACTACGTGCATTCAAACTAATAAACATTTGTCTAAATATTCTGTTCAAATACAACGACAGATGTTTGCTAAAGCATACTTGCTTTAATTATAACCAATTTTATTTCACAGATACACACATAAGAACAATTTTAGGAAAACACACAACAATTACACAAAGAACGAACACAAAAAAAAGAACATTAATAAGACGAAAAGCTGTCGTCTTCATTGTCTTCTGTTGACGTGTCTTGATGCTGCCCCTGAAGATGTTCTTGAACCAGAGCCACACCACGAACAACCCAATCTAATGCCACATCGATTTTGTCGGGCATTGCTCTCAATCGACGAACGTCTCGTTTCAATTCCACTAGTGCCCGTTCTTGCATGTGGCACATCTGTGTTAAATGTTCGACAGAACCTTCCAACTTCTGCCGACCAGACATCTCACGATCCAATAAGTGATATAACTCATTCACCTCGAATTCCAGATTATTGGCATATTCTTCAAGATCTTGTTCTGCCTCACTACAAAAGCAACCAGCTTTTGTAGCCTTCGGTCGTCTCCCCACCAATTTAGGTTTCACTAGAATCACAAATCATTAGAACAATATTCAAAACGAACTTATACAAGATATTTACCAATTTTAACACTTTTTGTGTTCTTTGAACTTCGAGTTCGCATATTCACAGTGACGATTAGAAAAATAATCTAAAACACAAACCACAAATTTTGGCATTAAGATCAATGATTGAACCTTCTCCAACACGACATTCTCCTGAAAACACACGTATACTTATCTGTTTCGGCCGTGCTCACGAGCCTCATCAGGTGGCTTTAGGTGATTTTATTCAAATTATCAACACAACACAATACGAATACTGCATCATTTAATGATTATTACAAACAATTGATACACCAGAGCTACCACGACAGATAATAGTCAACTTCACTTTATCTCCAAGAAAACCTTTGATAACTTCCAACTATTCCACTTCCCATACGCCATGAAATACACGACGAGCCGATAAATGAACAACAACAACTATACCAAGACCACGACCATCTAACAGCGGACACTTTCTCCGTGCTACTTTACCTTCACATGTTCATACACAATAACTCTTTCATTATATGATTCTTTGCCAACCTCAGACTCGACCCAACCATCAAGTAAAATCCCATTACACGCAATCAACGTTGAACAGAAACAACTTGCCTCAACACTCGTTTCGTCCCCACAGACCAATACAATATCCAGCAACACACAACCAAATCATCCAAATACAATCTCCATCGCATGCGCTGCCTTCTACGCCACTCCTTTTTAACATTCGAAGCAACCCCCATCAACCAAATATGTAAGTACATCTGGCCTCAAAAATGCCCCTATTCAAACGGTCTCGATTTACGATGGCGTACCTCCCCTATCATAACTTGCCCAGTTCAACACCTGGATCAAGATCACAACTTGGTCTCCTCTTATAACCGCAAAAATAAAGATCCCCAAGCGCTTGGTTCACAATAAATTCAGAGTTATAAAAGTGCAAACGACCCAAAATATCCCTTCAACCCAGATTGACACTGCCTCATCCAACAACGACTCTCGTGCTGCATACACAAACACCGCCACGATTGTCACTGACAGATTCCCAGCACACCATCCAACACTGCCACATCATTTCAGCTTCTTCCTCGAAACACCGACTTCCTACTGACCACCATCGCCACTACCGCACAGACAACCATCAAGACTACCAAAACCAATCTCAACTCTGCTGCTATCAAGACAAGATTCACTCGCCACAATGACATATATCAACTTAACACATCTGGCCTACTTCCACAACCACAGTCTCAGATTCCACAGCCCAACATTCAACAAGACAACTATCGTACACATCACACCAGTTTACACAAGACACTCTCGACTCTGCTACTAATAAGACAAGATTCACACGACACAATCACATACATCACCTCAACAGATATGGCCTTCTTCCACAACCACAGCCTTCGACCCGACAAGACCACTACCACACACACAACTCCCGATTACCAAGATAATACCAACAAAGCTCCGATTAACCTACCTTGCTCGAGACAAGGAGATTAACCAGCCTGTTAAAGGATTCAATCTCAACACAAGGACCTTCTGCCATCCAATATCGCAATAATGAACAGCACAACTACGGTACATAACACTCCAGATTACCCAAGACAATACCAACTGCACCGCTATCAAGGCAAGATTCACACGACACAATCACATAGGTCACCTCAACGCAAGTAGCCTTCTACTACGACGATCTTCTCCCATCCAACATCCCACTATGGCACAGCACAACTACGGTACATACCGTTCCAGATTACTCAGGACACTCTCGACACTGCAACTATCAAGAAAAGATTCACACAAGACAATCACGTAGGTCAACTCAACGACACTAGCCTTCTTTCGCAACTACCGTCTCCGATCACACAACTACAGATTACACAACTACAGATTAACAATCACAATATGAACAAAGCTGCAATCAACCTACCTTGCTCGAGACAAGGAGGCTAACCAGCCTGTTAAAGGATTCAATCTCAACACAAGGACCGTCTGCCATACAATATCGCAATAATGAACAGCACAACTACGGTACATACCACTCCAGATTACCCAAGACAATATCAACTGCACTACTATCAAG